ATAACAGTCCACATCTTTCTTCTCCCTTACGTAAAGATACCATTACGTTTCGGGAAGATCTAAATAATTACACTACGAGAAGAAAATTGTTAGGATAAACATATTATTCCTTCTATCAAGATGACAGCAATGAAAATATCAAAGATCAACAGATATCTTCACATTTACCAAATAATTCACTTGAAACATGAACCTTGAAACGGATGTTTTTATTTACATCCTTTCAAAGAATTAAATTACTTTATTTAGTTTATAACCATCATTAATCTTCGTTATCATCTTCATCTTCATTATCATCGTCATTATTCGATGTCATCTTGAGGCTTAAAACCTGTATCTCTAAACTTCTAGATGCATCACATTTTGACAAAAAGGATTTCTAATCCTAAACAGCTGATCTAACCAAAATTGTATACGTTTCTCTTGAAAGTGGCATATAGCTTGGTTCTAAAATAGAGGGGGTGGGGTGGGGGTGTATCGTTCCTACTATAGGTGGATTAAATGCAAACTAACAAGGCCATCGATTAAAGGAGTTGGTGTAATGGGGGTTCATTCATTTCTTTCAAAGTGTCTTTCCATCTCTCTCTCTCTCTCTCTCTCTTTTCTTTCTCCCCCTCCCCTCTCTCTCTTTCTCTCTCTCTCTCTCTCTCTTTCTCTCAACGTATTCTTTTTTTTGGTTATCTCATAGAGGGAGGGGGTTCATGCCCCTAGGGGCTACGCCACTTGATTGCAATAATGAACACATGCAGGACTGAAATAAGATGCTTATATAAGCAAGCAAGATATTTCTGCTGAAAGAACACAACACATTAAAGTCATGGGGAAGTTCAGGAGGATACGGTTAAACTGCCAATTTGTATGGCAAGGAATATCTTGATTTCATCCTCAATCAAAAGGTGAAGAGGTGATAGAGACAAACAGGGTTGAGAGCAGCATGATCGATGCGACACAGAGAGAAACAAAAATAAGAGGGGAAAAAGAAAAAGGTAATAAAATAGCAGGATCAGCAATCATTGAACAAGATGGTGAACAAAGTGGAGACATGTTATGTTATGCTGAGTAAAGCATCTCGAGAGAACAACTGCGCCTTGTTTTTCACTTCCGAAATGGAAGTATAGGAAAAAAAGATAAATGTATCACCCAAAGATTGGAATGTAAAAAAAACATTTGAATAATAATAATAAAGTGGCCATTTGTAACGCGCAATATCTGTCAACTTGACACTCCTGGCGCAGGTAATATGAGAAGACTATTTTGATACGAAATTACAATCTTAGCATCAATCGAAAAGAAGCAATTTAGAGCTATCCAAACGGAGTTAATCGTTGACAAGATGAAAAGTTTTCAGTTGTGATTTGAAGTTGGTTAGGGAGTTTTTCTTCCGAGGACTAGGGAACGAGTCCCAAAGGTATGGCCCTGAAACAGAAAAGGATCGGTGTCCCCAGGAACGTTGTGTTCGTGAAATGTAGACATATTAATTTTGTAACATTAAATGCAATGTAGAACAAAAACAAGTACAGTATCATTATCACAGAGTCATAAATTGCGTTTTCAATTATAAACAACTATATATCTACTTATGCACATAACTGAATAGAATATCAGATATAAAAATGTTATATTTATTTGTGGTTTACTATCAGTAAAACCTAATGCATGATTTCGTTAAAGAATAGGAAAGTATGGTCAAATGGATGTGATAAGCGCTTAACTCCTCTTGCGCGCTAAGTTAACTTTTCAGTTTCTAAATTTTGCGAGGGGCGAATATGGAAATATTCTGGCATCTGACTGCCCGAATGTGAGAATATTTAGGCACCTAACTGCCCCAATGTGAGAATATTTTTGGCACCTCTTCCCCCGACTATGACACTGTATGAGGTGGCGCTTTCTTTAAAATTGTTATTTTTCTAAATTCTTGTATGAAAGAGACCAAGAGCTGTTTCTTCCGATCATGCGAGATTTGCCAACAAATTATCAATTAAACTCCCTTCTTAGTCTGGGGCAGTTTTCGGGAGCAGGATTGTCCGAAGGCAGTGGTGGTGGTGGTGGTAGTAGTGGAAAGGGGGGGGGGGGTGTGTGATAAACCCCCAAAAAGAAATTACAGGAAATAAAATATTTGTTGGGTTCCATTTTTAATCCTTTAATCTCCGACAGTCCTACTGACGGCCCTGTCCCTCGCCTCCTGGATCGGCATATAGTTTATGAAACCACATCTTTGGGCTAGCGGTCAATTACTGAGCTCCGCCCAAATATTGTTGAGAATCTATACAGGACATGACATATACATATCAAACATAAGTATCTATTTAGAAGCTATTATTAATACTACACTTTAACTATGTTTGCGTTTGCCACATAGAACGTCAAAAACAAACGAATTGATGGAGTAAATCGAGCTAGAATAGATGTCCGCGTGGGATAATAAAATAACACGAATGATGATGCGGCGGCAGATTAGTTTTGAATACTTTTGGATCTCGAAGGTCAACCGTAAATGGTCGTGGTGAGTTCGAATTTGTAAGTTTTTGTTTGTTGTTGTTATTGTTGTTGAAAGGATTGAGCACATGAAGAAGTCTTTGCCGGAACTGATTAGGTAGTACTTATCGGTTATAAAGGGCAAATATCTTACAATTCACCATCAAAAATACAAGTTTAATACTTTTAAGCACTTAAAATTGCTCAGGGCTATATTCGTCACACTTGTTCTATTTTCACATCAGAAAAGATAAATATCATATCCTTTGAATCTAGAGTGCTTCCCGATATTTGCTGGTATTACAACATCATCACTTTCCTTCTACTTTAATACATGTACATGACATGTTTTTTCTTCTTTTCTCTGCGCGGGAAATCATGAGAATAAATTGTGACGACACTTTAGCGCCGGCGGCATCACGTCGTCTGCACATTACATGGATCCTCCTTGACTCTTCAGCTCTTTAAAAAACAATGAAAATCTTCTCAGTCAGCAATGTCAGTTCTAGTCAGTATGCATCTTCAAAAAAGACTTGACTCGGTGACCTTCAAGCGCAACATCCAAAGGAACATCTGCCTCCCCTGATTGCCCACCAATGTCATTTGATCAGATCATTTTATTCCTTGGGGTTAATGTTTTTTTTTCTTCGACAGGTCCCCGTCTTATTTTTTAATTTTTTATAAGGTGTTTTATTTCCTCAATACCAGAAGTAGTAAATATAATTAAAATCATGCAATTTACATCATACTGACTTGACATCACATTCAGATTAATCAAAATACAATATAAAATTATAATTCTTATTTAACATCAATTGCTAAACAACAATGATATACAAACAAAAATACAAAATTACTACACAAAAGTATAATTCTAAATTTAAATCAATTGCAAAACAACTCTTTCATACATTTCCTTATTCGTTTAGAAAAAAAATAGCATTAATAATAATGGTAAAGTATTTAGTCATTTCACGTTCTGCCTTGCCGACATGAATGTAAATATAAAGTACATGACTATCGGATATTAAAACCCCTATGGCGCACATTCTATAAGTACCCGCCCCTGCTATATGAAGGAGCATCCGAAAGAAATATTATCCCGTTTTTCGTTTAAGTTTGTACAATTTTGTAGGAGAGAGGTGTAATTGAAATATGTATATACGAATAAACCTAAGTCAAAGATGGAGAGAAGGAGGCGTTTCATGTGAATTACGCATGAACAGTACAATTGAATGATGTGTAATTCTAGAAAACCACAAAAGGGTAAGAAATGCAAAACTAGTTACATTCGAATACACAGCAAAACTACAAAACTTGCGAATAAAAAGAAATGCGAAACTGGCATAAGTGGCATAAGTGGCACGACTGACTGGTACTAAACGTATCTCAAACTTTAATAGGGAGGACACGTGTGAAAAGATGATTAGAATAGAATAGAACAAAAAGAAATGACCTGACATATCGAAAAATTGAGGTAATTAAGAATGACTAAATGCTAATCTACGATGCATGGTTGCAGAATTAGTGCGCATTCGATATCCCAATGTATTAATGTATTATGGCCTTGTGACACAGTACCTGTCATTTTCGACTGTACAATATAACCATGATACTCAGTGGCGTGGTGAAGGTATATTTATAGGGAGCAAGAGGGTTTTTCATTTTCTAGACATATAAGAACACGAAACCTTAATAACTCGTATTTGAACGTATTTAAAGAAAAAGGATCTTTTAGGTCACTAATAATTGTATTGAGATATGACTTATTTGTTTAGTTTATTCAATATCTCACGAGTAAAAACGCTTCTGAACTTTCAATTTGCAGATAATGTTCCATTCATCTACCCTCATTTTGATGATCTAGAAATTAACATTAAGATAATTTATTTTCTATTTACTTATTTGACAGTTCACAAGGTCACTAGGAATGTGAAAGAAATACATAACGGAGAAGGGAGAAAGGGAGATAAATAGAAGAGATTTGGACTATCCTTCGTCTGGACGCTGCAGGAGAAGTTCCCCTGATGTTACCATGGACATAACCATTCTTTCAGATAGCTAAAATTGACAGTGTTTTCTTGTGTAATTTGCTTTATCAGCTTGTCAGGCCCTGGGAAAAAGAAAAAGAAACAATAGGAAGAGGAAGAAAAGGTGGAGAAGGAAAGCAAGAACAAAAAAATAAAGGTGATACCAAGTGCGCCTCAGTCGCCACAGGTTTCTGAAATAGGGTGTATAGGTGGCGGGGTTAACGCTATTAGCGTGTCTGCTAACTTCAAGTGACAGCTGAGGTAGGACCAACAACAGCGTTTCATCCACCTCATGTTTCCGTCTACGAAGTATTTTTTTCTGCAAGGGACAGCTAGGCTCTTTTGCCGACGACGGTACAAAACCCAGTCGGTGGAGAAATCCAAGATATGATTCAGTTGGGCTAGTTCTGGTTGGAGAGAGCTGATATCCGAAAGTGCGTCCAGCTTTTAAAGGCTCTCCTCATTTGACTCGGTCCGGCACAAAGATTGTACACCATGTATAGCTTTGTGGACCAACTACGCCAGCACAGGCGGAAACTTCTTTTATTATGTGTGGCCCTAGCAACGCTTGCTGTAATATGCGAGGCACAAGGTAGGATTAAATATACTTTATATGTTCTTATTTTCAGGTACAACAGATCAAATTTGGGGGTCTGTCTTTGGAATGAAAAAGTATATTTAAAAAACGCCCCAGAAAAACAGGGGAAAAACCAGAAAAGATAAAACTCACCTCTTCTAAATGAATCATCATCTGATTTAACAGAGTTTATGATTTGGTTTATTGACATTATTTCTCAATTCTTTTTTTGCAGTTCTCATGCATGATTGTGTGTGGAGCTTCAGAGTTCAAAGGTTATATGACAAATTTGCAGGAAAAGGAAAGAAAATGATATTTTGTGGTCGCGACCCAATTATCTAGAACTGTTCTTTGCAGAAGCTTGCTTGTGTGTCCATGCTACGTCTCAAAATAATCTAAGATATCACTTAATTGTGTCACAAGTTTTATTAGCAGAAAAAGTAGGAATAAAATAATTTTAAAAGACCAGTCAATAGAATGTATTCAAATTTAATATATTTTATTTTCATATTTATTTCCCACTACCAAAGACCTCAATGCTTACTTTTGAGACTTGTCCAAGATATTCCAGTCCAAAATTTTAGCAATTTAATGATTGCACTATGCATTTTGATATACAGAAACTCATAAGAGGTGAATGCAGTAGTCACTGGGAAGGAAGATAAAGATATTTGAATACATTTCTGGACTGGTTCATTGTCAACCTATGACAACGAGGGCTTTTGTTGCGGTTTTCTTTTATAGTTACCCTATCATAATAGTGTTAACAGAAGTCTTATCCTGTGTGATTACTTCGAAAATCCCTGAATCCAATCAAGATTAATTTGATTCAAATTTGCTGCCCATACTTAGTGATATACCCCCGCGTGGAAAGAAAGGCCGAGTGAGATCTAACATCGTATGGTTGCAAAATCTCGTCTAATTTTGCTGTCCATACGTCGTTATATCACGCCTGATTTTCAACGCGCCACGATATGTCACATTTTACTGAGAGCAAACCTGATTCACGTTTAACTTGATCAGAATCAAGGAAAATTAGTTCAAGAACATATAATAGTTGTATTTAAATAGTTATATAAATAATTGATAGGCCTTGATAATGAAAATCGATTTTAGAACTTTTTGTGGAATAAATCATATGATTATATAACAATTTAAAATGCGTTTAAATAGCTCGTAAAGTAATATAAATTAACATACAAGTAGACAGTGTTATTCCACTTGATTCTTTTTCGATTATTGATGATTTCATGGAGACAAGGTTTCTTTCAATCAAGTTCGTAAAGAGTATTTACAGATGATACTGGAATATAAGAAACCATAGACTAGATTATAACGCTCCCCGTTATTATGAATTGTTTTCAATCACTTACTTGATTATTACTTTTATAATCCCTCCCCCCCCCCCCCCCAAAGGAAACTTTGTAGTGACAGAAATCAAACGATCTTACGAATCATATTTTGAGGGTCTGGTTGTGCTTCCTCCACCGAACTGTTCTTGGATGTCGTTCAATTTAAAGAATTCAGCTGATTCATTCATGTCCAAACGTTGAATATTAGAGCTCATCAAATCATTTTTTTCGGATGGGGCCTTTACATGGGCATTTATAAGAAAAATAAGGTTTATAGCCTCAACACGAGGGACCGATTATTTCTAGTTGGTGAAATGATGGCTTTGCAAAAGTCTATCCTGGTAAATGATTTACATAGATTTACATAGTAATAATCTGCGTACTAGTTTACATACCAATAATTGTTTTGTTTTGCGCTGAGTAGAAATCGCAAATTTTTAAACCCCTTTTCGAATTATTCTATCGCTAAATTTGCCAATAATGCGTGCTCAGCTTATTTTTAGATACAGCATACATCTCTTGATGTTATATACTTGTAAGCTCATACTTTATATGGCCTTGATGGTTTTGACATATTTCAAGAATATAAATTAATTTTCTTCGTCCGATTGCCTTTTTTATCAACTTAGATTTTTCACTATTCTGCTTCTGGATGTGACTGGCTAAACATACAATTCAACTTATTTATCACAAGCGCGGTACTTGTATTCTAATGTTTCAGAAATATGAAGAAAGAAAGATGCATATTCGTCGGCTTATGCCTTTCTTTCATCAATTTCGTCACTCTTTCGAAATTTTACTTCTGGATGTCATTGATTAAATATTCAATTCAATACAGGTTGTGAGGGCGGTAACAAAATATTTCAATTCATCTCTTAACACGACACTTTTAGGTGTCAAAGAGCATTGCCAATTGGGAATATTGAGACTTTCATTACTTCTAACATTAGTTATATATACTTTAACACCACTTAAAGATAGGATTTCAAATTATTTATCCACTGTATTAACAGGTTGTCATTAATACTTAACCTGACCACATTCACTACAAATTTGTCGTGTAACGACTTTACACAACATTGGATGGTTCACTCCTTACACAGAGGTTGTGTTAAATTGTGTAAACAAAAATTACACAACTTTACACTGCGAATTCGTTGTGTAAAGTTGTGTAATTGTTTTTTTACACAACTTAACACAACCTCTGTGTAAGGAGTGAACCACCCAATGTTGTGTAAAGTCGTTACACAACGAATTTGTAGTGTTTGTAGATATTTTAAGGCCCATTTCTGATATCCTTGATACCCTATTAATACCACTTTCTTCCATATTCAATACAATAATAATAGGCAGTTCTATGGCGCCGTCTATCTAGAAATTCTATTCCGAGGCGCACTTATTTTCATCCCGGCTTTAGCCTCGCTACCATTACAATGTATTACAAACAATTAAAGTTTTGTTAGTATTGGCTAATCGATTTATAGAACACCTGTAGAATATTTCTATTTCATTTAATTGCTACGGTGACACTTGCAGAATGTGTAAAATGCAGTCCAACCTAATGTTAAAAAATGTGAGCTCTTATTACAATTTGATTATTTAGCTGTTCAAAAATCTATTTTAATTTCGAATCGTCACTTTATCTTTTTTCTAATTTGGATCAACGCACTACATACTTATTCTGTTCCCAAGGCGTCAATGAAGTTACCCTTAGCCTGAACTGTTTTGCGTAGAAATTATCATATACTAAGAATATGCTTTTACTCACGGGCATATTCCATCGAGATTTCCCTTTTAAGCCATTTGCTTTTAATGAGAATAATTTGATTTGTTAGCAGTGAGCTCACTTGCAGTTTCACATGTTGTGAATTGAATAGAAAACTTTCCAGAAGTATGGAGCACGCTGTTCATAAGTGATTTCAAGCAGAAGTTTTTTTTTGGTGGGGGCGGGGAGGGGGCGTCCAAAGTTACCATATATCAATTATTTCTTAAAATCAAAAGTAAACCAGAAATAACTTAATGATGAAAAGAAAAGAAAAATGTGCAACTTAAGCTAATTTTTTAAACATAAACACGAATGCTTTCTTTCAATAATTCAAATTGGAAAGGAGAAAAGTAATAAATCATTCCACATGCCATCTTATAACAAATTTTACTGTATGTTTGGTCAAAATAAAATTTAAATCTTGTGTCAGATTAAGAAAAAGGTCAGTAGTGTAACGATACAAAGATGCACAGAGAATGGGGAATTATCCTAGATTATCATTACCTTCTTCTAAATTTTCGAAAGCTAAGTTAAGCAAAGTAAAAATACAGGACCAAACGATATACAAAGTTGTGTTTCTTTTTTCAAAACAAAAAAGAAAATCAGAAAAAAGTAGCATGTTCGTATTTTGAAGATGACCCGAAAGAGAATCCTGAATCCACATGTTTATCAAAATTGTCAACGCAGCTGTTTGTTAAAATGCTATCATTGGTAGAATTTTTACTTGAACAGATCGCTTGATTTATTTCAAGCGATCGGGGAGGGTCTATTTCCTCGCTAGGACATGGCGTTTTCTCACTGTGTCACAGTGTGAACGACTTTTATTTCACGAATGTCGCTTTTTGGGGTCCCTCGGGACGTCATGCTAGGACCACTCGTGTGATTCGGCTTTTTGCTAACAAACACCCAGCGGTTGCTGTCAAGGCCATTACCACTTTCTGTCAAATCCACAAATTCCTTTTCCTTTCTTTTTCCATTAAGTTAACAGGCTCTTCTGACAAATTAAATCAGTGTATTTGTCAGGGGATCGCGACGTCGAATTAACTTGTTAAATCAGGACAATCGGATGATTTCTCCTCTGTGCATGCACCTTTGACGTACTGAGATAGACTGATTACATTAGCATCCATCTTGAGTAGGGATTGAAGTGAAAATATTTCGATAAATGCGGACGTGTTTCACTTAAGTTCAGGGATGTGACTTTAGTTGGTGGGACTGTTCCTTTTATCAATATTATCTAACTACTTAAAAAAATGATTATAGAAATATTCAATTCATAGATGTCATATAGTTTTTAAAGTCCAAACTAAATTTATGTTGCAGGTATTACAGATAACTTAAATCTATAATATAATTTGTTTTTAATTGCATTGTGATAATTTAATATGATCATGTGTACACCCCAAAACATACACAATTTACACAACCTTTTTTGATAACCTGAAAACTTTAAATAAGTACAAAATCATACTTAATGGAAAAACTTTGTTGCGTGGTATCGTATCCTGTAGAATGAAGTCAAAATAATGCATCAACTTTACTTGTGTTATATAATTAGTGTATTCTTTTGAGGGTTAAAGTACTGTTACGCTAAGCAGATTGCGATTGACCTTTTACAGCTTCCAGATCGTCCAGAGTAATATCAAGTCGAGCACATCACTTACTGAGGATGAGGTTTGCCTCTGATTTAAAAAAAAGTATTATGACTTGTGTATCCAACTTGATAACACATGAGCACAGGAGTCTGTAGTTTTGAATTCATTTTTTTTCTCAATTATATTAGCACCGTACAAAACGCTTTGTTAACTAGGAAGGGGGTAAATGATGAGTAGATTCCGAACAAGTTTTATGCTCCTAGTAAGAAAGACACAAAGTGAAGAGAGTTTTCCCTATCTAACAAACAACTGACGTAGTGTGCATCTTAGAGTAGATTATAGCTGCTATTACCTAGTTTATATTTGCATGAGCATGCATGCCTAAAGACATACAAGTAAGCTTCGCTAGTGGCAGAGTCTTAGATAAAAAAAAATTACCGCACGAAAGATATCATTGTTTCATGCAGAAAACGACTGCAGTTCCATCTATAACGATTGCGTATTACTCTCAGAATAACATCATATCTTCACCATATTCACTGAAACATTGGTTTCTGTTGCCACAATTCAAGTGAAAGAAATTTTCACACCAGAAATATATTTCTGCCGCTTTCCGAAACATTTCTGTAAAACCTGCCACAAACTACGTTTCGTGAGGTGACTTTTGTTGAAATGTCCACAGTAGTCATACATGAGAAACTGACTGCTGATGTATTTGCATATTATTATTTATAATGACAGAATCAGTAGCAATTTAAGATGATGATAAAATTATGATTTCTTTCTTTTATTTCCATTTTTCTTGTGAATCTTTGTCTTATTTGCATGCCTGTGCTAGTTGCATGTGTTGTCTTCCACTCAGTGAATATGGTGTCTAAAAAATGCATACCTGTGTTTCTTTAGTAGATGGACAGAGGAAAAGTGCTTGGGAATTTGCTCGATTCCGAATATTAAAGGGAAAGGATTTTTGTTTCTTTCTAAAGAATGTAGGCTAGAATATGCATCAATACAATTTGTTATTCTATGATAAACTTTCCATCAATTTTGAAATTTAAAACTTTTCTTCAATAGTTATGATATCTTTGGGATGAAAAGAATGATTGACTTAAAAAATGTCCAACTACCTTTCAACGACCAATAACAAAAACATATAATTGCATTTTGTTATGAACAGTACTGAATATTCTTACTCCCTTCCTTAATTCCTTCCATAAAAAAAGGGGACGGATGGGGTTATGCATTTATAGTAAAGGGATGAGGAGAAAGTGCTTTTCTAATAAAGGCTGGGGTGGACTAAAAAGGATTTACATTGCAGCGATACGGGTCACAAAAGGCCTATATAGTCAGGAATGAACAAATTAAAATGACATTCTTTTTGAAGATGTGTTGATATAAAACAACGCTAGAATAAACAAGGTATTACATAATAATTATCTTAAGTCATATAAATCCCCAGTCAATTCTCTATGTTCTCGTCCAACTTTTGCATGACGTAACATCAGCGTTTGCATGCTTCATCCTTTATTAATATCACCCCCACGACTAACCATGGAATGGATTTCACCTCCTCACTTAACCTGGTAGAATTCCCAAGTCCTAAATGTTATATTGGCACTCGATTGATGGTTGAGTATACCCATGGAATGGCTCTTCTCACGACTGTATCTTTAAACTTCAAAGCATGTTGCGCGGAAATTGGAGTGAGTATGTTCTTTTAACTTATAATCATTATAATATTCAGTGTCATTTCATTATATCTTTATTCCTTTCATCAAAAAGAAATAGGTTAAAAATATCAACCAAGTATTTTAGGGAATATAACATATACAACAACTGGAAAACCAGGGACATACATAACATCCAGATAAAACCTAGGAATACACAAATGGCTATATTTACAGAGGGATTGTAATCATAGTCAAAACGCATGAAATAATATTGATTTTTTTTTTTTTTTTAATATTGACAAAACTATGATGAACACAAATCTCGTAGTCATTTAAAACCATCGAAATTTTAATTTGTGCCAGTATGTTTTTCGAAAATGAAATAAATTCGCCGGGGAAAAAATCTTAAGTACAATTTGCAAGAATTACACCACAAATTGGACGGTCTGTGCACTTCGTTTTCTATACTCGTACATCACGTACATTGGCTCACGAGATCTCTAATACAATCAAAGTCTTCTTTACAATGTTTTCTTAAATTTTATTTTGTATAAATATTTATTTGATTGAGAGAATTACCTAAATGCTCACTATTTATGAAGAAAAAAACATAAAATCAGGGAAAATGTAATGTACATTTATTATTTACCTCTATAATACCCCAAACTCCATTTTAGTATTGTAGTGTCGTTAAGAGTTTAGCTAGGAATGAAGTAGACGTGCATTCAGTAGATTTGCCTGTTGAGATTGCATGAAAACTGTTTTGAGTACGCATGGACAAATTTGCAAGAAAAACATCATATTCTGCACTTGACAGTGAAAATACTGATTCATCATGAAGATTTTTTTTTTTATAACAAAGACTGATTCATTAAAGGAAAAAAAAGAAAGATCAAAGACAACTAAGTTCATACTATTTTCATGGTATCATGAATAGGAATTACATTGATTCTCAAGTAAATCATTGATGCATTTATTTCCGTACTATTGCTGTCTAGATCGATTCATACTTTGTCTTGTGTTATGTTTGTCAAAATTAGACTTCGGCATCTAACTTCTATGTCAGCGATGGATTTTCCTTATAAGAATTATTTTATTATAATCCAGAAAACACTTAAAAGACAATTCAAGTACATGTTTGTATAAAAGATATTGCATTGATGTTACATTTGATAGCTGGAGATAAAGGCAGACTCCTATTTCAGAGAGCTCCACCTTGTTTGAATATGAGAATTATTGAAAGTTCAATCGAGTATTTATCTTGCATCAGTACGTTAATTTATTAAATTATTTGCAGACACAATACAGGTTGATAGTGCGAGATACCAGAGAAACAAAGATAAACCAGTACCATTTTTTACCGCCAGCTGTTAACATTACGCCTAGAAACAGAACTTAAGGACAATATACCATATGTTTTTCTCCCCTAGAATCCTCGTTTTCGGTGAGTCTTAGTTCTGGGGAGCCTCTGCTACCTTGCGTGTACAGAGGAATCCCATACCTCCACGGAGAGGAATGGAAAGTAGACGAATGCACCACTTGTGCCTGCGACAACGCCACGACGACCTGTGTGATTGAGAGTTGTCAGCCCGCCTTCTGCGCTGAGCCAATAAAACCGGAGGGAGAATGCTGCTTCCTCTGTCCTTACAGTGAGTATCGAAAGTCATTCAGATTGGACAAATATTATCTTTCCAGTTATGATTTATCCTTCTATGATGTAATAATTTATTATTATACAACGCCCCCAAGCGCTTTCAAAGAGCGTCAGGGGGAAGTGAGCATTAAAGAAATAATCCTACCAGGTACCCATCTAAAATAAGTTTAAACAAATGTATACAGAGGGACATAAATGTAAGTAAACCGAGTTCGAGAAACCAACGAGGGCGCAAATGCACCTCGGTAAGGGTTTTATCCTCAGTGATCAACGAGTTCCTCGGGTAGGTTAAAGCCATAGATCCCTGTTTGCTCATACAGGACACCGTGTGCTTTATTACGCCTCTGCATGGTAAAACGGAAAAGTCCAGGCTACTTTGTCACAAGTGTTACCTAACAAATCTAAGACTCTAGTATATATTGTATCAATTTAGAGCCCTATCAGAGGTTACAGCGGACGATATATGAAGTGGAATAGCACATACGTTTTTATGTCAATTCATGTTCAGATACCTCAAGTTTACAAACTGGGATTGCCTACTACGTAAAAAAATCCAATACCATCCAGAATATTGACTCACTTCTCTCTCTCTATCTCTCTCTCTCTTTCTATTCATCTCCCTCCCCTCTCTCTTGCTCTCTCCTTCCTTCTCTCCCTTTCCTCCCCCTCTCTCTCTCTCTCTCCCATCTCACTCTCTCTCCCACTTCATCACCTCAGACGTAAGGGTGAGGAGGGTTACCCCTGAAATCACGAGCTCAAACACGATCGCTGAAGGTGGAGACAACAGCCTTGTTCTTGATATTCCTATTAAGTTCCAGGAAGCACAGGATACCACCGGTGTCGTAGGAGAGAACCTCTGGAGACTCAGTATGTGGGCCTCAGCGACCCCTGATGGCAGAGGGGCAAGGTATTATTGACCACACCTTCTCATCTATCTGTATATTCTTTACGTCCAACAACGGTTTCGGGTATCAAAAAAATGTCACTGGACCCGATAAATTAGCAGTTGATTGAAATTTTGCAATTGACGTACATGTTGTACTGTCTTGATTGCACGATCAATCAATCAATCAATCGTAAAATCAAACGCTAAGCTTTTCTGAACGGGGCACTGAGGAGACCCAGATAGCACAATACTATACAGTGGTAGAGCCTTTTCGAAAGAACGGAAAATTAAACATTGGGTATCATGATAAGCACAGCTCATTAAACTGTGTCACCAGAAACATGCTTAGGATTCATACCATCAAACGTAATATAAAATAATTTAAATCAACTTACTATCACCCGGCCAATTTTTTCTGTATATACGTCTTTCTTAATTTCCAACAAAAAGGTTCGGGTATCAAAGAAATGTCATTGACGAGGAACAAATGTCAAAGTACTACAAGAAGAAAGAAGCTTTCGCTTTCCGCGATGTCGAGTACAACTTTAATGACCCCATGGCGGAATGTTCCGACATGAATTACATCTGCGCTCGCATCGACCGAGGAGACAACCCCACCACCAAGGGTAACTTAGGCTACGAGTTTTCAGGGTGGCCCGACGAATACGCCCAGATCGGTTGCACCGGAGCTCCAGAGTGTAAAGGTACAATAACTTGGATTACTGATACATGTGAGCTTGAAAACATGTTATTCTATCCAGAAAATTTATGCAAAACAAATGTCTGGTGAAGCTTCTATCGTGTACATAAATAATGCCACCAATTTGTTTCATTATAGTCTGGTCACATGAATTATATAAACCTGGTCACATGATTTTAATAAAGTCTCTTATGTTGAAGACATGGAAGTATTACATCAATAATTGAAACAGATACAAAACTCTCTATAAAACAAACAAACAAAAACATACGCATGGTAGGAGCTTAATTAATATTAGCTTAAGGTATGCCATCATATATGAACATGATGAAGTATCTTTAGATCTAAGTTACCATATTGATACGTTATTGCTATTCGTACTGCTATATTCTTCCGAATTTCGTGAGAGTAGCATCAAGTTTGGGCAACCAATTAGAACATCTCAAAACACTAACAAAAAAAGCTACTTAAGAAATATCAAATCATACGATAATCTTGAATGCTTATCGATGATACTATATTACTGAAGTAGTTTCTAATTTCTTTGCTTTACGTAGGAATTGTTGCTGAGGATATGGACTGGACATTGGAGCCTCTGGAGACGGTCATTCCAGGACAACCAACATCGGTCAGCATTGATAACAACGTGGCCTTCCGTGCAGGCAACCCTACTCTGTCCGGTATGGGTTTGTGGCGAATGGGTGTCTTTGGCAGCAGGAACATGCAAGGTACAGGCGATAAATTCGGCTACGTCTCTCAGACCCTGAGCAGACCTCAGCAGAGTACCACCCTGGAAGAGAACGATGCTCTAGAGGTGATGGATGCGGTGACCGACTTCGAGATTGGTTCCATCGGTTGCAATGACTACGGGTATGTCTGCGTCGACTTCACCGGTGGGGATGCTCCAAGCCCAACCTACTTTTTCCGTGTGGCCGGGGCTATTGATTCCACTCGGGCGGCAAACACCCTCGTTAAATGTAAAGAACAGGAGTGTCTTGCAAGTAAGTTTTCATTTCATTCAAAAAAATTATATATCAGTTACTTATCTCTAACATTCTTAAAAGCCACATTTTAAAAGATTTTTAACATGCACGACTATGACAATTGAATGTAAATAGGATAAACAGGAAGACACCGAGTACTATAGGTATTACTATTATTAAAAAAACTTAATATGTGCATCAAATACCTCTTTCACAGTGTAATCTTTCTCCACTAGATCTCTGGGCGGAATCTCTAGATTGGTCACTGACTCCAACAGGACGAGTTCTGCCCGGTCAAGAATCTGAGGTTAGCATTGCCAGCAACGTCATGTTTGAAATGGACAACCGGCCAGTTGAAGGACAGGGACTGTGGAGACAGGGTATTTACGGAAGCAGAAACCGCGACGGAACAGGAGAAAAGTTCAACTACAAGACACAGACCCTTGATAGAATGCAAGAAGCACTCCCTCTGGAACAGGATAGCTCGCTTGAGATTCCCGAAGCAATGACGGAGTTTGAGATTGGCACAGTTGGTTGCAATGATTTCGGCTACGTTTGCGTAGAATTTACGGGTGGAGATGACCCTGAGCCGCTGTACTACTTCCGGGTAGTAGGATCACCGACAGATAAGTCCGAGGACAATACACTTGTCCTTTGCAAGGAGCAGGAGTGTTTGTCGAGTAAGTATATACGTATAAAATAAACCCTACTCGAATCTTTCCCGTGAAATTAAATAGGATTTTATTATCTCATCTATTATTGTGAAATTCTTTGTCAGGCCGGTTGGTACAAACTAGCAGAAAATTAAAAACGAGTATGCATATTTTATAGGCTTACTTGAAATATAAAATAGTAGAAATTACTGACGATTATTATCAATTATTCTAGTAATGCCAGGTTGGTATTAGGATGATGATGGTATCATAAAGATAGAAAAATATACAAATGCAAGCCTGGTTTTGTTAGATTGGAGGTGTTTAAATGATTATATGAAGTAATTTGTCTCGATTTTTAAGATATAATATCACGATACATCCATGAAAATTATTGGATATACAAACACATGTAGTATATTCGCTCCATGAGAACCATTAACGTACCGCGTAAACATTTCTATTTGAATATAATGTATTAGCATATTCATGGAAATTGTGACACATTATATGGATTTGATCTCCAACTCAATAGCTGAACCTTGTTACGTTAGTTTTACTCAATTATTGGATAAATGGAAGAAAAATTGGAATGGAATTTTTTTGATTCGCAGGGGCTATATTTACCGACTTGGAGGCCGATCTTGGCGAGCAGGTCATTGTCGAAAACAAGAACAACCCACTTACCGTGGACTTGACCGGTATCACGCACGACGACTCCACAAACGTGGTCGGGGAAGAACTCTGGTTGGTTGGTGCGTATGCCAGCATGAATCCTGAGGGCACTGGAACAAAGACCGGCTACGTGGAGCAAATCTTAGACCTTGACGGTTCAGCTACAGACCTCAACGATGATGAGAATTTGATGATGGATGGCAAAGACTTCGAATTCGACATGACGGGAATCCGTTGTGCAGAGGCCCCTTACCTCTGCTTTGATCTGGATAAGAATCCTAGGGCCAGTGTCAGCTACATCTTTGAGGATCGTCCCGATGAATCAGTTACAACCACATGTATCGACATGAGAGAACGCTGCAAGGGTAAGTGCTTGTGAAGTCGGACAATGGATTTTTACATGTATTTCTTTCTCAATAATCCTTCGTGAACAAATGAATATTAAGGTATTCGGATTATAAGATGTACAGGATTGTTATATTATTTGGAATGTTAGATAAAAGAGTGTTGGTTATGAAGACGAATTAACAAATGAGTGCAATTGCTGGTTTCTATGGGTCGATTGATACTTCTATTATCTGTCTATGTGAACCAATAACAACACGAATTTATATAAAGATATAAAATTAAAGACATACAATATTACAATTCGATGATCGTTATTTTATTGGTTTAATGGAACAGGCGCTGTTGCTCGAGATATCGAATGGGAAGCGGAAATCGGAGATGCTCCATTTGGACAACCATCTCCTCTGACCATCGATGCAGATGTATTGTTCGATCCAGATAGTCCCGACGTAGCTGGAGATGGTCTATGGCAGTTGGGTGTCTTTGCGGCTAAAATGCCTGATGGCACCGGACCCCGCAGAGATGAGGTGACACAAACCCTCGACCCTTACAACCAAGCCTTGCCTCTCGAAGAAGGTGGTCCTCTGGGATTCGGCAGTATCGACGTCCCTTTCCCCATCGACGAGCTCGGTTGTGACGACTACAGATGGCTGTGTATCGAATTCAAAAGGGGTGAATCACCCAACCCTGATTTTGGATTCACCACCGAGAGCGGGGAAGACTCCATCATTAGCTGCAAAGAGCAAAAGTGTCGAGGTAACATTGAGAAACCTTTCATCGTCTAACTTTCTTGTTCGTACTCTCTAAATCATTTGTTTCTTTTACTCTTGAAACAAAACTTGGCCACCAGCAAATTGAATATCCCCAAAGGCAATGGTTATACTTTTATGTTCTAACCAACCACATGTTGCCATTTGAATGTGTTCCTCCCAAATGACATTCATCCTTACAGCTTTAGGTTAGGTACCTGGTGTAAAGAGAGAGTCCAGTCAACATAGATTCGGATACCCCACGGCAAGATCTGCTGGTTGTGTCAAGTCTAAAGAGCCGTATGGCTGCCAACAAGCATAAGGGGAGCAAAGTTTCATTATGATGTATCTGTGCAATTATCTATTTCTGTATCCTGGCTTTCTCTATAAAACAACTTTCTCTCTGTTCTTCACCTCTGCTTTTTTCTCGAGATTCTTTTCAAAATGTAGCCCTATATCAACGAGCTTTTAGAGAAGGCTTCCTAGATAGTTTTGAATTACACATTACCGCAATAGTTGCTTGATATATCCCTATATATTTTTTAAATGCTACTCTTTTCACTATTGAAAATAAAATAGAATAGAACATTTTTTATTCACACAATATAATTACCATGCTAATTTGTTTAGTGTTTTAGATGCACAATTACGAATGTTCATGGAAATTGTGTATCCTGTGATACAAACATGATAAACAAGACGTTCATTTTAAAAATATAAATGTCAATATTAGACGTTTTAGACATTGCATAAATTCAAAGAACTTCCTGAGATAAAACATGTCAAGCGGATAGCTCCATTTATTGTGTAATCAAACCTCTCTGGGGGTCGTCTCTTAAGCTCTTGATTCATCAGTAACAAAAGGCTATTTGTAAGTATTACTTTTGAAAATAATCGTTCTTATTCCTGCAGGCGTTGAAATTGATAGCCTCACATCCTCTCCGACTGATGTCCTCACGGACTTGATGCTACGCGAAGGCAACGCTGACAACCCACTGACATACAACTCCGTCGCTACCACTACCGACGAGTCAGGTACAGTGCGAGGTGTGGACCTCTGGACACTCAGCCAGTGGGGTAGCGAGAACGCCAACGGAGACGGACCTCAAAACAATTTCCAGGAGTCCGTCCTATCGGATTACTTTGCTGCCCTTCCAGTCATGATGTCAGGAGAAACCCTCGATTTCGTCCCGCTGGTCACAAACTTCGACATGACCGATCTCAAGTGTCCCCAGGTCAAATACATTTGTAACGAGGTCAACCGAGATCAAGGCTCACAACCAGAGTTCCAATTTACCGGTGTTCCAGACGAATCTGTGTTGAGAAGCTGTTTCGAGGTGCCCGATGATGCTTGCAAAGGTTAGAAAACAAGAGGCAATTTTAATACTCATCAATTTTACGATTATATCAAAAATTTCTTTTAACTTTCAAGAGCCCCTTGCTGATGACGAACATAATTATATATCTTATCTGCCACATGTTACCACATGGTGGATGAAACACAGCTTTCAGAAGTTGTTACTAAAAGTGGACCATTGCTGTGTCTTAGCCAACTTTTTAAAGATAAGCGAGAGTAATATTTATAGAACGCTATAAGGCATAGTTGATTGACAAAGCTCAAACGGCACTGCATCTTTATCTTCAATTTCTCTTTAAAAAAATATCCTTATAATACAGGTGTTATCTTCGACGATTTGGACTGGGACATGACCCCCATGGGACCGGTCACGGCTGATGCACCTGATGACGTCCTCTTCAACGTAGACCTTAGCACCTTACCTGACAGTGGATCAGCCGATGGTGATGGACTCTGGCGAATCGGAGTCTTCGGCGCTCAAAATGTAGATGGAGCCGGACCCCGTCTTGGCTACCTCCGTCAGATCCTGGACCGTAATGAAGCCTCCACCCCCGCAGCAGGTGCTGGAGAACCACTGGAGCTGAAGAATCTGGCCACCGAATTCGATTTGTCTCAGATCGGATGTGACTCGGAGTACACCTTCCTGTGTCTTGAGTTCTCCAAGGGTATGCGTGCCAACCCTGACTTTGAGTTCGAGGTACAAGGCGGTGGCGATGTCATCATCAGTTGTAAGGAGCAACCTTGTCGTAGACGTAAGTATAATTATTTTTAAGTGTTTTAAATTTGATTGCAGAAGAGGCAAAATATTGTATATAGTAAGATATTTATTGTTTAACGAAACATGCTACAAACATAATTTTAAAAATACATCTAAGGCTTATACAGTTGATGAAGGTTGATGAAAACAAACATTTTATCATTCTTAAACTTGTAATGAATTCTAAATTTTGACCACTCCTCATACATCTTCCAGCTGTCATTGTCACCGACGTGGAAACGGATCTACTTGGAAACGGTCGAGTTAACGAGGGAACTCGCAACAACCGTATCCTGTACGATATGACTGCCATCGCCGATCCTTCCAGCGGTAAGGCCGAGGGACGGGACCTCTGGGAAATGACCACTTTTGGTAGCACATTCCCAGACGGTCGAGGCCAGCGATTCAAGCCTGCGACAGCGTACACGTTCACTCAGTACCAGAAGGATAGACCAGCTTCCCCTGGTGAGGACATCCGTTACGGAGCCGTGGACACCAATTTCGACATGACTGGACTGACTTGCAACCAGATCAGGTACTTCTGTTCTGAGCTGCGCAAGGGTGAATATGCCTCTCCTGACTACCAGTTTGTCGCCAAGCCCGATGAGGATGTGCTCGTAGACTGCTTCGAACTCAACTGTGAAGGTTTGTGCAAAAAATACTTTGATGAAATAGCCTGTCCATACACCTCAAGTGACAATGGTGATTCCAATAATTATAAGAATGCACAAAGTGTATTTACTCACGATCGAAATGTAAAGACCTTTTATGTATTTTTTCCAGAGCAATTTCCATTTAATGTAGCAGTCAATATCGGATTTCGAAATGTAATTCTGTTTGCTCTACAGTGTATACTGAATAACAGACGTATCATTCTGTCAATGTTGTATTGCTGTGTAAGAATCGTATATTAAAGCTACCATGTGTCAGGAATTAGACCATGATTCTGGTTACTATGTAATGTATTTAAAGTTCTTTTGAAATTAATACTTGATAAAACAACAACGAATCATTCGTAATAAACGTGAATTTGTTTAGCTTTCTATAATAAAGACATTTGTCTATAACACTAACGGGAAAAATAGTGATGGTTGTTTGTTCCTCAGATATCGAATAATAGAATATTCTGTTGTCTTTGTCAATTCACAGGTGTTGTGATTGATAACACACGTTTGACGCTGAATAGCGATGACGAGCTTGAAGATGGACCCAACGAATTGAACTTCGACTTCCGAGTTGACTCCAATCCCAATGGTGGTGACGCTGAGGGGGATAACCTGTGGCGTCTGGAGACCTTCACTTCCAACAGCGGCGACGGATCAGGTCGTCGCGATATCCTCAAGCAGCAGACCTTGGATCCTGCTGACGCGAGCACAGACCTGGGGGCCGGCAACAGCATGGTGTTCCGCAACCTGAACGCCATGGTGGACTCGGCCGACGTCAATTGCGAGGAGGACTACTACCTCTGCGCCGAGATTACGAAGCACGAGAGTTCCAGCCCTGATTTCTCAATGGAAGGCTCAAGGGAAGATTCCACTACAAGTTGTAAATTAGTTAAGTGTAAGAAAGCAGGTGAGTCGTGCCACTCGAGGACCGTGCTTTCCGCTTCTTAGCTTATTTAGTGGCTACCAGGTATGTAGTGTGCGCCAGATATAATCCTTGTGAAAAAATACATATATATCTAGAAACGTCCTTGCTTTTAAGACGTAATTCATCTATATACCCAATAGATTGTTATGTCTGATTATTGCATTTATAGAGTTAGCAGATAACCCCCAACGAATGTAGTTTAATCTTTAATTATAAGCATTGATAATATAATTAGTACTTGATTGATTCGTTTCACCACAACACTGAAAAACATTTTTATTTTTTATTTTCACAAACAGGTTGAGCATCCCGTGTGGTAGATAGAACCATCTTCGACGATGTGTTTGCTCCGAGCATGTAAAGTAGTGTACATACTAGTACATACTGCATGCTTCCTTGAGTGTTTTATACCAACCTCATTAATCCTTTTAGAGTACAATCATGTTCTCATGCATGTTACCCTTCACCCGTCCTAACATGCATCTTCCATTCATCTTCAGTTTCCCTTACTCTAAAAACATACCAACTTATTAAACCATCTTCCAACTAACTGCCCTCCATTTTCAGTACGACGACTTAGACGAATAGAACCCTCCATCTCTACTTTAATCAACTGAACCACAAAGTAACACAGCATGAAGATTGCATCGAAAACTTGTTCTTTTCCATCTTCCTCTTGCTCTTTATTTATGTGGCAAGTCTCCAATTGAAAACTGTATGTCGTAACAAATGTCCGCTGGGGCATCGTTTTGCTTTTGAAGGATCAGAACGAAAATGTATGCGATTCAGCCATGGGTAAGTATTAATGTCTTTCTTTATCGTGTGGGAATCTTCGACTTAAACAAAACTTTACATTTGCTGATGCTGTATCCCTTCATTTCATTCCTCTACTCCGCGATGGATGCTAATTTCTGCCTGGTTGGATGATCATCTCCAGAGCCCCCTCCAGTAAGTTTGCCCCTTAAACTTAATCCATTGTTTACGGGTTTCTGGAACTCCTGTATTTTATTAAGGCTAAGGGAATTTGATAATTTAGTGGTGAACGGGTTTAACATGTTAAAGAGATAGTAATGATGCAACTCACACTTAGAACTCGTATTTAAATTAATAACAAAATATGTCAAGTCAAGAAGTATTGAATTGTCAGAATGCATGGTATAGGTTTGGGCACTAAAAATCAACACGTTGGATAGTTAGATGGCGTGAATTAGTTTCCATCTATATATATTTCCTTTAGAAGTTAAGGAAGAAACTGAACTAAGAGTTTACATATTTCTTAGAACGGTTTATCAAGGAACGATTTAGCATTCTTGAATTCATCTAAAGAGCGACAGTATAGTCTATACACGCTCATCAACTCATGGTTATACGGCCACAAAAAAACAAAAAAAAACAAAAACGAAGTTATATGAAACAGTATATTGATTCAGAGATTCCACAAGCCAATAGCATTGAACAACATGAACTGCAATAGACATCATAACAGTTCGGTAGTGGGGAATTGACTGAACTATCTCCTAAAGATTATCAATCCTATATCGAAGCACAAACTAATTATAAAAACTTCCTTATTTGTCTTTTATCAGGTTCAAGGGCGACCCGGACCTAAGGGTGCTAGAGGCGAACCCTTCGAGATTCCAGTAAGAGAACACTCCACATATTTCATGAAACTTCTTATCAGTATCGAGTGACAATAGCTATTAAAATCACTGTGTATTTGATTGGCCTCGAGTATTTTTGTTCCAGAATCTTGGTACTCGAACAATCCTTCTTGAATATTATTATTATTATTGTTATCATCATTATTATTATTGTTATTATGACTCTTGCTATTGTTATGATTATGATAATGGTTTTCTTTATGATTATGATAATGGTTATTATTATCACTATTATTATGATTCTTCTTATTATTATTATTATTTTTATCATCGTGAGTTGTAGTAGTAGTAGTAGTAGTAGTAGTAATTGTAGTAGTAGTATGGTAGCAGTTTTAACAGGAGCAACAGCAGCAGTAGTAGTTGATTATTTATGTTGTTTGTTTTATTAAACCCAGCCTGGTATGGTAGGACCCCCTGGACGTGCTGGACTACCCGGAACAGTTGTAAGTATATCTGCAGAAATCTAAAATCATATCCCGCATGCGATTATTACAACATTATAGATATCAAGTTCTGGTTATGTAAATCCACTTCGAGAGGAACTGGCTCAAATTATTATTTTACATATGAAATGGTGTGATGGAAATCGAGTCATTGTCCATGTTCATTTGGGGGATATTTCGAATGTGTAGATGAATATTTACATAACATCTGCATATAATCTGCATAAATATAAATACATCTATCATATACTTTAATATCCGCTATATTGCATTAATGTAAGCGTTAAAAACAATCAATAACCCCATGACTTGACGCCAGAACAAAGTAAATGCAGGAGCGGTTCTATGAGAATATATATATATATTCAATACGTGCTCACACCCTAAACCCCCTCTAGAACGGCTACCGAAATAAAAACATGTTCCCAGTAATGCATTCATTATTATCGTTGCCTTCATTTTCTGTTTAACCTTTACTATTCAGGGATACCGTGGACGCCGTGGACCCAATGGACTTGGTGGACCCCCTGGATCTCGTGTAAGTCTGAAACAAAATAAAAGTAACCGTGGGTCGGCCTGGTCTTATGAAGGGTTTTGATTGGTCTGTATACATTGCAAGTCCTCAAGTATATCGCAAATCTTCCATCTCTTCATAAAGTCCTAAATAGGCATATTTAGAGTCGCGATCGGTACGAATTTCAATGTAACTTGCAATCGACTGCGATGAATCTCAACTCTTTGTAAGATTAAGCCTTGTTCTGTCGATGTTTCAGACGTCTGCGGCTGGACAATGGATGATACTTCATGGGCAGACTTTGTTGGATATATATATATATATACATAGAGTAAATGATGATTAGCCGTACTTTCTTTACCTATACCAAAATCTACTTCACGTATGCTTTGCCTATTATTATACATGTATGTAGAAACTGCAAATGAGCATAATACGAATATGTCGAATATACTTTATATGTTCCCATTTACATGAGTGAAACAAAATATATAATGCATATAAGCTAATGAAAATTGCTTGAGCTATATGTATATTTATGCGATTAAATTTTATTTGACATCTGTATTATCTTTTCTTCTTCTTCTCCTCCTTCTTCTTCTTCCCCCTCTCTCCCTCTCTCCCCTTCTCTCTCTCTCTCTCTCTCTCTTCCTCTCTCGGTCTATATCCCTCTCTCCTTCTCTCTCCCTCTCTCATCGTCTCTATCTCTGTCTATTCCTTCAGGGAGAGGATGGTCGCGACGGTCGATCTGGAGGACGTGGACGCCCTGGACCCCCTGGACCCCCCGGACCAACTGGTGAAGTTGCCGCCGCTGCCCAAACCTCAAAGGGACCAAGTTGGAACGCAGCTGCCTTCCCATACATGCGTGGAGCAATGGCAGTGGTAAGAGATGGGGCCGTGTTCATAAATTATAATGGCATATTCAGAATAAACAAAAAGCGGGGAGATTGCTGAACTAAAAAGTAACTTCTCGGTAAACTCTTGGAACAGAATGTACTTTGGCAGCCGAACCTGATATAATTCCAGATCATAAATTAATTTATTAATAATTATTTAATATTTTTTAATCTATTTATTATTTGTTTAACCTTCTTTGTAGTTTTTTATGCGTACAAGGAGTGATATCGCGAGAGTAATCCTTTCAGATATTGTCTCGTTTGGAATTACTACACACATTGTATTAAAATACCCGGCAATAGTATTGTGAATCTGTTTATCTTGGCTTTCTTCATCGTCTTTCTAAACGGACGGACAAAGTTCAATGTCAAATTTACACGGCTTAAAACTTTCTGTTTAACTGCAAATATGAGTTTTTTTAAAAGATATAATAGTGTTTGTTCTCTCTGTTGTCTCGCTACCATTACACATTCTAAAATGTTTAGCTTTATTTCATAAAAAAAGAATCATACATCTAGATTATTGAGCTATTAATGTAGATATCGTTGATACCATATTGGTGGACATTTGACTAGTTGCAAATATCATTTTCTCTTCAAATTTGTATCATTTCATTTCTTTTCTTTTCAGGGACTACCTGGATCGGCTGGTTATGCTGGTACCCGTGGAAACCGAGTAAGCCTTTGACACAATTGTCCATATTTGGTGTTAAGATGATAAGAATAGCACATGAGAAGTCTACGATGTTAAGGTTATTGGGAAGTCCGAGATGTTTGCAATACCCGTAATTAGCAAAAATCTAATCTCTATTTTGTTTGACTGCCCTTCGCTGCAACGACAGTGTTCCAACTATTTAGTACTCTGTAAATATTCCTCACATCGCACTCTGTGAGGTAACTAAATATGGGGAGGAAGTCATTCCGTTGCGGTCGCCATGGGTATCCCGGATGATAAAAATACATTTCAACTGTTATCAAAATAAGGCAGCTATACATGATGAAATCTTCATGGACTCTTGTTCGCCCAACTGTTATTTAATTGCAAGCAAACATTTTTGTAAAGTAAAGTAAAGTACTCTAAAGAATCAAATCCAAATTGTGAAAAATGAAATTGCGTGACATTTTGTTACCGCCCACAACTGACATAACATTACAAGACGGTAAATGACTCTGGCCTATGTGCAACATCACGTCATCCAATTGGTGTGCCGCCCTCTACCTTGTCTCAGCCTACAACCCCACTTTACAAATACAACTTTTTCTTCTACAGGGACCTGCTGGTATGCGTGGACCCTCTGGACAATCAGGACCTTCTGGACCTATCGTAAGTTTTCAATTTTTATTTCTATATCTTTCATTTTGTTATCTTTTTATAAATAATCAGTGGGTTTCAACTTCCTGTTGATTTGATTTTTGATTTGATTTCATTAATTATTCCACTCAAATATCCAAAATTAAAATAACTTATATAAACCCTATAATATAACAATATATAATAGAACAAATTAATTATACGAGTAACGAATACTAATAAGTATCTAAGTAATAAAATTACTTTACAGAGTACATTTAAGTTTGAGAATAAATAAACATAATTTATGTTGCTTGATTGAACTGAGGGGGTAAAAAAAAAGTAGATCTCAGAAAGGGTAGGCTAGTCGAGCGATATTCACTTACAAATTAAGTACTAGACCATCGTCAGCGTGCATCAAATCATGATTCGGAGCTTGTGTGTTGAAAGAACCATCAATTGTCACCAAGAGAATCAATCCGTTGCTGAATATTGAAAACTTGTCAGAAGCCCGCATATTTGCAGATTTCTCTCAAAATGCCCTTTTCCAATGCTATAGTATTCATAACAAATTGTTTTAATTTTGTTTTGCACACAAAGTTTATATAAAATGATAATCTTTTTATTGTCATTATACCTTATAATTCTTTCGTCTGACCTTAATGTTTTTGTTCAATGACCATCGGTTCAGTATTATTTTCATTATCATTATTGAATTATTTAGTTATTGAATTTGTCACAACTATTATTTTCTTAATGATTATTGATATAATCGTATATATTGCCCTTGATATTAATACCATCATTATCATTATTATTATTATCTTTGTCATGTCTGGCCAGGGTTCTGCTGGACCACGCGGACCACGTGGTGAAGACGGTCCTGATGGAGATGATGTAAGTGTCAAAGTTCAAAGGTTAAAGTTGAATTTCGACATAATATTTTATTTAGAGGCGATGAGACATGCATGATTACATTATTTCTGTTATGATATTTTATAGGTTAACTTGATAGTATCGACATGATAGGCGGAATCGTTAAAACTTGGTTTCAGTCAAACGTAATGATAATAACAGTTGTATTCAGTTGATGAGTATATATAGCACCTCTTTTTTGTGTCCTTTAGTAAAAAACTTTGCATATTTTTTTTAAATTAAGTTTGACCACGTATTATTTCTTATTTTTCTGATGACTTAGCTTCTCTTCAGTTCTTAGAAAACATATATAATGTAATTTTTAGCAACAGACGTGTGATTGAATAACAGGAGGCTTCAAATAAAAACTACATTGACGCGTCATAAAAGTCACATTGGGTAAAAAAATTGTGACGTAGACATTACACAGTAGCATTATACGATGCTCTGATCATATTCTTCAGCTAAGTGAATCGCTGCTGATCGTATTTATTTAATTTTGAATGGCTTTGATTGTGATACAAGAATATATTGCTCGAGCTATGACAATATTGCACGAGTCGAAGACGAGTCCAATATTGTCATAGCGAGAGCAATATGTTCTTGTTTCACACGAAAACAAAGCCATATGATATTATTATAATTATCTATATCGGGATGACTAGAAAAATAACAAAATTTGTCTTACCTCGGTAAATATGGCTTTGTTTTCGTGTGAAATCGATATCGGTAGTTGAAGTTCCCAGATGACTGAGCAATACGAAAATAATATTGGTGATTCATCCGAGTACAGCGCTAAAGATACTAGATACACTGATTTATTGTACCACTTGGAAGCCTTATATAGATAACAATAATTGCAGGATTTTATCCATTGATATGATATATATATATATATATATATATATATATATATATATATATATATATATATAAGTATATATAAATATGCACTGCTGCCGATAAAGTTTGAATAATTTCTTTTCTTACCTCTTTTCATGAAATCATTGTGACAATATGATTTATTCTTGACAGATAAAGTTGATCTCTTCCAGAACTTTATGGAGATTGATCAATACATTTCTGAGAAGAAACAAAACATTATCTATCAAGAATAAATTATACTTTCACATTCATTTCATTAAAAAAGAAGGTAAGAAACAAAATTATCCAACGTTATAGGCAACAGTGTATATTCAGTAGGAGTACACCACCTGAAAATTAAACGGCTCGTATGATCTTCTCCCTCCTAACTTCATAGGGCAAGAATGGCGCCCTGGGACAACTCGGATTCCCCGGTGAACCCGGACGACCTGTAAGTTCACTTTTTGTTCATTATGACAGACTTAATTCAAAGTTTACTTATTTACAACAAGATAATTCAAACAAGATACTAACCATACAGTAATAAATCAGATATATGATATTAAATTTATGATGTAAGTTTCCGAAATGATATTCACATTCGAACATCTCTTTGAATATCTTTGAACGACTTATTTCTAAAACGTATCATTTATATCAGTAAGAAAATAACAATGAGAACCAAATTTGATATAAATCGGAAGTACAGCAACATAATTGCACATGTAAAAGACATGTCTCGAAAAAATTTGATTTACTGGAGGAGCCTAAAGTATTATTAAAATTAGTCTGTTGTGAATGGTCACGGATGTTGAATAGTTGCAGTTCATGGACTAGTAGGAATAAATAAAGGAGAGAGAGAGAGAGAGAGAAAGATAACAGAAAAAATCTTAGATTCTAACCCTTTGGTTTATGACATTTTATTTACATCTAAAAGATTACATTTTATTTACGTCTAAAATATTACATTTTATTTACATCTAACATATTACATTTTATTTACATCTAAAATATTACTAACAATTAGATTACTCGCTTCTGATTTTAATCATCTACAATTTGTCAATATTTTTTTCAGAACCTTGTTATATTCATTTATTATTCATATTATGATTGTTACGTGTTTTATATATTTATATAATAATTCTTAAATTTATTTATATCTCTACTTTTATTTATTTATTTTATTTATTTTGTAATTTAATTATCTATCTTTGATTAACAGGGGTCTGCTGGATCCCCTGCAAGAAATGGAGCTCCTGGACACAAAGGATGGACCGTAAGTTGAGCTCCGATTGTCAGATTAAAAATTAAATTACTCCCTTCTTTATCACATCCGGTCTTCTGTATCTACATTTCAATTTCCCTTAGGCATCTTTTCGAGTAGATGTTTCATGATCCGAAAAAGGCTCAAGTTTTCTACGCCATTTTAAAACCACAATTTTGAGCATCATCAGAATATATTTTGTACTGTATTTTTTTAATGGCATATTAGTTGTATAAGCACCTGTGTAAATGTGTTTATTTACATGTACTTAGCAGAAGACGGCAGAATCATATCACATCAAATCATATGTAATGAATGTTAACCCTTTAAATGGGTTATTTAGACTTGACTTTGATAAAATGATAAACTGATTTTTTTTTTTTTAAAGTCAAAATTTATCTGACAGCTATTAAAAATAGGTTAGAAAATTAAAAAAAAGTTTCTGCATTTCACTTGATAGGGTATGTTCGGAAGGAAGGGAGCCCGTGGAGATAGGGGAGAATCTGGAAGCGCTGGACTCGAAGGTGTTGGCGGATCCGTGGGAGCAATTGGAAACGCTGTAAGTATTTCATTCAGATATTTCTCTTAAAACGAATATAATCTACTTAGTGTATAGTATATAGAAGAGAAAAAACCAAGATAATGCTCAGTTTGTAATCGAGCTTCATTCAAAAGGTATTATTACTGTTGTTTGAACATTATATTTGAACCGTTCACGTGCTCTTGTTATATAAAACCAACTGATTGTTACCTCGTATCTCGAGATTTCTTAGACAATGCTTTTTGTCTGATGAAACTGTAGTTTTTAGGTTTTACTGAGACCTTTTTCACTTTGCACTATAAGGTAGTAATTACGTGTTGTCTGTGCTGATCGGCAACCTTTGCAAACCAGCGAACGTGCCAAGTGGCAAATGAGACAAAGGTTTGTTTACCTATCTAATGCCCCTTACATCAGCCACTTTGCAAGTTTACATCGACACTATACTTCAAATCATTTTGTTTTGCTATTAAAGATACCTTTATACGATATCAGACACATTTCCCCCTCACTTTGAATCCTTCAGACTGTTCATTTATTTTTCGGGATACGTATGTAAAACACTTCACAAACGATAATGGTTAATCAATACCCAAGTTCTTCATCAGTGCTTGAAATCATAACTTTTATCTCAATAATTTCTTTTTCTATAATATCGGAGCTTCAAAATTTAATGTCGGATTTCTTTTTCTATAAACCTAGGGAGCTCGTGGACTGCCTGGATCAACTGGACAAACTGGACAAAAGGGAATTGTCGTAAGTAAAGACCGATTTTCTTCGTATTTTTATAAGGAGTCACCCTTTCTCATCCCTTTCTCATCGTCATCATATGACACCTGTATACTAGTTGAGATGGAGTCCGATCTTTGACGCCGTTTGCTTTGTTCCATCACGATCTTTAATAGTGTCTTCTATCTCAAGATTAAGATGAAATGCAAGCTCATCCCTGAATGTGGGGGGCGTCGGTCCCTGTTTTGGAGGGGCAGCCTATAGCAGATGACGTCCAACACAGCTTGGTATTTAGCTCTATAGCCATGACCAGCGAGTCGTAAATTGCGTTGAGCAATCGTGATTGAAATTGATTGTATGTTCTCATTTTTAGATCTGATCAACCGCATGTTTTCGAAATTATCATTTCGGATTTATGTCGATCTGTATACTACATCGATGCGAACAAAAACAGAAAAAGAAAAAAAGACCACACCACATTTGTGATCTTAAAGAATTCAAATGTACTATATTCTTCTCCAAATGCAGGGTGACATAATAGATTACAGTAAACGATGCCGATCTGAAAGTTCCAATTCTGTTAAACATTTGTTTTTGTTTATTTGTTTACAGGGAGAACGCGGAAGCACTGGCGAAGTTGGAGATAATGGACGCATTGTAAGTATTCTTTGAATTTGTCAATGTTTGTGATTGTTTCGGCAATTTAATGGGACAGAAAAGAATACTTATAACCATTACCCTAAAATGTAAAGTAATATTATAACATTACTTGTAAAAGCATAAAGAAATATAATAACATACCCCTAATAATACCCTAGCAAAATGCGTTGTGTAAGCGCTTATCATTACATGTCCATTACTTTATATTGAGAGTGTATGTCAAAGTATAAGGGAAATGAAAATTGTGAAAATATGACAATATATGTTCCTGCTATATTGATATATTCATCATTATAAATAAGAAAAGGTTCATTGAAGTTTAAGATACATGTTTAGGAATAATCAATTGAACACTTTAGGTCTCTGAATTTTACAGCCTTCTATCGGATATGTTTGTAAATTTGCATGAAACGTAATTTCTATGAAGATTAATCTATAAATATTAAATAAAAAGTGTAAATCATGAGCTGAGATTGTTCATGTTGACAATATGTAATTCAAATTCATGTGATTAAAACATATATATTGTCTTTTCACTTTTAATCATATAATAACAATTCACTGGCAATACCGAACAACTTTTACCAAGCAGTGAACTCTATATTTTATTTTCTTATTTGAATTCTCTCTCTCTCTCTCTCTCTCTAGGGTAACACCGGACCTATGGGCGTTTCCGGAGCAGTCGGGTTGAGCGGAGCCAAGGTAAAAGTCAGGAGTGTTAGAAAATTCACTCGTTTAAGGAGTCATATTGGGGATCACTTCCATTGGATTTAAATCCATTTCAAATACTTGTGGAACCTAGTCAAAAGAAGTGGTTGAATGATTTTTGCGAGTAGATTCTACTTTTTAAGCATGAACCACATTTATTTAATTCCCCGTATTAAAGTAGATTTCCTCTCGCATACATTCAAAGAGTGCTACTGTAACAGGATGACTATTTGTTTATTGATTTATTTCTGATATTTATACAGGGTAGCACATATTACCAGTTTGGTAAGAATAAAACAAATAACAGCATCAAAAACAAAATAGATAAATACACGAGCATATGAACAGGTAAAATACAAATTAATTGGTATTCCCCTGGAAAAAACTGATCCCCATTATTGTACCTGGAGATAAATGAGTTTGGTGTTTTATTGGTGACATTATCATGATGAATATCATTATAATTATCATTATGGTACTTATTATTATTATTATTATCATATTTCTTCTTCTACTTCTACTTCTTCTTATTATTATCACCATAATCATCATTATTATAATTTCGTTTGGACACAGGGACAAGTTGGAAGCTCTGGAGAACAAGGAACACCCGGTACAGTCGGTCTGCTGGGCGAGACTGGCAAGCGTGGCGCTCATGGAAGTGCCGGAGCACCGGTAAGTACCCATCCCTCCCTCCTGCATTTGTTAGGTGTTTTATTTTTAAGTTTGTTGTTTCCTTATTGATCAGTATAGGGAAAGTTGAGTTCCAAATCAAGTAATGAGAGAGAGAGAGAGAGAGAGAGAGAGAGAGAGAAGGGGAGACAGAATAAGCCTTTTAAACCTTTTATTTAAGTTAGAGAGAGAGAATAAGAGAGAGAGAGAGAGGGGGAGGGGAGAAAGAGATATAGGGTGTTTATATGAAGTAGATCTGATCAAACATTTTTCCATTGAATTATGGATCCTACCATATAAACAATAAACACAAAAGTGAAATCCTGCGGGCAAATTATAACGTAGAATGATAGTACGAGCATTTCTTTTTGTTTGTGTCTTAGAATTACAACTTCACCCGCAATCAGAACTCAGTTCATGTTTCAAATACATGACAGCTAATTTGTGGTGATCATTATAGATATATTGATAAGATTTAACTTTGCTTTTTCTTTTCTTTTTAGGGAACACCCGGAGCAAACGGCGATGGTGGCTCTATGGGAGAAGTTGTAAGTAATCCAGTTCATGTTAAAATTTTGTATTACTGAGGTTGTGATAGAGAGTTGACATGGTATGTGGGGCATATGTTGTTTTAGTGTTAAACACAAACTTCTTATTTTTTTTCCCAATTCGAAATTACGTGTATCTTACAAAATGGAATTATTATGACAATAGTTGTAATTTATATAGCTTCGCGTTTGCGTTGTGGTGGTCCCCGAGTTAGAATACTACAACACACAACTCTTATAATTATAATGAGGGCAGGGGTGATAATGAAAGCAGCAGCATATTGCTCGTCTCCATGTCGTGTGGACCTCCCCCCCCCCCCCCCCCCTCTACACGACATCTAGGCATGGTGAGCCCCGCTTGCTGTAGCCCTATTCCAGCATGAACAGATTGTGAATAATAATTGCTATTACAAAATATAAAAAAAGCAGTTTCTGGTTTTAATGTACTGGGTTTTCAAATGCATGCTAGCGTCAGACTATCTTTCGTTTTTTTTCTCCTTCTTGTCATTCATTCTGACTTTCATGTGCTTGGTTACAGGGTATTGCAGGAGACCTGGGTTTGCCAGGACAGAACGGCGCACCCGGAACCCAGGTAAGATTGTAGAAAAGTCGCTTCGTTCGTTTGTGTCTCCTTAGATCAAGATTAATGTAAAGTTCCTAAATTAAATTAAATTAAACTAAGTTCTTCCATCGCCTGATGGCTGCGATGGCCGTCCCATTTACTAGGGCCATGTCTTCATCTGTGCAACCCGTTCCGCCACGCTGAGTCTGAGTCTGAGTCTGAGTCTGAGTCTGAGTCTGAGTCTAATAAGATCAAGAAAAGTCCCTGATCCGAAATTTGTTCCGGCGAAAATTGCTCCGGACTTATATCGTTCAAGATTTCCAAGGTATAGGGTTAAGGTGCGGGTTGCAATTTTAATTTTAGGTTAGTGTTAGGTTTAGGTGAAGGGTTAGGTAAGGTGTTTGGTCAAAGGCAGCGGTAAAGAATGCGGTTGATAGAGGAAATTGACCGCGGATCAATTGTCACCGGAGCTTGTTATGTGCCGCAGTTGATTCGGAAGATTCGTATCAAGTGCATAAGTTGATTTTCGTTCACAGGAGCATACGAGACTAACATTAAACAATAGTTAGGCTAAGGTTAAAGTTAGTTTTAGTGTTTAGTCAAAAGTTCAAGTGAGCTATTCGGTAGATCGATTGTCACTGGAGCATTGAACTTATAAAGATAATAAAATGAAAGAGAGAGATTGAGAGAGAGAGAGAGAGAGAGAGAGAGAGAGAGGGGAGGGAGCGAGGAAGGAAGAAGGGAAGAACTGGTCTGGGGGGGGGGAGGGGGTAGAAAGTGGACACTTGTTTAAAAACTGTTGCATTCCGAAATAATTGTCACGTGATGTCAGAAGAACAAGCACCTGAATTATTAATGGCAAATGTTGTTTTTGCTGTTTTAGTCCATCCATCATATCATACTGAAAATGATTTATTTTCTTTTGTTCTAGGGCACAACTGGTATTGAAGGAATCGATGGCGAACGTGGAAACCCAGTAAGTACCTGTTTGAATTTGAATTTGAATTTGAGAAAAATAAAGCTACACAGTTGAATGTCCAAATGAATTATATGATAGCACAGACCATTTTAAAGACAATTGCAAAATTAGTACAGCATTTGTTCTCAATTTGACTTAGAACAAGAATGAACATATGGGGAAACTGCATGTATACATGACTAAAAGTAAAATCTTCGTTTTCAAATACAAATAAAACTGTGTAATAAAGCATTAGGCATTATTAGAAAGGCTTTTGAATTTCGTACGTATTGTGTACATAATTTACACATTTTAGAATAAGCGATGCATTCATTTGAAAACTATTCCTTGTTCACATGTTGAAAAATTCAAACAATTGTTCATCTTGACTGTAAAAGTAAGGATTAATTTGTCACAAAATTCTAACTCACAATCTCATTCCTTTTTCTTGAAAGGGATTGATCGGATTTGTTGGTGTGGATGGTCCCCGTGGAGCCGCCGGATCTAGGGTAAGTTTTACGGGTTCCCGGTAGGATGCGAACGTCATTGTGATTGGATTAGCATGTGTGCGCCCGTACAAGGGTGACTAGTGGAATGCTCACCAGGGAGTGGAGAATGCGCACTGAAATGTTCCCGGTAGGATGCGAACGTCATTGTGATTGGATTAGCATGTGTGCGCCCGTACAAGGGTGACTAGTGGAATGCTCACCAGGGAGTGGAGAATGCGCACTGAAATGTGCAGATTGAGAACTAAATCCACGTGACTGGAGTATTAAGCGCTTTGCTCAGTTAATGGCAAAGCGCTTTATACGGAGCGGATATTATTATTATTATAATTATTATTATTATTATTATTATTATCATTATTATTCAGTTTAATGTATGGAGATATTGTATACAAATAAGCTGTGGATTCTAAAAAATAAACGTAGGTTCCATTTTCAAAGAAGTAACGGATGTTTATTAATGGTTCTTCACACATCGAATTGTATTCAATTTTCTTGGTGATGTAGGGGTGAGGGGAACAAAAGAGACTTTAAAAACATCAATAGAAAATAAAATGCATACATTACGGAATGAGCATCGAGGATAATTATAACTATCGATAGTTTTCACCGAAGAGCAAGCACTTTTAATTTTTTTTATTATATTTGTTTTATTATATTATTCTTTATTGTGAAATTATGGACGAACTTATTTGTAAAATTGCATTTGCTGAATCATCCCTTTACAATCACAACTTTATGCTTAAAACGTGACCCAAAGCCAGTTCACATTAGAATCGACCCGGTTAAGCATAAATTTAAATTCATAAATATTGCAAATTCAAAACATCTATTCTCTCTTAAAGTAACATTTCTGACTTAAACAAGAAAAAACATGCACACTGAAATACTACCTTTTCTTGACTACAGGGCCAGCGTGGAATAGTCGGAGAGCAAGGACGTGTTGGAAGCCAGGGAGAGTCTGTAAGTATAGTTCATATAAATGGTAGCTTCGAATACTGATAACAAGGAAGAATTTAAAATGGTTAAAGTTATATAGTCAACATTGTTTATTGTTTGTTTTACTTGACTACTAAGAATGAATTTGCAAGCTTGTGACCAAGAAACCAGGGGACCAAGGGCTTAAAGTCCTCTCCGAAGGACTAGTTAATGAAGATTACGACACCACTGCTCTACTATTGAGCTTTCGCGCTATAGTCAACATATTACTCGCGTTTATTAACTGACGAAATAGCTCAAACGCAAAACCTATATGTTAGATGTATCCTAAAGTCGTTTTTTAAATCCTGGAAATAAAAAAATTACCATACCGTAGTTCATCATTATTTTATTTTACTTCCATTTTGTTTTATTTCTTGTATCTATCATTTAAGATTTTTGTTTTGTTTTAGGGGATACATGTTGTATTTTGTTTCTTCTGCAAGCATCAATAGCTTAGATGATGTTTTTATTGATGTCATATACATGTATCTGTGTTTTCACAGGGAGAACAAGGTTTAACTGGACCAACTGGATCTCGTGGATCTATGGGAGAACCTGTAAGTACTGCACTTTTACTTCATAATTAATCAGTAAGATCCTGTTTTTTTATAATTTTGGAGGCTGATTTAATTTGTGCGTATCTTTTTAAAACCCTAGTAGTATGCTTTAGTTCGTGTAAATACTAGTTCACATCTTGCTGCATGTTAGGCTGACTCGATGTCTAATGTGTACTTACTGAATCGTTTTAATACTAACACATGTTCTAATAAACAATTTGGTCTTGTTGGTCAACTTGATTTAAATTCTTCCTTCTGATTATGGTTCATTTTAGGGACCTAGTGGAGCTCCAGGTCTCCTTGGAGCTGGTGGTCTGAAGGGAACTCTGGTAAGCATTTACATTTTCGAGTTTGTTTTTTATATTTTAATAACACTCGAGAAATTGATGCAAAGAGTTTTCATTAGTCTCAGATTAACTGTAGCATTTTCTGTTGTATGGTTGGAAAAGTCGTGCATTCAACAAGATCTTCTTTTAAGCGGTTTTAACAATATACAGTAACTTATGACAAAAATATAATTTTCTTTATTAGGTCTTTGTTATCAAAATCATTTGTTGTGTTTCCTGAATGATTACACATAGTATTTTATTTATAGCCAAATAAAGATCATTATATGGAATTCTTTGCCTGTATAAGAAAACTGGTAAAACCTAATGCACTGTAAAATGATTAATTCATCACCATAAACCGTTGTAGTAGTAGAAAACAAAAATAAATTGCCGGAGAAACAGTGCTCTATAAAATCTTACAATGAATTTTGGATGAATTTTTGAATAACAGTTAACAAAAGAAGTGCCATAATATTAATCAAAGAAAATGTCTTTAAATGTATGGATGAACTAAAAATTATTCCGAACATCTATGTAATTTTGTTTTATTGTTATCTGTTGCTAGGGAGACAACGGAGAGGCAGGAGCCGCTGGAACCCCCGGAGAAGCAGGAACTAGGGTGAGAATATGATCAATGATAACTATCTATCCATCTCCCAAACCAATATATCTGATAGTTCATATTTGTCGAGTTAATATTTGTTTTCATTTTCTACCAACTTATGTCCCACTAGGGTTCTTTTGTAAGAAATGATTTTGACATTTTTCATTTGAATTCTGTAAATTCTAAATTAAAATCTATTTATATAATTTATTTAAAATATTTATTTAAAAAAAAAAAAAATCGATTTAATTATTGTGCTATTTGTTGTAGACAATAATCTGATAATGGAGTTTTGCCAGCTATTAGCACTCATCAATTTCAAGAATGGTTTGTGGCAAAATAAAAAGGGGGGTTAGGATAGTTTCATCTGTGGAATGTATCTTTCCGTCTGTATATCGATCTATATCAGTATATGTCTATAGACCTATCAAACGATACGTTTATCTTTATTTTCTTGTGTATAAATTGACTATTTTAGCTCAATCGGTTTATCTTTGTTTATCCTCACTTCAGGGATCACCAGGTTCAGCCGGAACCCCAGGATCGACAGGAGAAAATGTAAGTCTATTTTTTGTTGGTATATCTTAAAGTAAATTGGGTTTATCATGCAATACGCACAAACACTTCGATGAATTGGCGTTAGATATCCCTCCGCTGTCGCCACACCATTAAGCCTTCATTTGCCACAAGTGCCAATTGACACTTTGGCTGGAGTGCCATGACTGCCGATCGGCACAAACAGTAGGCACCATTATCACCACAGTTTCACTGTTCATTATAAAAGCCATGCGCATACCTAATAACAAACTTCCGACCTTTATTGACTACATGGCAACGCTGTTATCATCTGTAATTAACATATTTAGGTTGAAAATTGTCAATGAGAAGCCTTTTCTTAAACAAAATAAAATACACCATTTGATATTTAAAATGTGGCACATAGATATTATGTGTGAAGAACATTCTATCACAATTACAATACATTAACCTTTTCAAGAATTTATGAACAGTTTCTTCCATAGTGGAATCAGAAGAACAGTATACTCCTAATAATCTTTCGATGGTGTGCAACGGTGCCGTTGATTCATAGTTCGAAAATAAACATAGAACATGCACATTTCATGAGCATAGAGAACAGAGAGAAATAATGAAAGTTAGTTTATCAACTTCCAAAGCATCAAGCCTCGTGTTTCAACATACATAACATACATTTCCGTGTTTCAAATCACGCATGAGTTGAATAACGGAAATTTGCCTATTTTGTGATATACCTCGTCTTGCTTAGACACAGGGCGTGACACCTGACACCGTAACGTACATTATGACTTTTGATGACGATACATCACGTGATTCAGATCACAGGGAGAACATCCGCGGTTCGAACAAGTCGTACAAAAAAACTTAATTTAAAAAGACTGGTACAATGTATCATTTGTATCAATAACATCATAAATATCTAATTAATTGTACAGGGCCACCCTGGAGAAGACGGTCTAGCTGGCAGCGATGGAAAGACTGGTGCAACTGTAAGTTATAACATATTTTCGTTTGTAATTATCATCGAGCCACATGCATGGAGATTCTCCTGATTTAGTTGTTGAAGGAAAAAAGAAAATAATGAAAAAAAGAAAGATTGCTAAAATAAAGAAAGAAAGAAAGAACAGACTTAAAGATACTCGGGGAAATTTGTCCCAAATAGTTGGTGTTTAATTATATTCTTTTTAAAGTTAGCATAGAGATATCAATATGACGTGCCGAGACAGAAGATTCTACCTCTTGTAGAATAATCATGATTTATAATAAACCAACTATCTGTGCGTTCAAATATTAACACAAGTTAGCTCTTTGAAACTCTTAAACACTGAAAAACTGTATGAACTTTATTGATTCTTTAAGCCGATTCATATAGACTCTCTTAGCATGAGCTGACAAAGCATGGAAAGTGGGTTTTGATTCATTTGTGAATTAAAGGAGCTTTCCTGAAAGTTTTGACGTCATCATAATTATCTGTATTCACCAACGCCAGATAGGTGTCTACTCTTTTCGAATGAAGACGAAAGCTTCTGTCAGTTGTGACTATTTCAATATGCACATTGCATTAATAGTTTTATGGTCGATTTGCAATCGTCCTGAATCTAATTTTAAAAAGATATCCTTGTGGATGTAGTTTAGAATCTCTCGTTTTCATTACCTCGTCCCCATTTTCGTGTCAAAGAATAACTCTCTCAATCTGAATCTCGTTTTCTAAAATCTCGTTTTCTAAAATCTCGTTTCGAATCTTCTTGTCTCGTAGGGCTCACAAGGCAGGGATGGAGCTTCCGGAGCAGCAGGAGAGAGGGTGAGTAATCAGCAGATGAATATCCGGTCAATGTATATTGATGTCGGGCTGAGATTAGAATCCTCCGCCTCTCAATTGAAAGTCAAGTGTGGATAAATCACCGAGTCACGACACTCCCATGAAAAAATAATTGTTTATCATTACTATTTTTGTTATGATTCGTGAGGCATATTGTGTGTAATATCCCATGCAACAATTAATGTATTGAGTGTTTTTCATCATGCTCATCGTTTGGGGTTTTCAGCAAGATTTAGTGAATATGTTACGATTTTTGACACGTCCAAAACAGCTTAGTACAAAAATGTTACTTCCTTTTTACTACTAACCATAGAACAGCGATTAACTTCTGGACAATTTATTTCAAAATGCATTGCCAGAACTCAATAACAATAATGAAATGATTATTTGAATGATTACTTGAACAGATTGTTTAACTGAGTTGTTGTGTTCTTTCCTTTACAGGGAGCTACTGGCCCACCAGGACAGCAGGGACCCCCTGGTCTGGGTGGAGAATCTGTAAGTATCAAGCTTTTGTCCTCTACTATATGATAAAACTTGAACCGAAATTTTCTAACAAATTCAATTTTCATTTTAATAGGTAGATGATGTGCCGAAATACGTCAGTCAACCTGTCAAATACTTGTTATGTTCTTATCTACAGTATATAGCATTGAAGCTTTTTAATTGACCGCTATTTCTTGAAGATTTCATAACTCTCTTAAATTTTGCCATTTTAAACATGTTCAAAGGAGATTTACCTTTCACTCTATCTGCAACCATGCAAACAATTTTATTTTTAAGTAAATTTGTACATATTGCAAAACACTGTTTTACGAATCGTGACATGTGAAATTTCTGGTATTATATTTTCCATGAATTGTTTATGTTTTGGATTAACTACAATGCATGTTCTTCCTTGTTTTATTTTTCCTGTAGGGAATCAGCGGATCTCGTGGTGCCCCTGGATCACCAGGAACCCGTGGAGAGGCTGTAAGTTATGCCTTCGATACTAGATAGTATACCACTCCCTACCTATAATCAAGCCCTATTGATTCCTACACTACAGCCATTAACTTTCAATTGGCAGCTCGTAACATTGATAGTGATATATACTTTTATATGCGTTTGTATTCTTGCAAATGTTTATATTTCATATGTTCATCTCACTGTCTCTCTTATGTCAACTTCTGTCTTGCCCCCCCCCCTCTCTCTCTACCTCTCTGCACAACTTAATATGATATTTTTTTTGTAAAGCGTTTTATAGAAACGGGTTAGAAAACATATTGTATTAAGCGCTCTAGAAACATATTGTATTATTATAATAATCTTATCTCCCACTTCTCCCCTTTTCTCACTCTATATCTGTACACGCTCTCATTCTCTCCCCATCCTCCCTTTCTCTCACCTCCCTTCCCTCTATACTCCCCTCTCCCCCACCTTCTCTTCTCCCCTCTCCCTTCCCTCCCTCCTCCCATCTTGCCCTCTCACCTTCTTGTACATGACAGGGCGAAGAAGGAGAACCAGGAGCAGCCGGACAGGTTGGACTTCCAGGATCCCAAGGAAGGCGTGGAGATGATGGACCTCAAGGACCCGGCGGTATTGCAGGACTACAGGTGACACATGCCATCCCCTTTCTAAAATTTTGATATTTCTTGTTTGATTAACGACCTCTTTTCGTATCGCTACCATGACAATTATTGAATGGATATATCAAGATATTCGTTGGTGGGGCTCGCTTAAAGCTCACAAAATCCCTGAATAAGTTAATAAATGACATTTGACTTGGCACACTGGACTGACAAAATGAACATCAGAACAAATTTCTCACGCATCGAAACTTGTGTCCTACCTACAACTTCTAATGTTGATAACTTTTCAGCGTTCTTCTGAGCGTTCTTTTGAAAAGGGTAAAGAGTGCGGGCATTATGTTAGACCTGTTGGTCATAAAAGTTGTCCAAGAGAACCCACGTGTATTGTCTTTACTAAGCCAAGGAGATATTGATAGTTCACCATTAATCAGTTTGACATGATATTGTTGTACACAAAGGCCTATCGCAAAAGTTATGCACATTATGATTATACATTGGTTATTTATATTTTTTCTTTAATTTTCTGTTTATGTGATATATAGGGACAAACAGGAATGGATGGTAACACCGGAGCTCGTGGATCCCGTGGAGACCGCGGACCCATTGGACAAACTGGAACCATGGGAGCTACTGGCGAAGTTGTAAGTATCAACATATTAAGTTTTCTCGTAAAATGCATTTATTGATGTCATTCACTCTTCTCTGCTAATAACACTTCGCCAAAATGTTGTTCACGCTGACAAATTAGCCGACTGCAATGAAGCTATGCAAGATCTTCTCCAAACGAATATTTTCCTCGACAGTCTGAAATGCTAATAAGATTGTGTGGTCTTCCAACAAGGGCAAGTTAATCTACAAATAAGAAATATAAATGTTTTATTTTAAAATTAGTTATTAAGTGGTGAAGAGGGCTACAAACGAGAAACTATTTCGAAATTATGTAGACCTGGGGGGGGGGGGGGCGTTTCATGAAACAGTTAGTCTAATATCATTTTCACCGACAATTTAGTCAGCACTGACTAAGTTTGACCAATCAGAGGCCTGGAAAACAGTCGGTGACGATAGAATTGTCGGTAAAAATGATATTAGTCGGTGAAAACCACCGACTAATTGTTTCATGAAACGCGCCCCAGTATTTAGGGATGATGATGATGGCGATGATGGTGGTGATGATGATGACAGATTCCATTGCTTTGATGTCAATTTTCGGCAGTAAGTGATAATTTTGCTTACGTTTCAATCATCTTTGCCCGTTACAGGGAGAACAAGGTCTTCGTGGGGCTGCTGGACTTCAGGGTCCCGGTGGTCTTGTAGGAGAGCGTGGAGTTGATGGACGTGCTGGGCGACAAGGAGAAGTTGTGAGTATTAAAGCCCCACTGCACTACTTGTAGCTACTTGCGCCCTCTATATAGCAAACAATGCCTAATCGGTGACCGTTGGTACCCCATGATCCCCTTTTTTCTTATGTTAATTGAGAGCTGATTTGATGAGATACATCGGTCTGTTCAGCCACAGACAGTGATGTTCCAGCACCACAGTCAGTTATGATTCACACACATGGTCTTTACAGACTGAAGGAGGCCTAAGAAGAAGAAGAAGAAGATTGATGAGATAACCACCTGTCAGTGACCATGCAGGGAGGTCTAATCTCTCCTGGCCAAACTAGTGCAGATATGCTTTAAGGAGAAGTTCTTAATTGTCAGGAGAGCTAGAAATTTTTCATAAATCACATTGAGGGCTACATTACAAAGACATGCCAATGGCCCATACAAGGCGGGGGAAACAGTGTGTGCTGTGACAGTTTGTTTTTCGTGTTCATTGAATTAATGTAAAAGTAGAAAAGATTTAGTGCATATTGTTGATGAACTTAAAAAAGAAATATTTCTATCTCTGTCACCTGCTAATTCAATTTAAAGTACTTGTTCCAATCCTGGAGGTACAGTCTGTGATGAATTTTGAGAAAAATAAACTCGTTCCGTTTTTGTTCCAAAGGCAGTACCTAATGATGCTAAAATGCTATTTCACAATTGTCATTTTCTTATCTTGTCAGGGACTCACTGGATCAGGTGGTATCGGTGGACCTCCAGGACTCCGTGGACTACAGGTAAGATCACAAGCGAATTCTTCTATGATAAAGGAATTAACTAAAAAGTATCTAAAAACGCTTAAGAATTAAACATTTAGTTTAGTATGCATTATAATTGATATAATATCGGATTTGACATATTATTACAAGAAAAATAGTTGAGTTGAAATAAATATGTGAAAAAGGCTTTCCATTGGATGGATATCCTGCCCATGAGAAGTGAATAATTCGTTGGAGCTAAGAATGGCTACGCTTCTCTTTTCGAAATAGAAACAAGTACCGTTACGATGAATTGTTCTTCTATATGGAATATATTAATTATGCCTGGAATTTAGCAAGGAAACTAAGTCTCACATATTGTACAAAGGAAGGGTTACAATCAAAGAGTTACAACTAATGCATAAAATCATTTGATTTACTGCAACACTCTTTAGTGTGCTCAATAGACGGTGTCAGGACACTGAAGACATCCCAACTTAGAAATATTTGACTTTCGTCTAATAATGTTTTTTTTCCTTTTTTTTCTCTCTCTCTTTTTCTCTTGAAGTTGGAGTACTTATACTAAACATACTATGATTATGATTATAAAAATCGCAATTTCATTGTGGATGCAGAAATGCTATTCATTATTGTTGAAGTTGTTTTTGGCATGATTTAATTGTTTTCTTTTTTGCTCTTTTCAGGGACCTCCTGGACTCCGTGGAGGAGTTGGACCTACCGGATCAATGGGAGAGGATGTACGTGATTCCGTCTTGGTTTACAACCATTTGATTAATCGATAGAGAAATTGTTCTGTACCGTACTATACTAATGAAACCTTAAAACCATAACTTGATAGAAACATACAACACTATAAAGAAATATACAAAATAAAAGCTCATCGCTCTTTATCTTTATATATTAATAACTCCTGAAGACCGTTGTTTCTCCAAGAGAACAAGTTTGAAAACCCCAAAAACAAACAAAACAAAGCAAACCAATTTCAAAGGCGAAATAGATATTGGCTTTGGGTCTTTCACATGTAATAACACACTGAAGACCACTGCTTCACCCGAAACCTTGTTTAAGAACCAACTACAAATCGAAATCACATTTAGGTTGGACAGTCAAAATTTACCTAATAATTAAAAAAAAAAACTTTATCCCTTGGCCTTGCAGTATTAATAACTTCTGTTCAGTGCTTCACCAACGAACTTATGTCAGAACCAATACCAATCTGATTACAGATGACTTTGTGCCTTACAATAGTAATACGTCCTGAATGATAATGCTGTACCAAAGTACTTGTGTTACAACCAACGAAAACATCTCAAGACATGTAAATTTACTTACACACTATAAGATAATGGTAAAATTAAAATTTAACGTTTTCTTTCCTGCAATTTAGGGTGATCCAGGTGTTTCTGGACAGCAAGGATCCTCTGGAAGGACTGGAGAGCGAGTAAGTGAGGTTTTCATTGTGATAACTATCTATTTTAATGATTAATATGATGATAACTTTTGGTATTAATTTAATTGACAGTATTATAGAGAAGTATTGGAAGAAAAAAAGAAGACAATTTACATGAATGTTTTTTGGAATTTGCGGATTTTTGTTGATGTTTTGGGGATGGTTTCCAGTAATTAGATTATATAATAATTACAATTCTTCAGCAATGTCCATCAATTCTTTTTTCTTTGTTTGTCTGTAGGGAAGCCAAGGACCACCTGGACCCACCGGACCTGGTGGAGGACGAGGACAAAATGTAAGTTACAAACTGCTTCACGCTTTAATAATATACATTTTTCACATAAAGAAAAAAAAGAACAAATTCTGGACATGTCTGTTAAAGGGATAGTTGAGTTCTGTTTTCAGACTGCAAATGCCTTCACAGTGCATGGTTGTTGCTCTTATTCTTTTCTATGACATTTCTAGTGCCCTTTTTGAACCTCAAATGTTTATGAAGGTAATTTCAGACCCCAAAATGTGTGAAGTTTAGCTAATACGATCATACCAATTCAGCTCCACTTTCAACAAATACGATGACCGTTAATTAATTAATTACTAAATAACATATATATAAATTAATATATAACAATACATGGGCCGGCTGGTCGTGTGTAATATAACCCACACGAAAAAGCCCCCCCCCCCCCCCCAAAAAAAAAAAAAAAACAACATCGGCATTGGCTGAAATACAACGTAAAAGGCGCTATTTCGTTTTTTTCAGCGGCTTTTTTCAAATCATTGAATATTTGTGGTGGTACACAAATATTACAAATGGTTATATGTATGGATATTCAGCCGTTTCTGAACCGATTTTGATCAAACAAAAATGATTTTGTCATTTAAATTGTAATTTCTTTAAAAATTGACACTCAGTTTTTCATTATCTCACAAAAAAATTATTTTGTGTAGCGCCCTCTGCAACAGAACTCAACTATCCCTTTAAGAGAGATGTGTACGTCTTTACTGTGATAAAAATATGCACATAATTCAATGTATGTACTTATGTGCTTACATCTGAATAAAGCCTACAGGAGGGAAAACTATAGGAAGTTACCAAATGTTATAAACTTTGTAGGCCTACGTTATAGTTGTATATCAACAATGGTGATGACCTTTTTCCTTTTCGGAGTAGGATCTACCTGTATTCGAAATAGCTTTCGTCATGCTTTAAACAGTTGAATATAAGTATAGACTTGAGATGTGTTCCGTCACAGATTTAAATTTGTATTTCTCTCTCTCAAAATTGTAGGGAGAGAGTGGAGGACCAGGAGAGAACGGACCTGATGGAGCTCAGGGAACACGCGTAAGTACCTTAACACCTTGTCTTGTGTTTATCAGGATTCTTGGTCCACGACTTCGATCTTCTCTATTCGGAGTTACTCATAAACAGTTACCATTCGCATATAAATGTATTTTATACGTTATCAGTCGTCCATTAGCTCCTCATAGCTTAGGCATAATTTGTGAGTTCTCAAAGTCTTCCCGGAGGCATATATACATTTTTTGTTGACATCCACAGTACAATCGTGGATAAATTACTACCGACAGTGTTAGCAGTTTTAATCTGGAGTTGAGTCCACTACAAATTCTAAAAGATTCTACTCCAAAGAAATGTTTTGAATTAGTTTCGTAGAAGTAGATTCCACAATTTCCACTCAAAGATGAAGTGATCCCTTATATCACCCCAAACGAGTAGATCGAATTTCCATTTAGAGAGCTGAATTGTTTACCATTACCAATGTGACAATTCAAACTGAGTATTCAGATTTATGTTGGTTGGGTGGTTAGCTAATACCTGAGCGCTAAAAGAGCATAATATGCCCATGCGTGTAAGTACGCAGCTGTGCGGGGACCAAGGGACTTTCGAGTTTCGTGAATATTAAGCCTGAACAGAGGACAACAATTGCACATCGACTTGGGTTGGAACCTGGGACCTCCCGGTTATGAGACCACTTCTCAGCTCTGGATGAAGGGTACACCAGTAGTAACTAACATCCTTGTTTTCGTTTTATTATCCAGGGTATCCTCGGAGAGAAGGGATCAGGAGGACCTCGCGGAATCCCTGGAAATCCCGTAAGTTATTCGGTTTTATCAATCTCATTTATAATTATAAATAAAACTAGACAATATAATCCGAAACTGTACAACAATCCTGTCATGACTATGCAGTACGATGTTACTGAAAGATTTTTTTTTTAACATAGTGGCGCTATCTAATGGGCTTATTGTATAAAGCACCTCTACTGATTTTTTTCGTTCAAATATCCTTCGTATGTATCTTGAGATATTACACGACACACACCAAATGCCACTAGTTCGGTTTTGTTGGTGATACAGTGAACATTATTGAATATGATATTTATCGTTCTATTTTATAACTCCATAATTCGATCAGCAAATATTAATCATTACTAATATTTGCCAGCTTAGATGTGAATGTAGGATGGTGAGGACTGTTTTGGTAAAGATTCTTTGTATTAATTTTCTTCATATTTTCTTACTTCTTTCATATTTTCTCAAAAGATGGAAGGGTATAGAGCCTTTTTTGTTATAACAAAGTTGTTTGATGGATTTCTTTAACAACAACAATTAAAAATATTACAAATTAGGAAGGTTTGTGAGTGCTTTTTCGAAAATACAAAGTCCATTTGTGTTTGATGTAGGGTCCAGGAGGAGCTCCCGGTGAACGTGGATCAGCAGGTAACCCAGGAGAGAAGGGAGAGGCCGGACCATCAGGTGTTCAAGGACGTTCAGGACGTGTTGGACAAGCTGTAAGTTTGATTTGATTTGATTTGATTTGATTTGATCATCATTCCTAATTTGATGCGTAGGACGTCTTGGAGCTATTGTACTTTTAGATGTAATATGATTTGATTTGATTTGATTTGATTAGATTCGATTTTAACATCTGTAACAAGTTCGTAGCTAGTCTGAGGTGAAGGAATTTTTTTACCTTTTGGAAGCTTGATTTTATTTTATTTTATTTGAGTTGCATTATTCTCATGTTCTTTAAAAATACACAGAAATATGAAAAGCATTATTTGTAGATGAGCTTTATACCATTTTTTTTTATATTGAACACCTGATTACAGCATAGTTTAAACGCTCATCGAGACCATCCCTATTATAAAATTAACAGGTACAACCAAGTTTGCATCAAGACATAGTGTACAATATTTTTACACCAAAATAATGTGTCGAAATGGGTGTTCATCACATTCTTTAGTCTACTCAGAATTATCCCTGAATTAGTACGTCCTAAAAAATCTCCCCCTCTTCTGCCTTTTTTTTCATTTCTAGGGTCAGCCCGGAGCCCGTGGATCTCGTGGAGAGACCGGTCTTGAAGGATCAGTCGTAAGTATCGTCCTAAACACGACACCAAACCAAGAAGGAAAACAAAAACACTGCAAAATATATTTAATTTCATAATTCATCTTAAACCATCTTTAATTACAGACCACATTGTTTACATCATTTAATTATATATACATGTCTGCAGTGAAACCGACTAATTCAATTTTGATTTTTCATTTTTGTAATCGTATCTACCTATGACATCTCAAGATGTGATTGGATTTAATTCCGTGGGTTTGGATTACTTACTATATCACCTGTCAATATATATTTGTCTGTTTTGTTAACTTGATTTTTTCATAACCGATCTCCAACTTCAACAATACCTCAATACGCCATTTTGTTTCATGTGTTCCGTTTGGTTTGCAAAACATGTTTTTAATACACGATTCCGTTCAACAGGGACCTCTCGGAAGCCCCGGTATGAACGGACCTACAGGAGCTCGTGGTGAAATGGTAAGTTGCAATGGTTTTCCCCGTTGCCATTCACTTTATCAGGACAACAATGGAGTTGCCAATTTGGCAACATGAACAGTTTTAAGAATATTGTGGTGACGGTTTTGATGTGATTTTTTGAATAGACGATTTGACGAACACATATTCGATATTTAGATATGTGCCATTAATCGTACGGATTTAATTTGAAAATGTACAGCGATAATAACCCAATAGCTATTCTTTATAGTTTGTGAATTTCTTATGTTTCTTCCATATAAAAGCCGATTTGTATCACGTGTAATATAAGTGCTGTCAATGAATTCAGACAAATTTGATAGACCACATCCCCCCTAAAATATACTTCGTAAAGTGCACCATTTTAAATTTCTTGTTATCTAGGGCCCAACTGGAAACTCTGGAAATAATGGAAAGACTGGAGATCTTGGACAACAGGTAAACATAATCATTCTTTCGTTAATAGTTATTCAGGGTTGCATTATCAGTGTCGATGTCTTACCAAGCTAGGGTCCTGCAATTGTACATTGACATTCAAACATTTGCCAGGCACCAACTTAAGCTCCATTATGCTATGAAGTAGACACCAGGCAAGGATCGAATCCTGGACCAACATGTATATGAGAGATAATAACCATTTATCACTGTTAGTTTGAGTTATCATATGCCTTGTTATCAATCTCCTTCTTCTTCTTCTTCTTCTTCTTCTTCTTCTTCTTCTTCTTCTTCTTCTTCTCCTTCTTCTATTTCTTCCTCTTTTACTTCTCCTCCCTCTCCTCATCCTCTATCTTTTTGTCTTCTTCTCCTGCTTCCTTCTCTTCTCCATACTTCTCCTTCTTATGATATTATTAATAATCAAATTTGTCCATCAATACCATGATAATAATCATCTTCATCATCAGCATCGCCATACTGGACCCGTTGGTAGAACGGCCGTGCTGCACTGGCACAGCTGAGCAGGGCGATCCATCCAACGTTATTTTCTCATGCTATCATGTACAGTATGTTGTTATTTATATGTTTTCATATTTGGTAAATAAAATAAAATAAAATAAAATAAAATAAAATCCTTCTCTTCCTCCTTCTTATTCTGTTTGTAGGGATCTCGAGGACCTCAGGGTAACCCCGGATTAATGGGAGAGCGTGGTATCGAAGGACTTCAGGGACCAACAGGAGCTTCAGGAGAATCTGGCCGTCCTGGCAACATGGTGCGTGGTCGTCGTCCATTTCATTTTCCGTTTCATTTAGTTCAAATTTCTGGGGGACGGGTAGGGGTGATGTGTGCAAGGACGAACTAAAATGCGACATTCTCACTGAGGGGGGGGGGGGGGTTAATGCTTGAATATGCACATTATTACACTTCATCTTTTTTACTATTTACTCTATTCATCGATACATGTGGCATATTTTAGTAAGGCTGAACGAATAATCAATATGCTCAGGTAGATAATGAAAAGAATGGGCATGTTAAATTTCGACTCTTTCGAGCAAAAAACATGTATTTATGTAGAGAAATAACCGAATGTACACTGCTAGAAATATTGGGTAAGTTTGTATAATTATGTGAAATTAAGCAGCCACGAAACATTTTGAACTTTCATTTGTGAATGTAAAATCAGAATATATTGACAATCAAATTACTATTTTTGTTTACCTTAGGGACCCCGTGGACCCGTTGGAAACAGTGGATCCCCAGGAACTCTCGGATCAGGCGTGAGTATACAAATTACCAATCACTTTTGGCCACAGAAATTCACATTCGCGAAATAAGTATTTGTATAGCTAGATTGCCCTTATACAGACAGAAAATTGCCGAAAGCGTCCTGCTTTAGTGATTATCAAGACAAGTGCTATTCTTTTTTTAACAATGTGTAATAAACAAACTCCGCTCTGCCTCGGATAAAATGGCGGGATTTAAAGAGGAGCAATGAACACAAACAATCATTTATATATTGTGAGAAGTCATGAAATCACCACTAATACATTTTTTACACATTCAAAATGATTAGCGATCAAATATAAGTAATGATATAATGATTGTGTGTCAAGGCTCCCACGGAAGTCGAATTAAAGTTGAAGTAACTTCATCGCGCACCGATTAAAAAAAAAATAGTTTCATTGCTGTGCTTGTACCTTTACTGCTCTTCTCAAAATAAGACTATACATTCATTTCGAGTGCAGTATCACGTTTTATACTAATATCATAGACGTACCGAATTGTAGAAGTATTATTTCGAGCTTATGTTAGAATACCCGTATGAAACGCTAAACATTGAACACACCTCTAGCTAAAACAATGGTGATTGGTCCCTTATTGGAGACATGCAAGGCATTGTTTCACGAAACCGTCATAAGTACAACTTCACCGTTATCCCATTCAAAGACGTATTAAGTTTAGTACACATGCACGCTTTACTGGGTTGTTGGAAAACTTGTGCTAACGGCAGTTTTGTGAAACGCTGACATGTTCGCTCAGTGAGCTCGTCATACCCATGCGGTGGCTATGATTTCTTGATCTTCTTCTTTTCTAGGGTCTTGGCGGATTGACTGGACCCACCGGACCTGCTGGACCCGCTGGACGACCCGTGAGTCTTCGTCTTTGAAGTTGACCCTATGTACATTGTCTACCATAAAAACAAACTAAATAAAACTATCTTCCCTCTTTTCATGAAATGATTATGACAATATGATTTATTTTTGATAGAAAAAGTTGAATCTTCTCAGAACACCACGGATCGAACGTTATCGATCAATCTTTATTGATCTGTAAAGTTCTGAGAAGACGTAGATTTTATCTTTCAAGAATAAATCACATTTTCGCAATCATAAATTTCATAAAAAGAGGTAAGAAAAAATAATTCCAACTTCACGGGGGACAGTGTATACTTTCTTAATGTACAGGAGATGTAACCCAATTTGGGGGAGTCATAAGTTAATAGGAATCACTTCTTTTCGAGTGGAAATTCATATTTGGAGTGGATTCCACTGTACTCTGAAGAGTGAAAAGGATTCAAGGCCCAAGTAAGTGACCCCCTAATTATGACGTCTACAACGAGTGAATTTGAAGCTTTGAAGCTTTGGGATAATCGAAATTGAAAATAAACCGACTAAATCTTGCTGAATATCACTGAATATGACATGCACCGCACACATAATATAATATATGGGGGTAAACAAGAATATGCCTTGAATGTTGGGTCCAAGCTTTTCGTCCTTTTCGAGAAAGCTCGCCAATTATGCTTTACCAACCAGGACTTACCTATCTCTTTGAAAACTTTATTTTATCTTCAGGGATCCGAGGGAGCCCCAGGAAACCCTGGAAATGACGGACTTCGTGGAGATGATGGAGGCAAGGGACCTAATGGCGCCCAGGGAGCTCGTGGAATTTCTGGAAGCAACGTAAGTAATCCCAAAAGCACCTCCAGTTTTGTAGGTGTCTATCGTTTGTACACCTGTTCGAAGATTGTCATTGTACCCTGTTTATCCTTTTCGTGATATCATTTTAAAGTGTTCTATTGATCAAAGACTTTTCCTTTAAAAATGGCCACACTGGTCCTTATATTACGCACTAAGAAATAAAGGTGCAATTGGAGTGCATATTTGCATCCACCTGCGTGTATTTGGCAGAGGGTGCTGCTAACGTAGCATAATTGTATCTTTTTAGTTGGCACTGCTACGTTCATGAAATAAAAAGATATGCATCTGAAATAATAGACATGAGAAGAAAAACAAAAAAAGTTTACCAAAGCATGCAGGACATCTATTTATGAAGGAAGATCATCTAAAAATGCAACAAAAAAAATCATCAACATGGCATACAATGTATAACTGAAAGAAGGAATCCGAGGCTGAGACACGCCTATGACAACTTTTTGTTTTGTCCCTCAACAGGGCCGTGATGGAAAGGATGGCAAACCTGGAATTCCTGGAATGGAGGGATCTAGGGGAGATACAGGAGTAAGAGGATCGGAAGGTATCGCCGGCATCGCTGGACCTAGGGTATGTAGTTTTTCGATAAAAAAAAAAATCAAGTTAGACCCTTCTCTGTTGGTATCATTTCTGGAAATATTCACTTACATTTCTAGTAGTCGTCCTAGCGTCTTAATAGAGCGTTACGGTGTTGAGCCAAAATTACCACAAGGTTTTGTTGTAATGATGTTAACTTATAAACATGTATCGTTCATTTAAGGGCTAATTTATTCTCGAGCCCTACCCTTAGTATGGTTTCGTAGCATATCTCTACTTCTCTAATTAGTTCAAATGAAAACCATCTTTATATTGATCTTTTTTTTTCATTGAGATATTGTTGTTTTAAAAATGGGGGGGGGGGATGTTCGAATATTAAAACACATCGATCCATTTACCATGTCCATGTCGAAAATGCTCATTTTGTTGCAAAGCTCAGTATTGATAACGCTTCCCCATCTCTGTGAGTCTCTTTCGCTCTTTCTTCATAGGGTTATGTGTTATAGGCGACCGCTTGTGAGTTCGCGGTGTGAAAGAGCCTCACACTGAGACGCAGAAGCGTGATTATGCAATACTGTGCAGTTTCTTTCACCATAAGTAGTCGGGACATTTAAACTTCCTCAGTAACAAGTAGGCTCCATATCAAGATGATAACAATCCTCATTTAGGTACTTGTAGATATTGACTACATGTTTCTCATTCAAGCTCTCTGTGTTTCGCAAATACACAGAATAGATTATTTCATTTGGAAATATAAACAAATGACCTTTGATGTATATCTTGTCCCCAGGGAGTACTTGGTGCTCTCGGAGCCCAGGGAGAACGCGGACACCGTGGCAAGATTGGAAGCCAAGGATCCGTTGGAAGCCACGGAGAAGATGGATCTACTGGTCCAATGGTAAAGTAGACTACCTCCTCTATACTTAAAGACCAGGGGGGTGTTTCATAAAGCTGTTCGTAAAGTTACGCATGACTTTACGAACGACTTGTATATGAAAAGCCAAATGGGATGCTCAATCATTATTGATTATTATTTATTAAGTTGAACTGTGTAGATGTAGATTAACATTCTTATTATAACAACCATTTTTAATGCAAAGTATATTTTTTGCCATAATTTAATTGAGGTTATTGGAAATATCAGAAAAAACTTTGGGCATCGTATCTGGCACTTCATATACAAGTCGTTCGTAAAGTCATGCGTAACTTTACGAACTCTTAATGAAACACCCCCCAGGTCTATCCAATTAAAATACAACACTATATCAATGGAAAGCTGAATGAACGTAGAATACAAATATGAAGGAATAACATCTTTTTTCCCTTTCAGTATTGCACAAGAGCAAACTAAAATCTCATTTTCCATGCCCATCCAAGTTGGACGATATGAAACAAACAATAATCATAAAGTTTGAAAGTTGTAATCATTATTAAATTGGCGAATTAGTCATTTTATTTGTTATATACATCTGTAGGTCACATAAACAACAAAAACGAACCGCAAACTGAAGAGTACTCCTACTTAATTTCGCGTTATACAGTAATATTTAGTGCTTAAATTGACCATCAACTTCTTACAAGAGGCTTTATTTGCATCACATACTTCTCCAGATAAGGAGTGATAATTGCCAAATAACATGAAATAGAAACGGCGATCCCGAGAAAGTGTAGAGGTCAAAATGCACCATTTTGTTGTTGAAATGATAACCATGAATAACTAATTTGTGTATATGTTTTTTGTTTCGTAACAGGGTTCAGTCGGACCTGCTGGTCCTCGTGGAGAGACCGGTTCATCTGGACCTTCGGTAAGGATATCATCATCTTCGAAGGACAGTATTCATACGTTTCATAGAACTTTGTGTACCGAATCATTCTCCATCGAGAATTAAAATTTGAGTAGTGTTCAGCGTTGTTCAGCGGTTATTTTCATGATGACGTAAACAAAGGTTTAATTTTTTCTTTTTTTTCTTCTTAAAAGTTTAATATTTCGTGCAGGTCTGATGTCTTTGTAATATTTGTTTGTAATTTGTGTTGTACTATTACAGGGCCCCCGAGTATAACAATGTTTTACTCACTAATGTTGTTACCCTGGGTAAATAAAACAAAATAAATAAATAAATAAATAAAGAAAGTTATTTAAATTAGATGGATGTAAATAGATAGCGAACACTGAAATGTTATACGCTTCACAACGTGTGTATAACACAAAGCTAGGTAAATACGTGTAAGACAGTTTGTATAATATACAAATATACACTGCCTTGAGAGGTTCTGGTTAAAACTATGCGCAAGAGGTGACTCCAATAGTACTATTTGCTGAGGGGCGCAGCCCCGAAGCAAATGGTACTTTTGGAGTCACCGAGGCCCATAGTTTAACCAGTACCTCGAATAGAAGGCATGGTATATTTGTTTTATATCCTGCATCAAAAATTTATTTGAAAAAAAAAAAAAAAAAAATACATTTTTGGGAAAAAAAATTTAGAACAAAAAAATGTCAATTTTTATCTAAAAAGATTTAAAATATTTTGTTTTCATTAAATTAAGATTTGAAAAAAAAATTGATTCAATTCAAAAAAAAAATTCACATTTTTTTTTCAACTCCCCAAATAGTAAACCAAAATAGTACTCTCATATAGTACTTTCTAAAAATAGCTCAAATATTTTTGGTCATGTGACGAGCTCTCAACCAATCAGAAGCCAACAAATTTTGGATGCAGGATATAATATACATTATTACCCGTATCAGACATCTGAGCTGGTCATTTACAAAACCGTATTGCCCTAGTTTTCACTAGCAGGGGGACCGGAGGGGTATAATCTTTGTATTTTCCTTGGTCTCCCTGCGCGTATTGACTTTGCGTGTAGAGACGAGTGAAAATATACCTTGGTATTTTACACGGTCTCATCTTGTATTGACTGCGCCGTATTTTGTCATTTTCATTTGCATCTATTATGCGTACGAGAACCTGCGCACTTTGCGCGCACTCTATTGTGACGTAATAATCACACCAAATGCACACTGTTTGCAGTGTATCGAAATTGTGTCAAGCTTGTTTGACAAAGCTTGTTTGACAAAGTTTGTTCAGTTCTTGAGATTGTCATGGTGGATGTCTGTATTTGCTCTAGATGTCTGATTTGGATAACAATAAAAATATTGACTGGCTTTACTTTCGGGGGGATATCAGAAATATTGACCGCGCTAAGACCATATTGCCCTCGTCTTTCGACTCGGGGCAATATGATCTGAGCTTGGTCAATATTTCTGATATACCCCTCAAGGCCAGTCAATATTATATAAATGTAGCTGTCATGCATTTACTCGTTAAAAAGCCGCGGCTGTTTTTTTTTCCGCAGTTAACCGCTTTATATATGCATGAACTATCATAATTCATTGTTCAATGTTTTTTAACTGAACTCTTTACTCCCCAATATACTTCATATTATGGGATGATGATAGAATAATGTGAAGTCACAACATATTGCTCCGATTGTCTCATTTTCGCTCGCGTGAACATTGCCAGCGCAAACCACTGACCTCTACCTCCTACACGGATCATCGCACATTCCCATTCACTATACGTTACGTACTAAAAGGCTGTATTGTCTGACCGTTCATGAATATTCATGTTTTTGCTAAACTCGGCAAAATGTTTGCTTTTACTAAATGGAAAAATTACGGTGGGGGGTTGGATGAAATGGACAAAACGAAATAGGCAGAAGTGATCTATGATAATTCATGCTTTTTATGTTTCGTGTGCTCGACCTATAATCTTCAAATCGCTTGGTAAACTGAGTCCCAAGTTAGACTTGTTTCACATGTGTATTATAGGCAATGATGAGCTTGCAACCTATTTTGAAAAATTACGGTGGGTGAACTTTCAAAAGTCAATGAGACATGAGGGCTCCAATGAAAGAGCTAGTGATAACGTACGTCGGGGTGGATGTGCTTTTCGTTTAAACAAAAAATAAATTTTTAACGATTTTTAAAAAAAACGTCCATAGGCTAACATGTTAGGCTGCTGAATCTGACCATGCTCTGACGATAGGGGGTGTTGTGAAATGAGACTAAACGGAGCCATATGCAAGTTTGAAATGTTAGATTAAAAGTAAAATACTGTAATTCTGACCGTTGATGAAATCTGAGTGTTTTATTGAAAGTTTTGTCTTTCTTTTGACAGGGACACAAAGGACAAAATGGTATGCCCGGAGCACCCGGCGCTGGCGGAAAAGCTGTAAGTACATTTGATATGTTACCAGTTATCTTGTCACGTTTACAAAAAAAAATCATCAGACTGAGATACACATAACATAGCCATAGCTCGGCATTATAGTATAAACACAGTGGAATTCTCGATTACTTTATCTAATTTCTAAATCCAGGAATAAGTAATCTCGAAGGACTTCCATCTGCCATGCATGCATGGAACGGTAATCTTAATGTCCAGGCTTTTCTTAATCAAAATGTTTTTTGTTTTTTTGTTGGTGTTGTTGTCTGCTTGCAAGATCATAATAATTATGTCTGTTCTTTCATTGTTGAAGAACCAATAATCAATCAAATTGACTTTGTTTCTCTTTCGTACAGGGAGAATCTGGACCACGTGGAGAGCAAGGCTCTGATGGAGTTCGTGGTCTTCCAGTAAGTTAACCATCCTTGCTATTTTTTTTCTTTCTTATCAAGACTTTTTTTCTTCATCAAGGCCTTTCTGAACTAATGAAGAATTTAAGTGGTAGAAAGTGACAGCACCGGTACTACATGTTCTTTTTATAGACAAAAAATACAATGAAAGTAATTCTGATGAAGAGATAAGTTTAGAGGACATTATCTGTTGAGAGAAGTATTATAACGTCCCGGAAATATTGTAAAGAGATATCCAATTGTAAAGTACCCAGCATTATTCTTGTCTTCTTCGTTCACTCTCTTCTCGGGGCGAACTAAGAAAATAGATAAATCTGATTTTCAGAGCATGATTAACGAAATATTTTGATCTTATTCAGGGAAACAATGGAGCCAACGGAAAGAACGGAAAGGAAGGACCCCGTGGACCCCCAGGACTCCGTGGATCATATGTAAGCTATCGGGGAGGTCCTACTGTTTTGCTGCGAGGATTTATAAAATCATTCAATCCCCATTTCTCTTCACGTGTCTACAAAATCTTTCCGTAAAACTTGAATTACAATCCTGTAAACGGTTACAATTATTTGTACAGAACTATTATTTTGTATTCCTTTTACAGATATCTTTTCATGAATTAAGGAAACGAGGAGGGGGGGGGGGCATTTTAACGTCACCCCGTTATTCTGCATATAATTCTTTCTTTTTTAACGTCATATAGTCTCCAGGGACTTCTGAGGCAATCCTTAAATTAATAAAACTGAAAACAAATAAATATACCTAAAAGAAAAAATATATTGGAGCTAAGAATAAGAAATAATTCATAGAAACTTGTTCTACTTATGCCTTTGCAACCGTTATCAAACCTGATGCTTTTGTATGCTTAGGTTTTCGACAAGTAGAAATAGTATATTCCTGTTGTTATGAAGTTACCATAGAATAGCCCTACCCCCGCCCCCGTCACACTAGATTCCATTATTAAATTGTAATCGTTTTTTTCTTTTTCCATTGGTAGGGTACTCGTGGAGAGCGTGGAACCTATGGAACCGAAGGACCACCCGGACCACCTGGACCTCCCGGACCTCCTGTAAGTAGACCAGGATCTTGTTCGCATTGTCCTGGGCCCCGTATTATACAGATTCCTCCAATCAATCGCAAACTTACGAACTCATAGCTTTATACGGTAAAGAGTTGCAATAACTTTCAAAATTGGGATCATTTTAAAACCATCTCAACTGATTACGAGACGGGGATATGATATCACAAAAAAAGAATGGATAGATGTTACGTGTGCATGATCGTGTATAATCGCCTACACTTGGTCAAATTATGACATAGGGGTTCATATTTGCACCCCATAAACTGCACATTGACGCAATACTTAACAGTGATAACATTTGAAGAATTAGTCATTTGCCAAACTTGGTGTTTAACTTCAGAGACAATACATGAGTCCCTATCTTGAGTATATTCTATCCTATTTCCTTAAAAAGAGTTTGTGAATTATAAGCCTTGGTAATTTATGACTTTCCTGAATATATTTCTTGTTTCTAGCATTTTATTCTCCTAATGAACATCATTTCGTTTTTTTTCTTCTTTTCTTGTTACAGGGTGAAGTTCAAATGAGCGTGAGTTATTTCATTTGCTTAAAATTTAGTTTCCTCCTAAACTTTGATTTTAAAAAAGCCTTAGACCTTTGATATCTAGACATTTAAGCAGATAGTCTGGATTTTTATTTTACGGCAAATGTCAGATGTACTTCAAAAATTATTCAAGTTCGTCAACCAGATCAAACTTTCAAATATCTCTATTAAAATGTCCATTGTGAGAAAACATTCATACAAAACAGTAGGACCTTTATAGTCGTTTTTAAATCAATTGTTCAGCAAGTTGACTCAGAAATTGTTTATTAATTTCAAATTATATTTATGAATTCGAATAAACAATGAAAAAAAGACTAAAGACAAACAATACAAAAATGTGTTTCTTTCAGATATCATAATGGATCATTTTACTGAGATTCTAAATATACTGATCCATTATTATTGCTAAAACAGAAGACAATAGAGTAATCATCAATGCAAAGCAAGAAATGTGGGATTGTAATGGTTTTAAAGCACGAATAGGACAAGGGTAGCTATGGTCCAGAAAGAATGCATATAAAGAAAATAAAAACACAAACAACAAAACAGATATGAGAAGACTGAAATAATGGAGAGAAATATTTCATTTTCCATTCATAATACTGTATTATCGTTTTGTTTGTTATACCACAGGGATTTGCCTTCCAGCCACAACAATCTCAGCAATCAAAGGGACCAAGCCAGTACTCTCATTACGTAAGTAATCCATGAAGGTGATGTGCATGAACATTCGATATATATATATTCTTAATTTTCGAAATACGTTTCCCACGTAAATGCAAAATCAGACAAATTTGATATTAGCAGTAAAAAAAAATAGAGCTAATAAAATGAGAAGATTTTATACAACACATTTTTTTAAAGCAAATGGTATTTTAGTTTGGAGTCATATACAATTAACACATTCAAAACGAATATCGACTTTCCGACCACCGTTAAAAAAAAAAAAAAACTGATTTTACCGCTAATATCCGAATGTTGCTATAAGGGGCACATACAGGTTTTACGTTTATAAGGATACGGGTTAGTGTCTTTTAGGAAGCTTTGATCGTCCACATACATGTATGATCGATTTGTTTGCAGCATGTTTGTCGTTGTCATTATTTTTGTATTCATTATTATTTACTTATTTCGTCATCTATACAGTACCGTGACGAGATCCCCAAGACCGTTGAAGAACTGGACCGCACCAAGTTTGAGATGTACCTCGCCAAGTTCGAATTCCAGATCCAGAGCATGTACGCCCCCATCGGCAGCAGGGAAATGCCAGCACGCAGCTGCAAGGACCTCTTCAAATGCTTCCCCGATGCCCTTGATGGTGAGGGTCGAAAAATACTCATTATTTTACCAAATGTGATAACTATTTAAAAATCAGAAAGAAAATCATCCGTGAAAATTCTGACTATAGATTAATGTTACAATTCATAATTATGTCGCTTTCAGATCATACATCCTTGAATTCTGATGTTGGGTCAACATGTGTCCACCTATAATACAACTGGGACTCAATCCAGTGGTTCTAAAGGATTTATCTGAATCACTAATAGTCCCGCTTTCTGCATTTAATAAAAACATTATTTGGATAGGTCACATTAAGTTAGTTTATTATCTAATTTTTTCAACCACTACATCAACTTAAAAATATGAAAGCGATTTATTCGTTTTTATTGGACCTTCAAAGAAGTATAGTCCTTAATCGATGTGCATTACCAGTACTGTAGGACAATATTCAGATAATCAGGAAGGGTCGTCGTTAAGTGGAAACAACCTTACACACCTGTTTGCAAGTCATTTTTTCTTATCAAATTAAACCATCTGAGGAGGTTTGTGTAGTGCTGTTTTATTAATTTGTTTGTATTAAATAATCTTCTTTCTTGTCTTTTCTGTCTGAAAACTGGACGGATGAGCTATTTGACACCCCCTTTCTAGTGTTAACCAAACTGGATAAAGATATGACCTGTCTGATAGTAACAGTGGCCATTGGTATAATCTCCATCATAACATGTTTCAACTATTAATGCCATACCATATTTCTCTGTGTATTTTATTCTATTTTTCAGGTGATTATTGGATCGATTCTAACGAGGGTTCCGTCAAGGATGCCTACCTAGCTCAGTGCGTAAGGGACGGCGCAGATGGCAACCCAGAGACTTGCATCCACCCAAGATCAGCCACTGTAAGTCATTTCCCCCAAAACAATCACATTCCAACCTCAAATAACCTTAGCAGTTCCGTAGAAGAAACTGGATATTGAAATAACTGCCCCTTACCAAAAAGGCAGATTAGGCTGCACATAATCGATTTATGAGCCCTAGCTCTTCTTAATGAAGGTTTGATACATGGGTTGTAAAAATCTACCCGGGCCACGTGTATCCTTCATCCTTTAGTCTCTATGACCCGATGACAAAATTACAGATTCTTTGAACGATAATTGGTGAGGAACCCTACTAGAAACCCAGAAACACTAACGTTCAAAGTTCAAACATTGTCCTATGATGAAACCGTAATTATTTTATTTTTTGTTTCTTGTTTTTATAGATTTCCCGTGCTCCATGGTACCGTGGTAACTCAGGACACCACTACATCAGCCAGATGAACGGACTCGAGAAGGTACGGTAAACTTTAAAGGCTAAGAGAAGTAAGGGGTTAGGACCCCACATTCTGATATTCTAATGGACACAATTAGGTCACCGTAGATTCGAATATGGCATCAATTTGACCTACGCAAGAAATTACGTCGAAATGAGAGGAGTTAGAACAATAAACTTGATGTTGAAGACCCTAACGGTTATAATTGAGATAAACTTCAAAACTTTTGATTGAAAATTTTGAAATATCTTATTTTTTAATTGGATTTTTTGTTATTTTTAATTACCAAATATTTGATCGTGGATTTTAGCTCTTGTCATTAATAATGTTATTTCTTTTCTTCTGAGCGGGATAACGGGCTGCCCAGACCTAAAGAAGTCATAAACCGGGCTACATATTTCCCAAGCACTTAGAGTCATTGTCCAAACCTGATAAAGGCTGTACGCAGTTATGTTGTTCAGCATTTTCATGATTATCACATCTGTCATGATTATCACGACTTTACCATCATCATTTCGACCCAAATTTCTCATAATAAACAAGCAAATTCTAGATGGCCCTTGCCCTTCGAAGATGTTTGGTTTATAGCTAACTAGCGTTGCAATTGGGTTTCACCAAAGTGTTGGGCTTTGGATCAGCATTAGGTTTAGGTATAGTGTTTGGTCCAGGAAGTAAATGAAGTTAAGAATACCTTCAGTATATGATATATTGAAGAATTTGTTGGGGTAGTATGTAATATTGTTATCATCATCATTAGTAACATCACCCTATTTATTATCGTTTCGATCTGCAGTTCTCTTACGAAGCCAGCGAGGTCCAGATGACCTTCCTGCGTCTGCTGTCCAACAAGGCACACCAGAACGTGACCTACCACTGTAAGAACTCTGTGGCTGTACGCGACAGGCAGACTGGATCAACAGAGCAGGCTCTGAGACTCATGACAACATCAGATGTAGAATTATCACTTGATGCACCAAGCCAGGAGCAATACGAAGTTATTGAAGACGGATGCCAGGTAGGTTGACGTTTCCATGGAAGTAAAGGTTTATGATACAATGGTATCCTTGTAGAGGTATTACTGTCGAGGGGTTTCATATTTCCAAAGAACTGTTTGGCAATTTCTGAACGAACTGCAATATGATAAAAAATAATTTTGTTTTGGTTAAGTACATTTTCAATGTATTAATTTATTCATTCACTCAGTTAATCATTCTAACCTTCATGCATCCATTTCTACCCTCTGTCTTTCCTTCTTTCTTCCTCCTGACTCATAATTATTTCCCCATGCTGGCTAATAGTTTGTTCACCAGACAGATGTGGAACCATATGTAAAACAGAAATTGCCAAGACAGTTTGTTCATAATGGGTCGGTTGGAGTTGGTTTGGCGGTACGACCGTGATGTGACATCGTTAGGTTCTTATGAACATGCATCATCTGATCGCTAAAACATTATTAACCCTACAATCTTTTTACAGAAAACATGATACATTCGTTCCACTACTTTTCTTCTTCTCTTTACAGCTCCGAACAGGAGAATGGGGCCAGACAGTTATAAACTATTCCACCAGGAGAAATACCCGTCTCCCAATTGTTGATGTCGCTCCTTCAGATATTGGAAGAGAAGACCAAGAATTTGGCATCACTCTGGGACCCGTCTGTTTCTCATAATTTAAAGAAACCGACTTGACAGTATTCTAACTTCTCGTGTGAAACCCCATCCAAAGAAACCATGAAACGAACAAATTATATAAATGATGAATTATTTGGTAATAGCGCCGAATTGCTTCTGACAGCCTTTTTTGGATATGAACTTGTTTACACTTGGGAGATGGTGACCATTTTCTTTATTTTCACAAAGCAATACGAAATTTTTGTAGGGAAGCTTCATTTTAAAAATACATCTCCGGAAAATTAGAAATCCTACATTCAATGGGCTGTCCAGTAAGATTATACCAGCAATATAAAAGTGCCTTCTGTGGTTTACCTTAAAATGATCGTTAACATTTTAGCTCTGTTCGAAAGAAAGTATGCCGTCCTAGAGACAACTTCTGACAAAATACCAGTACGATCGGTTTTGTTCCATGTACATGTATGTGTGTGATCCCAAGTCATTCCTGTAGTATATAGCTATAGTCTATATCGTTCCTTAGATGTTTTGCCCTAATTTTCCTTTCATTTGATGTAGTTTTTCAGATACCATGATAACCATTTAGTCTAGATTGCAGTGTTCACATATCGAAGTAGATAATTTAGAATTACTCTAGATTTGAACATTTTCATCTGTAATTCCATAGATTTGCATGTGTATACCAACGAGATTTGTAGACAGTAGGTTCCATCCCCCCCCCTCCCCACCCATCATGCCCATTGTTGTGTATTGTGTAGCTCCCTCATTCCCCTGGAATTATATCAGTCTGAACGATTCAAACGATTGATTCTGTTTTTGTTGATATTGTACATAGTATAGAAACATTATCTCAAGACCGCTAGGCCTTTGGTTTAAATTCAGCCGGTGCATGCTGGGTAAAGTAACCATAGCAACGATATTGTGATGAAGTATAGTACTGGGTCTGGCATGGAACGTTGACGTGAGAAAGATTTATTTGTTTGCAATTATGAGATGTATAATGTTAATGATCATTTTGAAGTAAAAACACAAAATATTGAAAAAAGAAGAAATTATATATTATTGATGAATGTATAAAAACAAGTTCAGAGCATCCCTACAAACAAACTGGTGTGTCGAGTCTTTATTTAACGACTTTATTACCTATCGCATGTGTGATTTATTAGAAAATGAGTGTAAAATAGATTTAACAGTTTAAAGTGAAAACGATATGGGTTTTGTGAGAAAAAAAACATGTTCGAAAAACATATAACAGAGTCTCAAAGTGTCTTTTGAAAATACAAACCATCAATTGTTTTCGTTGCATTCTAGATGAATTCTCGAAGCACGATGCCAAAATATATTTAGAAATACATTTTTGAGATCAAAATGAATTTTCCTTTTCTTTACCTTAATCGCATTACTTTGAAAGTGTTGACCTGCTAATGTGCCATGGAACCCCCAACACTGATTAATAGTACCATGAGCACTTACACAAATGAAATTAAAATGTATTCGGGATTGAGATGACGACAAGAAAAGCAAAATACGAAAAAAGGTAGAGAGGTAGAGAGAGAGAGAGAGAGAGAGAGAGAGAGAGAGAGAGAAAGAGAGGGAAATAAAGAGAGAGAGAGAGAGAGAGAGAGGGGTTATGAAAAAAGGACCGGGAGAGAGAGAGAGATGGTGCAAGGTGTAAAAGCGAGAGAGGAGAGACATACTATAGGAAGGGGAGAAGAGAGGGAGAGAAAGAGAGAGGGAAGAAGAGAGAGAAAGAGTGAAATTGAGAGAGGCAGAGAGGTAAGAGAAAGGGGGGAGAGAGGGAGGATGGAGGGAGTGAGAGAGAGAGAAAGAAAGAGAGAGAGGGAGAAAGGACGGGAGAGAGAGAGAGAGAGAGAGAATGGGAGAAAGAGAGAGAAAGAAAAAGAGGGATAGAGAAATATAATCTGAGGAAAAGTTTGATCAAATTTGACAGTCTATTTTATATAAATTTATAAGCAATGATATAATGACAACTGGGAGAAGATAACCACAATTGGTATAACAATGGTATTAAATACTATAAGGATTTACTTCAGGATAATGGTAACACACTCACTTTTAATCAGTTCACTGTAAACTACCTTAGGGTGAAATGTAATTTTATGGATTATTTTTCTTTGGTCCATGCAATTCCCTCTATTTGGAAAAAATCTAAAATCGCTGTTGATAGAGCGAACCACAACAGTTGGCAGAATGAGTTAATTGGTGATATGTGTAAAGCTAGTAACGTTTGCAGATTCATTCAAAAACTTTGTGTTAATAGTATTTTCAATACTCCAAATTCAGAAAGGAAATGGGCCATCCACATGAATGAGGCAAACCTGGATTGGACTACTATTTACCGTCTTTCTTTTAAGGCAACTTTGTCCACTAAATTAAGATATTTTCAATTTCAATTCTTCATCGATATCTCCCTCTGAATAAATTTCTTTTTGATATTAAATTTATTGATTCAAAACTTTGTTCCTTATGTAAAATTGATGATGAGACATTGCAACATCTTTTTTGGGACTGTAGAATTGCTCATTATTTTTGGTTAGAAGTGCAGGAAATACTGCACAAAGAACTGCACAACAGTTTTACTATTACCAACAGAAATGTTTTTTTGGTATCACGGATCCTGCTTTTGAAAAATTTAATTTTGTAATTATTCATGCCAAGTATTATCTGTATTGCTGTCGATGTAACAAGATATTGCCTACCAAGTATCAATTTATTTGTAAATTAAAACTAAGTTGTGCTATCGGAAAACAAATTGCCCTTGGTCGGGATAGACTTGACTCTTGGAACAAGAAATGGGATCTTTTGAATATTTAAATTTTGTGTATGCTTTATATTCTGGGTATTAAACGCTCTTTTTATTTTTTTATATCTTATATAGGGTGTTTCTACATACATGTAATATGACCTGCTGGGTACATGCTGAACTCTTTTCTGTCTGTATTTTTTCAATTTCGATGTAAATTGTACGTATTTTGTCTTGTCTATTTTTGTTTTTGTTTGGTAATGTTTAAAAAGAAAATTGCCTAAATTGTAATAAGATTGTATGAGGTCAACTTAAGAGTGTAATATGGAGCTGGTGGTTATATTTTGTACGTTTTTTCCCCCCACCAGTTCCAAGTACACGTACAGGCGAATAAACATGAGAAAAAAAAGGAAAAAAATTGGGAGAAGATTGTAGGTAGGTAATTTGTATCAAAATAATATAAAGACTACCGTAACCATCGTTACGTTTGTGAAACCAATTTCATGTAATACTATGTAGTGAGATCCGATGATGATGATAATGATGATGATGATGATGATGATGACAATGGTGATGACGACAGTGGTGTAACTGCTGACGACGGCTATGTTGACACTGATTGGAGTGGGTAATTTTGTAAATATAAATACAAATTGAAAAATAGGATGATATGTCTATGGTCACAGTTAAAACAAAAATTTACGGGTCGGAGTGCCGAAAACATATTCTGTAAATTGGTTATTTGGTTGTGACAACAAGGTTGGTCGTAAATATCACGTGATTGGTTCATCTGTGTCAGCCATGTTGTTTTTCATGTACTCTACATCAAATGGTACCTTCATTATCGAACAAGACATTTACATTCCAAAATCAATGCACTTTTTTGGGTCGGTCCAGGCTAACAAGAGGGGAAATCAAACTCTGGAATTGAGAAAAATCGATGAGGGATGAAGCAAATGAATGACAAGCTTAGTGTCCAAACAGTCGATATGATTCCATTTATTCGTATGCGATTAAAGGTAAAGACCAGTATTGGAAACGCCCCAATTTCAAAAAATGAAATGGAAGCTCTCATTACCAATCATGTGAAAGAATATGTTTTGACTAATACATGATGATAAAAAATTTGCCGGGAAACCGCCTACTAATTCATATATTTGGTAAATTTGTTTCTCTCATGGTCTGTGAGAGATATCGGGTAGTCCCATATACATCTTTCTGTGTATAGTGCTTGTAACTTTACGAAGAATGGGCCAAATTTCTTATCATTTTGATGATTCCAGAACCTTGCAGATGCTAGATGCTAGATGATCAACCTTTTCTGATCGATTCCACAACGTTTCTTTCACAATGCAATTGCATGACCATAACTGGTCTTTACCTTTAACTAAACAAAACTCACTCCCATGGTTACAGTGGTGGAATTACCTGGAATCAGGCCGAATTCAAACTTGTGGCAAACCTTGCAAACAAAACCAGATAAATGTCTTAAATCAACCACATGCAAGCAAGCAGGATCTTCGCCTTTTTGATAAAATTATTTTTCGGGTAGGATTCGCTCATCACTTGACGGTGCATGGACAACAACTTGAGATGCCATCTCATAACCCATTCACACCAAAGCGATTGACACCAGAGCGATGACAGACCGAGCAATATATTATATTACACTGAATGGCCAATAATCAACCGCTTTCGAATCGCTCTGGAGTCTATTTAGCGCGGTGTGACCGAGGTTCAACAAGGATGGTTGCTGTGTACACTATCCTGTTCCCGACAATAACCTAGGTTCAAGAATGTGGGAGGATAGATCATTAAGGTCACATCCAGGGTTATCATCGAACTGAGGAAAAATCTCATGAATCCCATTTTTACGAGATGACGTAGGCATCGGAGGGCTATAAAAGTCCAAGCAACAGTCAGTTTTATAGATTGTTGGTGTCTGTATTTTAGTTGTCTCTTAAAATGTACCTGGATGAAATACGATGTCACAAGTATTGACCCATAACTTCATAGTTGCTGTGTTACTAGCCCAGTCATAATACACAAGTTCTTTAGTCCATCGTCAGAACTGGAAGCATATTTGTGATTTCTTTGTGGCACCCATTTTCAATAACTTTTTACCGGCAACGATGGAGTATTTTGAAAGATGTCGCCCACCTAAGAAAGTTCTAACAAAGAAACAAAGTAAGTAGTGATTTTGTGTTGAAACGATTCTCTGACGCAGCTATATGTATTGGTGCAGAACAATGCAGTGTAATCATTATACTTTCAAGTTTTTAGTTCTTATTGTTCGAAATAGGATGACATACATGTCGATTTTGATATTTATCATTTGATGTGCCCAGATGAATGTAGATCATACGAGAGAAAGAGCTATTGATGATCGGTAGGACTTGACTAGAACATACAGGGAAATATGATCGGAGAGATATGTGATGCTAAGGAAAAAAAGCAGGAGGAAAGGAAAACAAATCATGACAGAAGAACAAACAGTTAAAGTGTAGAGAAAGATATAAACGTAATGGAGAAAATACATTATCAAACAAGGAATGACATTCAATGTGTTCTGTTAATATGCACGGCAGGCTTTTAAAAAAACCCATTCTGATGACATGGTTGAACAAAAAACAATAAAGGAAGGTATTAGACATCAAATATAGAAGAAAAAAACCTCACACAGCCTTCTGTGTCATGTCTATGATAAATTATCTGACGTCTCTGAATAGCAAACGCACATTAAGTTTCTTGAGGTATACTATATTGTTTCAACATTAAAACCAAAAATACCAAGCCGTTTTAAAGTTATCATTAACTTCATTTCATTATATTAAAAATATATCAACTGCTTTTCAAAATACATGCAATATTACAAAACCAAAAGGTTTGTTTTAAAAGCGAGCGGACTATCATCTACTTTTATCACTATTCTTTGTTATACATTTTATTTACATGGACCACTTTAAAGACCGTGTTCGGCAAACATAGTTGAGTCTGATTTTTTGACGCGTCGACTTTGCTTTGAACTCGTAACTGGGATAAATAAAAGTCAATACCTGTGTTGCTCGGAAGACGAGCGCACTTTGTAAATTTACACATCAGAAGCAAACAAGAACAAAAACAATTGGCACATCTAGTAAGAAAACCTGGTGGTGAACGGTAAACCAATACTCGGTCCTTCTCGAGTGCTTTGTTGTACTATCAAGTAGGCATAGAATTCAGCTACCAGAAGGTTGTCCTTCCTAGTTCCCTTACTGTCAAACGCGAGATGCTGAACAAATTATAGAAAGTATCATCATTAGACATCAGGATCATGTAAAACGCAATGATTTCTACCCATATTCATCTCCTGTTGTCAGGTTGATGTAGGTTACATTCAGCCTTGAACATCTTCTGTCGGGTTTTCTTTAAAATGATACCAACAATGATTTGAATGTTTTAAATATTATACACTTGCGACGAAAACGATACAAATTTGTGTCACAATTTCTATTCGCTTATTTGCCTCATTAAGATTTTGTGATTTGATGATTATGAAGGAGCATTTGGTCACATGATCTGGAAATAATATACACTAAAACTAGTAATTAGTATGCATAAATAAAAGTAACACAGCTTGTCCAGAACAAACAAGGCATATATATAAGAAGTAATGAGTATAAATAACGATGTAGAATAAAATAGGACAATAAATAAAAGAAAAAATGAAATGCAGAACGAGGAGAAAACTAACAATAGGACGATATTGGTTCCTAATTCATAGGGATTCTATTTCCCTTCTCAATACAATCACGTGAGACACTTATAATTGGTAAAATACTGATGGCACTTTTGAATGTCCTGTAGTGTGCTCTAATTGAAATGTCAAGGCATGATAACTTGTTGATCAAGGCTGCCCATGTTCCCCCATTAGCGTGTTGTTATGAATCCATTGGTTCCCTAACTGGACACACAAACAAATCAAAGTCTGCAACAGATCGATCGATAATTGCTCTTTATACAAGTGCTTTGATTAACCCTGTGTCATGGGTATTGTCATCAAGGGGTATTCTAAAGCCTTTCAAGTGAATGAAAAGGTCTGACCATGCGACAGAGCGACGTAGTCAATCAAGAGCGTTGCAGGATTCTAATCGACATCGTTGGAAGATTTCAGGACTGTATCTACCTTGTTATGGCGTTCAGTCTCAGTTCACGAACGGGCAAGGTGTCCAAGTACAATGTGATTTTGTTACCATGGTTATAGGCATTTTCGCAAACTTATCGGAGATGCCTCAATGTTTATGTTTGGTTGGAGAGATATTACACTGAGCGGTGAAGAAAGTAAATGTACAAGTAAGTGTAAATTTAAGTTCACATAATAAAATGCTCTCGTCTTTAAATGTTGTGAACGTGTTTTAACGCATGGCAAATGGTTCAGTCCATATACCCGATGCTTTTCCGGATTATTATCATTGATACAAAAATATTCGAATGTGCACCATTTTCGAACATTATATGCCTACCTAGAACTTTTTTTACCTTGTTCAGTTCATTCTTGGCTAAGAACAGAGAGATTTACAATCAGTTGTAAAAGCGTTAGTTTACTCTGTGATATTGAAGATGTAATTAGAAGACCTATATATTTGACTTATAATAGAGGTATAATGAATATTATCACATGTTCCACGCTGCACCCTTAGTTTGTCCCGCGCTCTAAAGTCCCTAATTTCCAAATTCCTAAATAGATGCATCTATTTGGGTATGGTAACTTAATTTCTATTGTACATTTTAATATTACATCATTAAAAATAAAGGAAAGCATATTGATCGTGTTTCTGATAGTCTTGTGTAACTGAAATGTGTCACATCTCTTTCTGGTATTTATCACGTCAAATAATTAAAGGCATCGTTTAACAATGTTAAATATGAGATGCATGGCCCACATGTTATCAGTGACTGTGATATGGTGTAATATTGAAACCCTTACAAAATTGCGCTTCAAAATGATCATGAAGTGCCTCAAAAAATTAAAAGTCTTTGAATGACCGGTTTTACCATACTCATTTTCCCCAATAAACTGTAGTTTTATAAAAACCGTTAGGAAAACGGATGTTAAAATTTCGATTTCCAATTATAACTATCTTGATAATAAGACAGGCGATCGACTCGTAAAAGTTATGGGGTTCCTGAATGGCCTAAAGGTTAATAATTATCATTGCAGCATGAGCTAAATCCAGGATTTTGTTTCAGAATCTGAGACAAAGTTACCCAATCCCTTTAAGTTTTTGTTTAAACTTTTTTCTTTATCCGAAATTCATGTTTTATTTGGGCTCAAGTTACATCTGGCATATACCACTGTTTTCTCCAGTAAATCTCAACTGGTCGTATCATTTTCTATCAATTTTTGCAATTCCTAAATCATGACTTACTTATACCGAATACTCTATGTAGATCATGTACCTATTTCAACTAGTAAATTTATGAAAAATATTATATGAAACATTGCCTTAAAGCAGTTGTGAAATATTTGACATGTTTCTTTCTGATGGCCAAACATGTCAAATTTCTTTGTTTAATTGGCAAAACTTCTTGTTGAAAACCCCTCAGTAGGTACGAATATTTTCTTACAGACTTGTATTTATTTATTTATCTATAATCGGGTTTGTACTTGTTTATGACATGGCGAACGTGAATGGCAAAGATTGCAGTTGGTTTAATAACACATAGGCGCAGACTCATAAATCAGAATGATTTAATGTTAACATTGGTACACACCAAATTTACCATGAATTATTTAGCTTCGTTTATCACATACTACATGACTACAGACATTACAACCTCTATTTGTGCTCGACATTTACATTCTCAAATGTTTTTTCTACTGTGTACGGATGACTTGAGGTATCCTAATCCTATATCACTCCAAGAGGACAGACATGATGGCAAACACTGTTGTCTAAGGATGTTCTCAAGGCTATTTGCTCGGTCCTATGTTGTTCTTTATTTGTTGAAGAGAAACACTGTTTCTTTACAGGTTTTGTTCGCGTGAGTACGTGGTAAACACGATTAGCTAAAATGGCACTTGGTGAAAAGAAACAGAAGGAACAGCCCCAGATAGAGCAAATAGTCTAGAAGACGTCATTTCACTGGATTACTTGTTGTTTGCCATTTTGTACATCGTCCTAGAAAGATGGGATTATGGTAGCTCTAGCACCATCAAAATAATAGTACATCAGTTTCACTAACTAAAGAGAAGTGAAATTGTGAACACGCTCTAGTAAACATACCTGCTAGCTATGTATTTCACTGTTGCTAAGACTGGTGAATGGAAACAATTTTTCCCTGTTATTTGTCCTCTATGTTTCATGTACATCTATCATAGTCTCTGCTTTCTTAAATTGGTACTCCTACATTGTTACAGACAAGTATGTCTTTCTTTAATATGCATATTATGACTGGATCTAGTGGCAAATGAAATGTTGTGATGAACATGGCCCTAGGAGCCAGGGATGCTGCCCGAGCTGGAGTTGGGGGTGCTGCAGGGAGATGGGAGGGGAGGGGGCTTTGGGGTGCTATCAGCAAATGTTAGAGTGAATATATGCACCGCAGTAAATAAAAGATCGCTTGTCACTTCATTTCTTCTTACTTTTTTCCCCTTCCTATTTTTTTCTTTACAGTCATGGCAGAAGAGAGGAAGAAATTCTTCAACCTGGTAAAGAAACTCCACGTATATTACCGCGACCAGCTGAGTGCAGCGCTCATCTCGATCAACAAATTCGAGAAGGGCAAAAAGTATTTCATCCGAGCTCTTAGGGTAATCGTTCCGGTGTGTTACGACGATATCCCCGTGCTGACGCTCAAGAACATGGAGGATGAACTCAAACTTTACAGGGAGAACAGTCCCGAGAACGACCCGGTAAATAACGGCATCACCCCTGGGGTCACTCCTGACGGCATAGGAAATCGACTCGAAACGATGACCGTAAGTACCAGGGCTTCATCTTCGCGAATTAGGGAGAATGACGCTACCAGCCAACACAAAGCGCACTGCCAAATCGTCGAAACATTCTTGAAAAACGTTCACAACTTTCGTCTGTTTCGGCAGCATGTCAAAATGAACATTGTCACGAAGCTTCAGAAAATACCGAGGAATGTTGTGGAGACGGATATGCAGAAGAGGGCATTGGGTGAGATAGAGGCCTTACTTGGTGCCTGGACTATCCTCCTAGACCGGAACAACAACCTCGTCAGGCTTGTCCATCCAGAGGTCAGGGAGCAGGCCGAGAAGATGTTTGAAACTGAACAAGAGGTGGCGTACTATGTTGGTATCCTGAGCGTACTGCCGAAACTCACTGACATAGCCAACAAGATTGAGTTCTCTTTGACGAAATATGAAATGAGTGCAGATAGAGTTTAACGATGCACATTTTGACCTTGGCACCTATTGAAAAATTAGTTATCTTTTGAAATATTATATTACTTTAAGTTATTGTGTTATGTGGTTTCCTCTTGTCTTACACTTCACTTTAAGGTGTCGTGGACGTTAAATGGGTACCCGGTAGGGATGCGAAAGCTAATGTAATTTGATTAGCAAGTGTGCGCTTGCCGATGTCCGGAGTAATAATATGTATGTATCTGTAAAGCGCTTTGAGAGGGCCTTTGGTCCTGAAAAGCCTTATATAAGAACTAGCTATTATTATTATCATTCAAGCTCAGCGGCTCACGATTGTCTTTCAATCTGGTTGTTTTTCGCGTTAAAAGAATTGTATTGCATGTTTAAGGGCACACCCCCCCCCCCCACTTCGGCCTTTTAATAGAGCTGTGCCCTCCAATTATGTTGTGTATTCAGGAATGCATCTGTTGTACATTTTTGTCAAAAGAGTAAATTACATTAATCTATCCATTTATTTCTTTGTTTATATTTATTGGAAATACATGTCTTTAAATTGAAGTGAAAATGAAATCCAGCAAATGTTTTGTGTGTGTCGAATGGTAATGCTTGTTTTTCATCCATTTTGAATTAAGTTAATTGCGATAAATCAAAAGGAATTTTAAATGTATCTCGTCACTAAAACACATTAAATTGCAGCAAACAACACGTGAAAAGGAGAGCCCTCAATACAAAAAGTTTATAGATCACATGTTTTGCAACTCATGAGGCCATGGTCTGCCTACGTCACTGTATTGGTTGTAATGCTGGTTGCAACGCTAAAACAAAGATTGTAACCTATTCGTATTAACGGTAATACAGGCGCGTACGCAGGGGGGGGGGGGGTGTTTGGGGGGTTAAACCCCCCTTTGGTATTTTTATGTGTATAACCCCCCTAAACCCCCCCCCTTTGTTTTGTTTTTTGTTTTTTGTTTTTTGATTATTCCCATGGCTGACCTAAAAAACGCGACCTTACCCCCCCCCCCCCGCAAACGGAGCAAAATGTCAAATTTTTAAATTTCGAGACCAAAAAAAAAAAAAAAGTTTCCTCTTCCCCCCCCCCCCCCCGCTTATTCAGCGGCTGGCTGAGTCGATGCGAAATTTTCGGCCCGATTTAAAAATGTTAAACCCCCTCCCCCCCCCCCCCCCCCTTGGAAAAATCCTGCGTACGCGCCTGCGGTAATACATATAGAAATGGAAATGGTTTATTAAAAAGATCATCGCAGCCAGCAGCTGAATTTCGATCCATTTGACAAAGAAAAAATACAAATGCAATTCAAATTCATATAACACAAAATATGACATAAGTCAAAAATCAAACATATAGACATTTCATACAGATTCATTGATCAATGGCGTCATGGCGTCACTACATATCATGATGGTGTCCTTCACTTTCAGCGAGTGTAGCCATTGATGAGTGAATGAGCATCTGAGTTTCGCTTTGAAACCATTACCTAAAACTATTTGAAGCGCCAAGCCAAATAGTTTATTGCATTAATTACTCAGCTGAGGATGGGTTAGGGAGTCATTTGGAGAGAAACAGGATTGAAATAGAAGAGGGAGATAGGTGGAGAAGGAAGAGGAGGAGAGGAGAGAAGCGGATGAGATAGGAAAAGAGGAAAGGGATATTGATATACAATAGAGAGAGTAGGACAGAAATGGAAAAGAGGGAAAGAAAGATAGAAAGAGGGAGAGATCGACAGAAAGAGAGAGAAAGAGAGGGAGGGAGAGAGAGAGAGAGAGAGAGAAAGAGAGAGAGAGAGAGAGAGAGAGAAAGGGCGTAGCGATTCAGTTGTAAAAAACGTCCAACCCTGGATAAGAAGGGTGTATTCATGTTCAAAAATATCCGGTAAATACACACTTAAAGCTGAAATTAAATGTATTTCCCTAAAGAACATTTAATCTGGTCTTTAAATTCTCGAGACTAAGTCTTTTTCCAGCACTGCCTTTCTATGGAGTCGATAAATTGCTAACCTGTTTCCACCCTTCTTAATAATAACGATTAAAAGTGGAATATAAATGTCCTATTGCTGTTGCATTAAAATCAATTGTAGTAATCAATTATAATGCTGATATTGGTCAAATAAATCACTGAATTCGATTCATGTTGTTGACAACCAGTTATTTGGCGGATTCGAGTATTGTTTAATCAAGGCCACTCGACTCCACCAACAAACCAATCGCAATCATGCAAATAATTTGATAACATATCTTTTAATTGGAAGATTAACGTATTGGTACCCCCTCGACCTTATTAGTAGCCAGGCACTCGGTTTGTAACTAGCGATGATTTATTACGTAATGGTATCCCAGTTTCCCACAAAAGCATATCAATCGTTCAATCGTTACACATATAAATCCGAGTCTTCCAGCTGTACATCATAATATAATTAACTATCATGGATGTATTGAGTATTTTAGGAGCCATCTGGACATTGTGTCTCCTTACCATCACACGGGCGGGTCCCATCGTAGAGACAACAAATGGACCTGTAGAAGGTAAGCTAGAAACTAAGATGATTTCTGTTCAAACTCGTGTTGATATAAATATAGTTTTGTGCTGACTCATTTAACGTCATAAGCATGATTATGATAATAAATTTCATAGTTGATTCATTGAGTCATGACCATGGTGACTCCGATGTCAAAATATAGGAAGAGCAGAAATTATGGGAAAGTAATCAGCAATAAAATGTATCCTTTTCTCACCTAATTGCACACACAACGATGATTTTAATAGTGCAAACCATGTGACTATTGGAATATTGAGTACAAAGTAACATAAAGAAAAGTGGGTCTCCAAAGAGAAATATGGTCAACCCTCAACAGCACCAACACTGCCCATGTTTCCAATTTACTTTTCCTCCTCGTCCTGTCTAACATTAATCATATTTCGACGGTGCAATATTTCAGGGCTGACAACATTTTCAAGTGTCACTGCACATGAGAAATATATTAATACTTAAACAAATCTAATATCGAGCATCATCCCCCCCCCCCGACCTTCATTCAGGATTTACCGACCACTTAACGGAGAACGTGTACCTGCGCGTTGATCGGGACATCGACGTCTATCTCGGCATCGCGTTCTCCGAACCGCCCGTAGGTCGACTTCGCTTTGCTAACCCAGAGCCGAAGAAACCATGGGAGGGCGTGTGGAACGCCACGTACGTCAGACCGATGTGTCCCCAGATCCTTCCCGGCAGACGGTCGGGGAAGGACGAGGACTGCTTGTACCTTAATGTTTACGTACCCCAACCGGTGGTGAGTTTTCGGACATTCTTTTCAATTTGTAGTCTTCTTCTTGTAATATTGAAAGAGATTGGGAAATCAATTTCCTAACAGATTTCAGGGGCGGATCTAGGTATCAAAGAGGAAATAAAAAAGTCAGGACTATAGCTATAATGAGAAAGTCACTTTTGAGGTGCTAATTGAAACAAAAACAAAAATACACACCGAAGAAACATTAAGGATCCCTATTGGGTCTTATATTTGAAGAGCCACGCTAACCAAAGCGGGCTAAAAATGAAAAAAAAGACATGTAGAATAATTTTTGACGGAGATTCCGAACACGACAATGATTTTTCTTAGAAATCATCAATAATTCTGGTATCTAGCTTTAAAATTGACGACTCAGAACGCGCGCAAAAAAGCCCAGTTTCTGTGATGACGTATTTGAGGTCACTGCAGGCGCCTCTCTGTTGAAAATGAGGGTGATTTAGGCATTAAAAATGCCTTTCAAAAGGCAAACTATGATATTAATTGGAAAAAAAACATTTATCCGAAAATGATATGCACTTGATAATTCCAGTATACGTTTCTGGCAATTTCGTCATTCCTAGTTATGAAATTATCAAATCGGACATGCCCGCAATGACGTCAAATGCGTCATCAAGCCACATGACCGTATTATCCTTTTTCGAAGGGCGTAGCCTAGCAAGCGTGAGAACTGCGAAAAATGGATGTCTGTTATCATTTTTCGTCAATTTAGAGATTTTCTGAAAAATGATAGTCTGGAATATTAATAAGTAGACGTGTATTCATGTTATGAAAGGCTATGTTAGTTGTGTTAGAGCGGCCCTTTAAATGGAGTACATGAACACAACCAGGGGACCCATACTTATCGTTTCTGTCCGTAAATATGCCACAAGGGTTCTAAATTGACCATGATCGCCCGTATTCTTTTTAACTGCTGCTTAAACTTTAAAGTTATTATTAAAGGTGAAATTCAAAGAAAATCACAAATATGTCAACTAATGTATCACTAGAAACTGGTAAGCTAACAGATGGCCATCGTACAAGTTTGAGGTCAGCTACATTTCGGGTGATTTATAAAAATAAAAATACAACCACCTCCATAGCAGCTGCGATATACGAGAGATTCACCAGAAAAATAACGATGTTTTAATGACGTCACAACAGGGACCAATACTGCTCAAGCAGACGACATCCCATAAAGAATGAACATAATTGCAAAGCTATTATTTGTCAAATTATAATGAGTTTAGTGTATATAAATGTACTGGCACGTTAAACCGATCAAAAGGGGACATGACCCGATTCTGATAACTAAAATCTTTTGCTTGTAAATACACAGGATAGGGGTTAATTAACAATCAAAGAAACCAGACTTTCAAATTGAAAAGCCCCCGGATTGATATTAAGGACGGCATTTGTTCCCTCTTAAAACGCCGAACATACCGCGGTGTCTGCAGCTGAATATACAATGGCGTCTTATTTTGTTTACAAGCGACAGATTCCTTTATTTTTGTATCGCGGCATTTGTCATCAAAATAAAACCATGCGCGGGGTTTAGAGTGAGGTAATAGATTATACATTTAGCCTGACGGTAGTGAAGTAAGAGAAAGAACTCAAGAGAAGATGAAAACACAGGCACTGAAAATGTGTGAGATGTCATGGGACATCGTCTGCTTGTGCAAATGATGTCCCTGCTGTGATCTCACACATCTCAGCAGCGTTCGGGGAGCTATTCAGGAGCTATGCCGGGGCTGTATTTAAGCGTTTTGTAATTTATAATAATCATACTTCGAATGTTTCCAAGCATTGAATTTTGATAACCTTTTCGAATCAAAGTTTCAACTTTGCAATAATGAAAATAAAGCTAGATTTAAAATCAATGAATATCTACTTTAAAGTTATTATGGCTTAAATGAAGTTTAATTACTTGTTGAAATAGTTGTTAAGAACTTACCGTTGGGAAATAGCCAGTGACGGGGGGGGGGGGGTGTTGGACATCGGACAATGATAATTTAAAAGACAATGTCCAATCTATGTCCAGATAACTTTACATAATCAAGGTTGCCACTGTACCAATGAAATACCTTTGTCCTGACCATGTAAAGCAGATTCTGTTATCTGATAAATTTGACAACAAATTTTGCTTAAGTGGACAATACTAGATCTGTAAACAAGGGGAACAAATATGACTGATTACAGAAAAGATCACGTGCAAACTAAAACGATTAAAAGAACAAGATCAGTCTGTTCTCATTCTCTCTCTATAACGGGATGTTCAATGTTTGCTGATTAAATGAAAGAAACAGTGCTAAATATAAATCTTAAGTCTACAGGGGGTGGAGGGCTATTTCTAGATATTTTGTTTAATCCCTTGGCTCTCTCGCAAACTTTAAAACTTAAGAAATAAGAATCTCAGTTCGAGCTTTTGAGAAAAAATATCAGATTGCAGAATGAAAGAAGAAGGAGGACTTAAAGGTACTATGTCCCTTTTGCAGCCAACCTCAAATTCTGTAAAACTTTGCAGGAATTATGAATATGTCATGTATGTCCTATCTGTAAAATTTAAACGTTAGCAGTGTCCTCATATTCAAATTATGCAAGAAAACCTGTTTACTCGCTAGACTTCACTGTCAGACACTATTGATTGACTGGCTGGCTTTTTTCAGCATTTTGTCTACATCAATAACCCATTTCTTGTGATGGCCAAGATTAAACTGATTGAATCTTTGCGCAGCATAAAACGTATGACCATTCGGTACAATTGTCTGAAAATCAAGACTATTACTTTTGGGCTCTATAGCCCTAAAGTCGATTTGACAACTAATAGTCGTTTTTTTCCCACTTGAAGACATTTTCAAGCCCCACCTTTTTTAAGGAAGTTCTAAATTAGTATTATCTTTCAAATGCAGTTGGAATTTAACTTTTTCATTTTTTGGGCCTGCAAATGGGACATAGTACCTTTAAACACACATGGTGTAGCGTGGGAAAGTCACTGAGGGGACACTTGTGCTACGTGGAGGGAGAGATGGGGGAGGGGGCAGTCCCCCTAAATTTAGATAGTTGTACAGGGACTTGGGAACGATGAACGTTATGTATCATACGTTTCTCACGATCTCACTTGCCCCTTTCTTGGGACATTAATGTAAGGGGCATGCACTCCAGTAGCTACGCTACTATCATCTCCTGCAATAACATCAAGGAAGTCATCTGAGACTTCGGTTTTACTTATTCCCCCCCCCCCCCCTCTGCCTCTGCCTATGTCTGTCTCTGCCTCTGTCTGTATGTCTGCCTATCTCTCTCGGTCTCTCCCTCTTTGTCTTCCATTTTATATCTTTATATTTTCTTACCATCAAGACCGATTTTAAGGCCGTCATGGTTTGGATCCACGGAGGAGCATATAACGCAGGCGCGGGAGGGCGTCTCTGGTACAGCGGTACCCCATTGGCTGCTTTTGGTGACGTCATTGTGGTTACAATCAACTATCGATTGGGTCCGTTTGGATTCCTCAGTACAGGTAAGTTGGATTTTTTTCTTACGAAAAAAAAATGGGTTGGGGTTCTTCCATTACAAACAAATTCAGATAGAATATGAATCTTGAATTTTACCAAAACCGAATAAGAGACAGAGAGAGTAAGAAAAAATGATGGACAAGTAGTGAGTGAAGGAGAGAGAATAAGTGAACGAGGAATGGAGGGACGGGCGGAAAGAACTACAAAGAGAGAGAGAGATAGAGAGAGAGAGAGAGAGAGCGAGAGAGAGAGCGAGAGAGAGAGAGAAAAAAAAAGAGAGAGAGAGAAAGAGAGAGAGAGAGGATGATAGTTTATAAAATGCATACTTATTAATGATTTAATTTAAAGATCCTTACAAATAATGACAAATAACACGTAACTGTTGATTTACCTAGAAAATATTCAGATATTAGTATAAGTATTCCCTATCAAATAACAATACAAAGTATTGCTGTGGTTTGATAATGATTACACTTCTCTTATTTTTTTTCAAATTTCTTCGTCGTCTGCCAACAGGTGACGAATCGGCTCCAGGAAATTTTGGCATGATGGACCAGATCATGGCTCTACAGTGGGTTCAGGATAATATTCAAAGTAAGGAAAGTATACAATATACCTATCCGTAAGACAAATCATTCACGTTTACTAGCGGTAAAACGGATATGGATTGGAAATAGTCTGCATGTGTTGCTTAAATGTCCAAGAGGAGTAAAGTTCCTTACCCTATCATTTTGGCATGATAAATAGTCTGGGTATTTACCGAGAGGGTAGCCATGTATGCATGCTAGGACACCGTCCTTCCCTTAAGGCATTGTGCTCAGCATAATCTACTCAAAATGATTAGTCTGTTTTTTTAAATCCTATCACCTTAATTTTTCAATGCTCATGGCACCGTTTAGTTTTTGAAAACATCAACAGCAATGACAACTATAGAAAAACAATTCTAGAAAAAAAAAGTTATAGTACCGTGAAATAGACGATGAAAACAATTTAAAAAATTGTTACGTCATTGGACCATGCTCATGATCTTCAGTAATGGAAACTGGGCCCATTGCAAAAAAACTTACCATTGATGGGAACTTTGCCATCAATGGCAACTACCATGGTAACATGGCTCAACAGCCAATCAAAAATCAAGGTTTCCATGGTAGTTACCATTGATGGCAAAGTTACCATCAATGGTAAGTTTTGTGCAAAGGGGCCCTGATGATAAAGGCGCCATCGTTATATTCTCATAGTAGATTATATATGTATTGCGTTGTGATTACAGCAATACTCATATTAAAACTGCTACTGTCTTCTTCTTCTTTTTTTCTAATTTTTTGTTTAATTAAACAGATTTTGGTGGAGACCCAACTCGAGTGACCCTCTTTGGACAGAGTGCTGGAGCAACAAGCATCGGGCTTCATCTTCTCTCACCCCTCAGTCAGCCACTCTTTAAATACGCTATAATGCAGGTAAGAGGAGTTGTAAAATCGATTTGAATCCATGTTGTTCCATGCATTGAAAGTTGAAACCCTGTCATTTAAAAGTGACAACATAATAGGAGAAAGTAAATATTTAACTAGTCAATAATAATTGTATAAGACACACACGGTGAAGAAAGAAAATAAAAAATAATGGAGTAGGACAAGAGGGCGATAGAAGTAAGGTAATAAAAAGGGAGTAAGAGAGAGAGAGAGAGAGAGAGAGAGAGAGAGAGAGAGAGAGAGAGAGAGAAAGCGAGAAGGGAGGAGGGGTGGATGGGCGTTAAAGAGCGATTATTTTCAGACTTCTTTATAATTTTGATTTGTTTAAAATGTGTGCACTTTATATTCGTATCCGTTTCAAAACAATATCTTATCAGTTCCAGACGTCTACGACTCAAAGGTGAATATGTTAATGTAATGAAATCAATGAATTTTTCGAGCACCTAAACGTTCTATTCCATGATCAAAGTACATTTACAGTGGAAGGCAGCTGCTGTTGTCATGACTTATCCCGGGCTGACGGGTCAAAGGTGCGTTAATCTTGATGGAAAGGGGGGGGGGGGTACCTTTCTGCGATTAGAGCTTGACATGTAGATGTGTTTCTTTTCAATATTCATCATGTGCCTATCATTACAAGAAAGTTTTGCTATTCTGCTGAAATTATATATATGCATATACAGTACTATGAAAGCAAGTCCTGCAATACTATAAAACTAAACATAGCACAGGATCAATTTGGTCGTTCGTTATAACAATGCAAATTTATTTTAAAGCATATGTCTAAATGTAATAAGGGCCGGGACACAAGCGAAAATAATTAAGGATGACATATTTTCTGCTCTCGTAGTTCAGTAAGTCCACCGAGTTTAAGGGGGGTAGCGACCGAGTGTGCCCCTTAAGTTACCAGAATAGTTGCAATCGTTATTAAAAATCTCCTTTATTTCAGAGTGGAAGTACACTAACTCCTTTTGCTTACACGGATGACAAAGAGAGATCGCGTAAGGAAGCTTTTCTGGTTGGAGAGAATCTGGGATGCAGAACAACATCAAGCCGTTCCCTTATTTCTTGTCTGAGGACGAAATCAACGTCTCAGATCCTGGCTAGTTCATTATCTGTAAGTTGAGCTATTCTGGAAATGTACCAGAATAAGAAAATACTTCTGTCAACGGTACAATGCTATGATGACACGATGTTACTTCATTTTTTGACTTTCTTAATTTTCTTATTTCAGACTAGTTCATACTAGGTGTATGGCCGATTGCCGATATTCGACACCCCCCCCCCCAAAAAAAAAAAATATATAAAAAAAAAGAAAAGAAAAGAGCTGCGACCAATACCATCAACAACCAATTTCCTAAAATGTAGAGTGGGCGAACGGCTGTAAGGCAGTTGCCGAGAAGAAATGTTTCCGATCACTCAATATTTAACATTTTGTAAACTAATTTGCAACCACTCGTGGAAATATTGGCGAATGGTTGGCAGTTGTTCGGCGATTAATCGGCAATAACAAACAGCTAGTCAGAGAAAAAATATATGGCCACTATAGACAGGTGACCTTTAAAGAGAGATGACCACTAAGAAAAGTTTAATTGTATACTCTTCTGAAGTGCTATTGTAATCTCATATCTCAGCTCTTCCTTCTGTTATTAGTTTACTTCCCAGCGCATTTTAGGGCATACATTACACCGTAATGCAAGTTATAAAGAATCTATTACAGGGTTTTAGGACACCTACCCCCTGGACATGCACTCCCGGATAACCACCCCAGTCAGATACCCCCTAGGACAATTACCCCCTAGGACAACCACTCTCTAGGACGACTACCCCCTGGGACAACTACCCCCGGACAACTACCCCCGGATAACTACCCCCGGATAACTACCACCCGGATAACCACCCCCAGACAACCACCCCTACGACAACCTTCCTCTAGGACATCACCCCCCGGTCAACTATCCTAGGGGGTAGTTGTCCGGAGGGTAGGTGTCCGGATACGCTATTTAAGACCTCGAAATTAAATAATTATAATATCGTTTCCTTCATTTCATACATGTAGTTGATTTTCCTCTCAGCACCGGTGATCGACGGCGTCTTCCTCCCCGACCACCCCGAGGTCCTGGTCCAAACGGGCCAGTTCAAACGGACCAACATCCTCATCGGAACGAACCATGATGAGGGCACGGCTTGGGCCTTGTCTGCCTTCCCCCGAGACATCAACAGCAACGAGAAGCCAAACATGTATCGCGATTTGTACGACGTATGGCATGGGAGATACACATACGGGTTGACCAATGACATCATTTTGAGGTCGATGGATCAGGAGTATCTCAATTGGAAAGAGGCAGATGACCCGGAAGCGGACTATCTCGATGCATTTGTTGCCCAGGTAACTAGTTATTTTTGTCTTCATGACGGGTGTCTCGTTATGAAATTGCATAATCACAACAGACCAAGAATCTTTAATGATCTATCAAAGATTCAAATTACAAAATTGGAATCACAAATCTTTAGCTAAATTTCAAAACTCATCATTATCACCATCATCATCTCCGCCATCACCATCACCATAGTCATCATCATCAATATCGTTAACTCTCATCGTCGTCTTCATCATCATCCTTATAATCATCACCATCTTCTTCATTATCATACGTATCGCCGTCGTGTCGTCACAGTCAGCGCCATGCGCGTCATCATCTTAATAATGAAATGTTTGAGTACGTGTTTGTTGTGCAATTGGAAGACGAGGATTACATTGTGTAAATTTGTTTATACCCTCCATGAACATGATGAAGATCACAGACCAGACCTTTGTAGCACCTGCCGACACACTCAGCCGTGCCTACGCAACACAAGATGGCGGCGACGTCTACCTGTATCAAATGACGCACGTCCCATCCGCCTCCGTCTACGAGCTCACCCCGAGAGACATCGGACCGGGCTGGCTCGGCGTCACCCACGGGGAGGAGTTCCAGTTCGTCTTCGGGTGGTCGTTCATACCCGACATCAGTGATAGCCGCCCGCAGCTTCCACCGGTAGAGAAGGTGTTCATGGCCGACGTAATGAGTTACTGGAGCAACTTCGCGAAGACGGGGTAGGACGTAAAACAATAATCATAATCCATTAATATATAAAAAATCTTTCGCACCCCCGGTCTCCTCTCTGCCTACGAAAAAGGTGGAAAAGTAGAGTGTAAATGTTGTCATTGTCTCATGACATGGTGCTAGTTCTGAGATATTGAAGAGTGAAATCAAGGCCTAATAAGTTTAACCAAATTTTCATCATTAAATTTGCATAAAAGGGATTTTATATTTACACGACCCGCTTATCATTGAGATTTATTGAAAGAGAACAGCGTAATTACAACTGTATATGTATTTCAGCGCTTAAGTTCTAGCAATCTCCTTTTTTCTTGTATACATCATTTGATCTAACTCTCTTTTCAACTCCCTCTCTTTTTATGTAATGTTTTCGTCCGTCCTTTCGTCATCTTGTGGCTCTCACTTTTTCTGTTCCCAACCCCACCCCTTCCGTCATTCGCATTTTAACATTACTAACATGCTTTTGTTTTGCTATCCTTCTCCCTCTGACCAATCCATCTCCACCCATCAAGAAATCCTAATCCACCAGGGAAACCCAACTGGTCCAGATTCACTCTGCCCGATATGGACTACCTGAAGCTCGAACCAGGGTTCCCTTCTGACCGAGCCCTCAGAGCAGGCACTTGTAACTTCTGGAACGCTTATATCCCAGCCTTGGTCCAGGTGTCAGGTAAGTAAGATTGGTTTTTTGATCGATTATGGAATATTCTTTTTGAAAGTACGATGTGTAAAAAAAAATATCAGAGATTCAAATCCTGTCTTCTGTTTCACAAATGGTCAAATTTCAATTTCAAATACGAAATTAGATCCACGGCGGATAGATAATAATTATATTGCATTTATTACCAACTTTTTGGACAACAGTGTGCTACATAATGAATTAAAATGGGATAAACACAAATCGTGCTCATCTCATGAATTATCTCTTCGTTTGATTTTGAACAGTGGATATGTCTTCGACGAGCGTGAGTACTTCGACTCATCGATATCATCGACCGGGCCACACCTCATGGTCTACGTCAAGCTGGATCAGTGAAAACATTCGACGATCTCATCCACAAAAATGGTGGGATGAAAAATGATTACAAACATGAAAACATTGAACTACTGTTATTTCAAGAAATCCCATATGGTCTAGTGGTTAGGATCCGGCGCTCTCACCGCCGTGGCCCGGGTTCGATTCCCGGTGTGGGAAGTACAGTATTTTGCTTTAACGCCCAACTCACCAGGGAAACCAAATTGGACTACCTGAATCTCGAACCGGGGTTCCCTTCTGACCGAGCCCTCAGAGCAGACACCTGTAACTTCTGGAACGCTTGTATCCTAGCCTTGGTCCATGTTGAATGTTGAATGTAAATAGTTTACAGCCCTGTAAGAATTGTATTTGTCAGGTGTTGTAAAGATTTCTGTGTTCATTTTTAAAACTGTATAATAGTTGCAAACTGTCTTTGATAAAACATTGTTATATTCATTTTCATGTCGATTCAAATGGATTGTAAAATTGTAAATGATTTTTTATATTTTATTCTTTTTCATATGATGTTAACTCCACAGAATTGTGAAATTGTGAACATGCGTAAAAAAGATAGGATTATATGTTTTTTTATGTTTTACTTATTTTTTCGTCACCACAGGAGCGGGGGATGTCTTGATATAATAGATAAAATGTAAAATATACTTTTAAAAAGACAATTATTCGGGGCCTTAGGTCCCCCCCTCGCAGCTACGCCACAGTCGTGGGGGTGTCTCCCATCCAATATATTAATTTGTTATTAGTATTTTGTTCATTGCTTATTTGATATTTGTTTTGAATAGCCACCCTCATTCCGTATAATGAATAGCGACTCTCATTCCGTATTATGAATAGCGACCCTCATTTCTTATTATGAATAGCGACCCTCATTCCATATTATGAATAGTGACCCTCTTCTCGCATTATGACTAGAAACCCTCATTTTGTACTTTAAACAGTGGTCTTTATGAGTAGTGACCCCAACATAAATTATGAATAGCGCCCCTTCTTCGTGTTCATGAATAGCGACCCTCATCTCACGTTATGAATAGCGGTCCTCATGAATAACGGTCCTTATTTCTTTATGAATAGTGACCCCCTCTTCTTTATATGAATAGCAGTCCTTAATGAATAGCAAGCAGACCCCACTTTACCAATGCAATGAATATCATTTTAATGGTTAACATATGACTTAAAGGTTGTAACATTTTCGAATGGGCGTGAATTTAAATTCCTTCGAAGTTATTTATTTTCTTTGAATTATGAATAGTTTTATCACAAATTTATCAACGTTGTGTATTCTATCATTTGTATTTTACACTGTCGCTCATATAGGTGGAATATTTTTGTTTTACCCCAATTTATGGCTCAAGGCATGGACACACAGAAGATTTTTTTATGTTGGGGACCGGGGTAAAATGCAATAAATTATTGAAAAATTTATTGCATTTTCTTCGTTTTTTTAATTTATGGAAACTGCCCCCTACCCTAGCCCCCGCTGCGTACAGTAATGGTTCAGTGACAAAGCAATGGCCTCGTAACTGTAAGACCCCAGGATCAAAACCGTGTCGATGTGCTATACCGTATTAGTGCCCTTTTGTAGGGCATTACTCCTCATCACTGTCATTTATGACTTAAGGGCATAGGTCCCCTAGTTGATAAGCATAGTAGCATACACATGCTTTAGCAGTCACACAAAATACACATTATCAAATTATTATTCAATAAAATCTGAGAATGTATACTATTATCTAAATCTATTATTTTTAAATTACTTTTAAAATAATTCCATAAATTGGAGTAAAACAAAAATATTCCACCTATATGAGCGACAGTGTATGTTACATATAAATCTTTTTTTGGGGTATGGATGTGAGAATTATTAAGTTGTATTTTAGATGAGAAACTAGAGACTGTATAAATGGCATAACTGTGTAATTGTAATTTATTAGACATTATTAACTACCCACGTGAAAGATGAGCATTTTCAGTGTTTTGGCTATATTTGTGGTGCTTAAAGACCTACGAACAAGTAAATGAGAGATTATCGTGGATGAATGAAGGAACCTCTGAGGGTATCAAAGGCCATGGTAAACATATTTAATTTCAATTATGTTTTAGTTCATCATTTTCGTCCGTTATCAGTTTGACAGAACATGTCTGTTGTGGATAAGAGATAACAAGATCAAGAAGCGATCAATCATTATCTAAATATGAGGTAAATTGCCCAAACAGTCGAGATTTCAACAGGATTCATCTCCCCCTGCATAAAGATAGAGTTCAACGTGACAATGAGATGTTGTGGCCAGATCATCGATGCACGCGGTGCTAGTGAAGAGGCTCTATAGATCAACATTGAACTTCTGAAATTGCAAGAAATCCCATATGGTCTAGTGGTTAGGATCCGGCGCTCTCACCGCCGTGGCCCGGGTTCGATTCCCGGTGTGGGAAGCAGAGCTTTTTGCTTTAAACCCAGCTGGTCCAGATTCACTCTGCCAGATATAGACTACCTGAGGCTCGAACCAGGGTTCCCTTCTGACCGAGCCCTTAGAGCAGACATCTGTAACTTCTGGAACGCTTATATCCCAGCCTTGGTCCACGTTTTAATGTTGAATGAAAATGTCCACGTTGAATGTAAATAGGAATTTTATTTGTCATATATTAGATATTAAAGCTCTATGCTTATGTTGCATCACCTTTGTGTGTTGATTCTTTAAACTGTATAATAGTTGCAACTTGTCTTCGATAAAACATAGTTATATTCTTTTTCATGTGAAGTCAATTAAAATGGATTGTAAAATTGAAAATGATGTGTAATATTATATTCCTTTTCATGTAAATTTAACTCCAATGAATTGTAACATTGTGAACACGCATAAAATAAAAGTATTACAAACATGATAAGATGACAAATCACTGCTAAGAACCAACTCTGGAAATTGAATGTTCCCATATCATCGGAACAAAATCGTCTTACCACTTTCATGACGTGATTGTGACAGTATGATAAATTCTTGACAGATGAAGTATATATATGCTCAGAACTTTCAAAGAATTTAAAGAGTCATATATTGATACATCACTCATTATTATTGTCACTCAATAGCTGTTGTTAGGCCTAAAAAAGGAAGACAAAAAAAAAACGTTGATTGCCCTTTAGGTGCCAAAACATATTTTTGGTCGGTCGCAAAGGGCAATGCAACATCTTTTTTTAAAGGCCTTCGAAGACAAATATACTGCGCTATTATTCTATAAAACGCCCTACTCTTGTGGGGGGGGGGGGGGGGAATGTAATAAAATATATATTGATATATAATATTCTGAGAAGATTACAACATAATCTATCAGTAATAAATCAAGTTCCATATAAATTATAAGAGGTTTAGATGAATACAAGGAATTTGAAGTTTAATTATGAAACTTTTGTTTAAAGGAAATGATATATCTACATGAATATAGGTTTCGTATCTGTATCATGCGAGTTTTAAGGAATTATATAATTACGAAAATTATATAGAAAATATGTATAGTTTATTTAACATACAATGTATCATGCTTAAAGTTATTTCCATATCCAAGAAAATGTATGAAATGACTTTAACTCTCCCTTTATTTTTAGCTTCTTCTTAATGTCCGCGTTATATTTCTCCATCTCATGATGATATACAAACACCTGAAGCTAGATATTCAGTGGATGCAAACAAAACATTGCAGCTGATGGGTTCGAAAATCAAACACATGAATAGACTTCCTGTTTCTTCACAGTTTTTTGCAGATCATAACAAAGCGAATGCAAAGTGGGCAGGCCGTAGTTCAGATAATCCGGCTATTGTTTTCTATCATAGGAATAATCCCCCAGCTCCATCTTCATACGCAAACAGGCCGGTGAAAGGAATGTCGGTTCATTAGATGACATAATCCATAGTGGTTAATGAGGGATCCTCCTTAAAATATTAAATGCTCTAAACAATAGTTCTTAACTCATGAATAGACTTCCTGCTCTTTCAAAGTGATCGCGATCGATATTTTTTCAGAGGGAAAGACATACATACAGGCGCGTACACAGGGGGGGGGGGGGGGGGGTTAACCCCCCTTTGGTATTTTTTTTTATTTTTTTAAATTTATTAAAAAAAATATATATATATATATTCCCATGGCTGACCTAAAAAAAACTGACCTCACCCCCCCCCCCCCGCTTATTCAGCGGTCGGCTGAGTCGTTGTGAAATTTTTGGCCCGATTTATAAATGTTAAACCCCCCCCCCCTCCCCCTTCAAAAAATCCTGCGTACGCGCCTGCATACATCATGTGCATATATAAGTTCCAAACGCTTCTTTCATACAAACACCCCACCCCAAAAAGTTCTAAAAGCTTGAACGCGTACTACTGTATTTCCCAAGATGTAATAAAACGATATGAATAATTCTAATGATACACTAACATGCCAATGCAAGATAATTTTTAGTTTCTTTCTGCCTACAAAAAAAACACTGGTATCCATGCTTAAGTTTATTGGTCAGTGGTAACATGAATATTTTGATTTTGCACATTAAACATAAACTTGAGTTCTGGTAAAAAAAAGAAAATGAATTCTCACAGAATCTAACGAAACTTACACTGAATGTTCAAGATTACAAATAAATGTCATGTGCCAAACAATTTTGGAAGAAAATGTATACTGGCTGAGTAATGAGCATAGAAAGATAAGGAAATCAGGGTAGTACTAGCCCCGACACCATGTGTGTTGTCCCATATACATCTATCTGTGTAAGTGATTGTTACTTTACCAAGACTGCCAAATTTATGATGATTTTGATGACTCTAGAACCTTGCATTACACACCATTACTTACATGCTATATGATCAACTTTTCTGATCCATTCCACACCTTTTCTTTCACAATGCAATCGCATTACCAGTACTCAAGTTTATCTTTAAACTTATACCCAGGTTTTCTCCTTCAACTTTGGTCAGATGTTTGATTCAAATTGACAAACACCTATATGACAATTGCTTATATGTGTACATATACATTTAACTGGCTTTTGATATGTATAATGCTTTAAAAAAAATATAAAATATTAACACAGTTTTGCGTCTGATGTATTTCAGGAATTCTTTGGAATTTCATAATTAAAATTCAACCCGGCGCAGATTCTTGCATCATTAGCAGATCAAGACAATGGTAAATTGGTTCAGGGAATATTTGTCAATTTTCTTATATTTGATAGCTTAGTATGATGCACTATGAACATAGAGGGTTCGAGTACATAAGTTTTGGAGAAAAAAAAGAAGAACAATTAAACAATTAAGAAATATAATTATGTTATTGCGACCTCAATAAACAAGGCAGTCCATAATAACACACAACATTGTACGGTGAAAATTCTTAAATTTTTCAAAACGTACAAAGAAATAAATAATATTAAAACCTTCTGTAAAATGCAAATGCCAAGTTAAATGACAATGGAAAAACAATTGGGATGGGGGGGGGGTGTCTAGGACAGCTACCCCCTGGACATCCACCCCCGTATAACCACCCCCAGTCTACTACCTCCTAGGACAACTACCCCATAGGACAGCTATCCCCTAGGGCAACCACCCTCTAGGACGACTACCCCCGGGACAACTTCACCGGACAACTACCCCCAGACAACTACCCTCTCGGACAACTACCCCACAGACAACTACCCCTACGACAACCATCCTCTAATTGCCCCGGACATGTAAGAGGGTAAGTACAGTAGAAAGAATACACGTTTTATACAAAAATTTCGCATTTTTTCATCAACCTTCAACAATGTTACCGAGTCACTTTAAAGGCCTACGTACACATCAATGAGAGAATATCGTGGATGAATTAAAGACCTCGTAATGCCATGATCAAAAAAATATAATGGGAATAATGTTTTAGTTCATCATTTTCTTCAGTATTAATTTTTACAGTAAATTTATGTAGCAGATATAACAAGATAACGAAGTGATCTCCTCGTTACCTAAACATGAGGTGACAATTGCCCCCAAACAGTCGAGATTTCAATAGGATTTATCCCCCGGCCCCTCATATAGATATAGAATTCGACGTGATACCGAAATGTTGTGTACAGATCATTAATGCACAGTGATAGTGAAGAGGCTTCATGAATAAACATTGGATCACTCGAAATCCCATATGGTCTAGTGGTTAGGATCCGGCGCTCTCACCGCCGCGGCCCGGGTTCGATTCCCGGTGTGGGAAGCTCACACTTTTGCTTTAATTCACTTAACTTAATGTGTGGTTACAAGTCTTCATGTATATAAAGAATGGGCGAGCATTTAGATCCCTTTGAACTTTTATTTTGTATATCAATCTTTTTTAGTATAGCTGTGAGACAGCCGTAGTTATTAAGTTGTATTTTGGAGACTTATATATGATATAGTTGTGTAATTGTAATTGTTTAGACATTACAAACTACCCAGGTGAAGGGTCAACTTTTGTTTTGGCTATGTTCTTACTTGTGGTGCTTAAAGGCCTATGTTAAAATCAATGAGAGGATATCGTGGATGAATTAATGACCTCGTAATGCCATGATCACAAATTGAAATGGGAAAGATGTTTTAGTTCATCATTTGCTTCCTTTATCAATTTGAGAGTAAATGTCTGTTGTAGATAAGAAATAACAAGACCAAGAAGCGATCCCCTCATTACCTTCAACATGAGGTGATGTTTGCCCAAACAGTCGAGATTTCAATAGGATTTAACCCCCGGCCCCTCGACGTGATACCGAAATGTTGTGTACAGATTATTAATGCACGGTGCTAGTATTAAAAGAGGCTCTATGATTCAACATTGGACCACTGAGGTTGCATGAAATCCCATATGGTCTAGTGGTTAGGATCCGGCGCTCTCACCGCCGTGGCCCGGGTTCGATTCCCGGTGTGGGAAGGTTACTTTTTTTGCTTATAGACATAATTCTTTTTTTCTTTTTGTGCGGTTACAAGTCCAATCGTAGATAAAGAATGATGAAAACGAAGGAAAGCAGGGACTTTCATATTTTACGTTTTTACTGTTGTTGTCGTTGTTGCTGCAGCAGTATTTTAGTTCGTGCTTGAAATTTCTGGGGATGATGCTCAGGGCTTTTTGTTACATCAATTGCCATGGGTAACCTTAATCATTGATGATTAGGGAAATTCCATTTCCTATTCTAGCTTATCTGTCGTGTTTAAATCGTGGAAAACTATTGGCTCACGAGAATCTTGAAAATCACTAGATTTCAGGCAACAATCACCCCATTATTTGGGCAGCGAGACGATAAATTTGAATTTTTATCACCCAAACGGGGAAAAAAAAAACAATATCCATTCAACTTGAAAAAGTAATTATGATAAATTATTCTGAGAAAAAAAAAAGTTTTTGCTTCTTTCGTAGTATCATTATTATGCAATCTAATAATGTGCATCATATACCCGTTTCTGATTTCCTAAAAATCATCTTAGAGTAAAAATGTAAACTCCAATCGTAACAAGATTTAAGTGTACATGAAGGTAACTTTAAATTTATCTTTGATTGCTTGGGAAAAAGCAATGTGGCTGCTGTGATAAGAAAGTCATGATGTCAAACAATGACAAGGTTTTCTCTCGTCGTTTCGCAATGTCATTTGAAAATGAACAATGTTCGTTAATTATCAACAGAGAACATATTTGATTTTGCATTTGACACTGTACCAGTTCGCGAAAGATATGGCAAAGATAATTTAACATGCATCATCCATAATTTATGGCAAACAGATGTTACAATTCTCACATACCCTTATCATCACCACCAAATATGTATTTTTTATACAAATATACCTCTTCACGATACCAAAGAATAGAGTTCATCATGGTGTACACCAAAAAAGAAAGAAGGCAAATCATGATGAGCAGTGGCGTTGCAAAGGAGGGGGGGGGGAAGAGTGCCCCCATTCTAATCGCGCAAAACAAGTAGTAGGGGGGGGGAGGAAAGGAAAGGTTGAAATAAGATGAAAAGAACATAAAAAGAACATTTAAAGAAGATGCTAAGACTCCACCACCTTAAGCAATGACCCCATGCATTCATATTCACCCTCCTACAATGCAGTTCAACCGGTGTCATGACCCCCTCTTCCTCCCCCCCCCCCCCGTGATGCCGGTGTTCCCCCTCTAACCGCTGCGATATCATCGAGATATGTTTTAATTAATTGGGTGAATCATTTTCATTCTTGAGCGGTATTGTAAGAGGTACACGATGCTGCTTTCTACACTGCTCGTCTTCTGTCTGGTGTCATTCAGCCGGGCCACTGGCCCAGTGGTAATGACTAGTAAAGGACTCGTCAAAGGTATTTATAAATGTTTCAACTTTCCCTTACCATCCCATGAATGCTTAAAATTTTTCACCATATAATTTGTTTTCTTTAACGTTTTATAACGGTTTACACACGATTCGTGCCAGCACTTGTATCAGAGACGGATATTCTAATTTCAATGAAATAATATCATATATGTAGTTCGAAACTTTCTTTCCGAGCTGTCCTGTGCAGAGGAATACAATTTTCAAACTTCTGCAAACTGTCATCAACTTTTCTAATCTAGATCACTCATTCTTTCCCGCTTGCCCATATTGCCCAAGTCGTTTAATGTAATATAATTTAAATGTCATCTATCTATCGTTTTTCTGTTCTGTTTTAATTTTCTATTGAATTTTCTAGAGCAGCCTAGAGCAGATTCTTTTGATGAATTTTTCTTCTTCTAATAACCTCCCGTTGATTAGGATTCGTTGATCATCTCAAGGAGAGCACATACATCGGCGTCGACAGCGATTTTGACGTCTTCTTCGGCATCCCCTTCGCCAAGCCTCCCGTGGGCGACCTCCGTTTCGCCAACCCCGAACGCCCCGACCCGTGGGTCGACACATACGATGCGACGACCGTCCGTGCACTCTGCCCGCAGCCGATGGTTGGGACCAAGGACGAGGATTGTCTGTACCTCAATGTATACGCACCTAATCCAACGGTTAGCTTTATTCCTTATTCCTTCTACCTCTACATGGAATTTTTTTTATTTTTTAAAGTGTTCTATAAACATTAATTTTTGTCCTGGTGACTAGTATTAATTTGTAATAAAACTTATTAAAAAAAACAAAAAAACTTGTTTTTGTTTATGAAAGAAGAATACTTCCATTATATAGGTGGATATCAAACTAATAGGCACGAGTTAGGAATAATGTCTTTTTAGTTCTTTTCATTAAAGTGACTTGGTAACATTGTTGAAGGTTGATGAAAAAAATTGCTTAATTTTTGTATAAAATGTTACTTACTATATTCCTTCTACTGTACTAACCCTCCGACATGAACAAAAAAAAACATGAACAAATTCTCAAACCACAAAGATATCTATGGTTTTCTTTGAAGGCGTCGATGTACGACACCCTCTTACAGTGAAATGTCTGGAATGAAATGTAGAGCCATTTTATTGCTTTGTGAGATTTCCATTCACCTAAAATGTAATTAAATTATATAGTTGGGAGAATTAAGGAATCGATCAGATCAGTTTTTCCCAATTTGTACCATGAATAATGATCCGTTTTCACTCAAATTTTCAGATTATCTTTAATTGTACATCTAGCATTGAAGTCACTACCTTAGCACCACTATCTCTCATCTGAACAATGTTACCAAGTCCCTTTAATGAGTGTGACAATATTATTTATATTGATAGATAATTAAATGTTATGTACAGATCATCAATGCACGGTGGTAGTGAAGAGGCTCCATGAGGATAGTAGTAACGCAAGAAATCCCATATGGTCTAGTGGTTAGGATCCGGCGCTCTCACCGCCGTGGCCCGGGTTCGATTCCCGGTGTGGGAATTCCAGATTTTTGCTTCAAGTCATAATTTATTTATTCGTTACAAGTCTACATGTAGATAAAGATTGATGAAAAAGAAGCAAAGCGGGGTTTACTTTCTTATTTTAGGTTTTTACTGTTGTTGATGCTGCTGCTGCTGTATTTTAGTTGGTGCTTGCATTTTCTGGGGATAATGCCAGGGGCTTGTTGATATCTTCCGAAAGCTTTATTGATCAATCTCTATGACTCTTTAGATTGATCAGTCCAGTTCGAGAAGATAGAAAATATATCTGTCAAAACATATCACACTGTCATAATCTTTCCATGAAAAGAGGTATATATAAACAAATATTCTAAAATTATGGGCGACAGTGTACTTTGTCCTCAATTTAACTTTGGCAAAGGCACACGAAAATAGGACAGGGGGGGGGGGTGAGATACTCTAGTATATTAAAGTCACACACCACAATCGGTTAGTAGGAAGCCTACACTATGAATATGAAGGACAAAGACGGCGGACAAAATATACAGTTCCTCAGGTAGACAAAGGAACATACCTTCACTGCTGTTATGTAAATATGTGTAGAACAGGTGTCACATGCATATTCACATGTTCTACACATTTTTACATAATAGCAGTAAAGGGATGTTCCTTTGTCTACCTGAGGAACTGTATATTTTGTCCGCTTTCTTTGTCCGTCAAGTTCATAGTGCTAATACCACCACAGCCTCATGGCAGTGTTGCCAATTTGTCTAAATGAAATAATGATTTTCTTATCAATAAAATGTTCATAACTTACTGTTATCATTTTCTCAATATTTTGTATAAAATGTGTTATTTTTTCTGCCCTTTATTTAATCTAAAGAAGCGACTCATTAAGGTGTAAACTATTTACCTCTAAAGTATCCAATCACAGAGTTTTGATGAGCGACCATTTTGCGACAGGCTCACAGTCTAAAATCAGTTTTTATTTGTATAGTCAAGCAAATCATGACTTTAAGATGAACGAAAATAAAAAAGCATTTTTACTTAGTAGCCCGTGATATCTGTGTGGACTCGCTTAAAAAGGGGATGGACAGATTAAAGAATAGGAGGAAATATACAGAACTGCGCCATCTTTTGTTTGATATGAGGAGATCAAGAATACAGAATAGACTCTTATGATGTAGAAAGGATCACGAGGGGGCGTCCTGAGACCTTTAGCAAATGAGCCAACAATTTAACAAAAGAAAATATATCCGAATCCCAATCCAACTTGTCAGAACTAAAATGCATGCAGAGACGTTGCTTCTTGCTATGATATACGGTAAACGAAAACGAAATATTTGTTTTAGCAGTAACATTAACTGGATCACAATGGGGTCGAATTCACAAGATCTTTAAATAGATCTTTAATCTGATCCCCACTCAACTTATGCTACTTGTGTTTCAATTACTGATTTTACTATGTCCATCTTTTTATATTTGTCATATGCGTTCATACGCAATGTTATGTATCTGTTTTTAAATATTGAGTGAATAAATGTATTGAATTGAATTGAAATTAATTTGATTTGTGTTACTAGCCCGACAATGCAGCCGTGATGGTGTGGTTTCACGGAGGGGCCTACAATGCTGGGACTGCGGGTCGATACATGTTCAGTGGAATCCCTCTAGCTGCCGTCGGAAATGTGATCGTCGTTACAGCCAACTACCGTTTGGGTTCTCTCGGGTTCTTGAGCACTGGTACGTAGACGTGTCGTGATCTAGTGGTTACGTCACCGGACTGTGGATCACATGGTTCACGGTCCAAGTCCCGCCGGCGTCTTATTTTTTCGTACCACGGCGAGCCCAGATTGAGCTCGCGAGGGGAACCTGCGCATGCGCACTCGCGAAGGAAACCAGCGCATGCGCACGTTGAATCCGGTAGGGTGGTTAATAGGGTGATAGTAACTATACAAATCATTCTTTCATCAACTCATCGTTAGCTCAATCGGTAAAGACAGCGTGATACTAATAGAACTTTGGAGTTGACGTGAGGGTTCAAATCTCAGTTTATTTAGTTTTTTTGCCTTTATAAATAGTGAGGCAAAGCAATCAATAATCAAAGTCTAATTGTTTGTGACCTCTTAGCAAGCTTTCCTAGCTTGTTCTGTATGAAAATGAGTTCATACTGGAATCTGGGCTCGCCGTGGTACGAAAAAATAAGGCTCGTCCCGCCTCAGCACTAACATCCTTTGGCAAGACATAAATCTACATATTTTGCTTCTCTCCATTCAGGTGTTTTAAATGGGTCCCTGACATGAATTCATTCATTAATACTTTGAGCGCCTTAGCACAGCTGAGCTAAAGCCAGGGTCATAATTAATACTTTGTAGGCGCCTCGAGCATCCCCTGGGATTAATAGTTAGGTGCACAATATAAATGTAACTATTCTTCTTCTTCTTTTTCTTCTATTCCTCCTCCTCCTTCCTCTTCCTCTCCTTCTTCTTCTTCCTGTTCCTCTTCTTCGTCTTCTTCTTCTTCTTCTTCCTCTTCCTCTCCTTTGTCTTCTTCTTCTTTTTCTTCTTCTTCTTCTTCTTCTTCTTCTTCTTCTTCTTCTTCTTCTTCTTCGTCATCTTCTTCTTCTTTTCTTGATTATTAAGAACCAAAAACAAAATAACAAATAAAATGAAGAAAAAAAACAACATTATTATTAAGTTTTCGAAAGCTTGATGTACTACAAACTTTCCATCCAACACCATCTCATCTCTCAGGCGACGCAGCCGCACCTGGAAACTATGGCTCATTCGACCAAGTGATGGCGCTACGCTGGGTACAAGAAAACATCGCAAGTGAGTCCTCTAAAATCAGTATTCGTCTTCGGACTGAAAAGAAAGAGCTACAAATGTACACTTACATGTTTAGTACTTGAATGATTAGAGTCTTGAAAGATGTATGTGCTCATTGGTTTTTGTTTTAATAGAGGTTTCATTAATCGTGAATGAAGCGGTATGTCCTACTTATTCATTATTAAACAGCCATGATTTATACAAACTCGTACTGCCAAAAAAGGATTGTAAACAAAAAAATGGATGATTTTAATAGAGACTTCATTTATATATGAAAGATTTAAAGAACATGAATAAATACAGAACGTATAGGCATAATTGTTAAAATAACCTCCTATTGCTTAAGGTCAATTAGGTTATCAAAATACGACCCCCAAAAAGAAGGAAAAAAAACAAAAAAAAAACGAAATTTGGACCGACTCGATTCACCCCTTTTGATACCCGCTCTGACATTTAACTCCAATTATTATCCCGGACAGCTACCACCGGAAAATAAATCCAGAGGACTACGGCAACAACTAATGAAGAAAAAATATCTGACATTAATTTACACCACAACTTGCCTCAAACATTGATAATGAAATTACCCGACTCGGAGGTAGTTGGTACTTGTCCGAGGTTTAATGTCATTTTGTTAGAAATAGCTTCATATCCGAATTCGTCCGGGTGGGTGTCAAAGGATAAGTGTCCTATAGTATTAGTTGTCCAAGGTCCATATACTATATAGTCTAGGGGTGACCGTCCAGATATTTTTTTTTTTTTTTAAATCTACATATAATCCTTTTGAGTTACACAATTATTTGCATTGAACTTTGATGTGTTGCGGGATTGGCATAACTTTACTCTTTTGACTTTAACGATTTTGTTTAAATGACGTTAATATTACAGTATATTGCCAAACATTTTTTTTTCTTTTCTTTTTTTAAAATCTGTTATTTTTACTTTTTAAATCATATTTCAACTTGAGGTGCACTTGGCAGAGATTCTTTTCTCTCTTTCTATTTTTCTTGTTCTACTCTGTCCCTCTCTACCCCTCTCCTCCAATCTTTCGTATATTCCCTGATCAACTTTTCTTTCTTTTTTCTTCTTCCTTCTATTCCTCTTTCTAGTTCCGTCTTTCTCTTTCTCTTTCTTTCTCTCTCTCTCTCTCTCTCTCCCTACTTTTTTGATGACACAGAAGGTTTTTAATGTTTTTAATATTTGTAATATATTTGAATTTTAACGTAATATTTGTAATAGATTTAGATTTTGATGTAATATTCGTAATATATTTAGATTTTGATTTAATGTTTGTAATATATTTAGATTTTGATGTAATATTTGATTCTCATTTTGCATGATTTATAGTCGTACGTTTTAGTCACTCATATTTTGTTCGTTTATTGTGTTGTATATTGACTTTGTAAATTGAATAATTTCAGCTACCCAGCTGCATGTTCTTTTATTTCAATAAACCGAATCAAATCAAATAAAAATCCGATTCTTATGGTATTGTTACGTCATGTAGGTTTCGGCGGCGATCCAACCCGAGTGACCATCTTCGGTGAAAGTGCAGGCGCCACCAGCGTTGGTTTACATGTAGTGTCAAAGGAGAGTGAGGACTTGTTTACCTGGGCTATCATGCAGGTATATTCAAGATCGAAATTAAGTTTAAATTAAATTTACGCTGCAAATTCGTTTCTCGTTGTATTTATTCATTATAAGCGACCAGTTTCGATGACAGCAACTAAAAACAACACCTACATGTATCTTATTAATCAGATATATGAAACGAATTTGATAACGAAGCTATTGTGAAAACACGCACTTTTTATTCAGTGAGTAGAAATGAGATACGATGCCACAGCATAATACTTGGAGTGGTACCATATCATGCCAATGCTTTACAATATCGTTGACTGGCTTTACTTAGCTTTACCCAATAAATATAATTACATCGAACTGAAATCTAATGTACGTATCAAACAAAGTTGTGTCTTGTCTGAGACTTTGTATCTAACCTGACATCGACCTGAAACGAGATAGCTATTAGCCGTTTATGAAACAGAATCATAAAAATAAGAAGTCAATATCTGCCTCAAGGAAAAACTGAATATCCTAATTTCCTCCATATCAAAGAATTTAAAAGAAAATACCTTTTGAATATATTTTGAAGATGTGTTTTTTTCGAAAAATTTGTTTCCGTACTTACCTTGTTAGGCGCCTTGAGCATCTCTTGGGGTGGATATGTGTGCATTATAAATGTTGTTATTATTATTATTGTTAATTAACATTTTTTTCTTCTTTGAGTCTGCGCGCCATTGATATTATTATCTTCCCACGTATGTTCATTATGATAACAATTATTGTAATCATATGGTTTGGGAAGTCACTTGAAGAGAGATCACATAATATACATGGATTACATGTATATAAATGATATGTTAACCTATCATATATCTTGGATAAAACCTTAAACCATAAACATAAATCTTCCGTGGCGATCCCTTTCGTAGCATTTAGGCCTACTTAGATTGTAAATTGGGATAAGGAATTATCGGCTTTCTCCGTAACAAGTTTTTGTTATATAAACTAACCTCGATTTGAAAGACATATTCTGTATACACGTTAATACAATACATAATGTCAGTTAATTTTGGTCTTCACAACTTGATATCATACCACGATTCTTAGCATGCCGAAATAATGGGACTCAAATCAAGCTTGATTAGAATCACATTAAATATACTTTGGCACATAATCTAAGATTTTCCTCTTATATTTTTGTTTTTTAAGAGCGGGAGCACGATGACTCCTTTTGCTTACAATCCTGACCTGAACGCTGCCCGTGAAGACGCCTTCAAACTTGGTAGCAATGTCGGGTGTGATGAGGCCGACAGCAACGATCTCATAGCTTGTCTCAGGACCAAGTCTGCCAGCGAGGTCCTGGCTGGTGGACTCCAGGTAAGTACCCCTTTCATACTAATCTATACTCGGGTGACCAGCGGGTTACATTCGGGTGACCTTCAAATTTGAGATGACCGACAGCTACGATCTTGTCATAGCTTGTCTCAGGACCAAGTATGCCAGCGAGGTCCTGGCTGGTGGACTCCAGGTAAGTACCCCTTTCATACTATCCATACTCCGGGTGACCAGCGAGTTACATTCGGGTGACCTTCAAATTTGAGGTGACCGACAGCCATGATCTCATATCTTGTCTCAGGACCAAGTCTGCCAGCGAGGTCCTGGCTGGTGGACTCCAGGTAAGTACCCCTTTTCATACTTATCCATACTCCGGATGACCAGCGGGTTACATTCGGGTGACCTTCAAATTTGAGATGACCGACAGCTACGATCTTGTCATAGCTTGTCTCAGGACCAAGTCTGCCAGCGAGGTCCTGGCTGGTGGACTCCGGGTAAGTACCCCTTTTCATACTTATCCATACTCGGATGACTAGCGGGTTACATTTGGATGACCTTTGAGTGTGAGATGGCCGACAGCAACAATCTCAATAGACAGTTTTGACTGTCTCAGGTCTTAGTTGGTTGATTCCAGGTAACTGCCACTTTCATATCATCCCCATCACCCGAGTAAATTCGGGGTGACGGCCAAGTGACCTCCCGAATATAAATAGTACAGAAATGGAATAGTTCACACTCTGTCGTCCGCGTGACAACACTGGACCGATTTAAGAACCATAGGGCGGAGGCTTCACCCAGTCTAATAGGCAATCCAACCCTTAAAATACTTGTATGAAAGCGAATAAATAAGAGAAACTGAATGGCGAAAGTTTGAAATAAATCTGACCAATAATAAGCGAGTCTAATGAGTGTTTCAAAAAAATGACATAACTAAATTTATGAGAATCGTGAACACAAATGTCATAAATATCTGTATTTCTCCTAAACGTAAGTTTTATGGAATTGATACCTATAATCTTTCAAAATTTCTAGTTTGGATTCCTATCCGCACCCGTCGTCGATGGGCGTTTCCTCATCACTGACCCCGTCCAAATGCTAGCTAAGGGGGACTTCAAACACCGCAACATTCTGCTGGGTTCAAACCATGACGAAGGCACACTGTGGGCCCTGGGCATCTACCCCGACTACACACTGTCGAAGTCGGCCCCGTACATGAGTCGAGCCGACTACGACGAACATCGAGACGACTTCCTCACAGGGTCCCTCAACGACATCGCTCTGAAGGCTATGGACCAGCAGTATATTGACTGGAGCAGCGCCGACAACCTGGACACCGACTATCTCGACCTCCTTGTCAGACAGGTGAATGAAAAAGACCAGACGAGTTTCGTTCAAAAAGATATTAGTCTTAATTGACATCCATATGATTAATTCCACAGTGTGTTTCAAACTGTTTTACGAAGCATTTTATTCTGACGTAAATTTTGAGGGATTTTTTTTTTTATCGAAATAAAAATAGAGATGATGGTGATTATCAACCAAAGGTTTAAGTCTTATAAAAGTAGGCCTCGATCTGAATATGCAAGTACGACCACAATTCCATGTGTAAAACTACAAATGACTACCATCACAAACAAATCTCAAATATAGTTAGCTAAGAAAATTCATTGAAATCTTCGGAATCAGTTGAAATATCAAGGCTCTATATGGTTTCGATGCAGATCACTGACGAAACATTCACGGCACCTGCCGACGCCACCGCCAGAGCCTTCTACCAACATGGCGCCGGCGATGTGTACATGTACGAGCTGACCCACGTGCCGTCCGTACCGGCCTACAGCCTCAACCTCCTTGGGCCCGGTTGGCTCGGCGTCACTCACGGAGAGGATCTCCAGTTCGTCTTCGGCTGGTCCTTCGTCCCTCAGATAACGGATAAAAGACGAAACCTCCGCTCCAACGAACTGACTTTCATGGTCAACTTGATGACCTATTGGACCAACTTCGCCAATACTGGGTGAGAAAGTGGAACCTGAACATAGAAAATGATAATTTCTATTCATGACATGAGTTGAGTTTGAGTTTCTTTCATACTTCAACACATACTTAAAACGATATGCCATCAGGGACGTGAAATGCACTAAACAAATTATAAATAAATAGAAAATATCAACAAAATATTTAATCTGAGTTTACTACTCCCCCCAAACGATTCAAAGCAGACCCTTTCAGCTATATGTAAATAGTTTAGACTACGATTTGTTTCAAAGGCAATATGTGAAAGGTTTTCTCAGTTTTTACATGCGCCTTATCAACCATTTAGTTGTATACATTCACGTTGAGTCCACATGATAATAAAATGTCATACACGATAGTTTCCAGGACCCTTTCATCATTTCCATGAGTATAACATTCATGGTATGGTATGGTATGGTATATTTTATTTATTCACGGTTAAAAACATAATACAATTGTGCCCGCATTCAGCAAAAGCTGTTTTTCAGCAGGTTTTTCATAAATATGTAGCAGCAAGAAGTTTCTCACCCTATTCGCACTTGGCGGTCAAATGTAAAACCTTATATCCTTCTTGAAAAGATAAATCATTCAGAATTTCATTTAAATATTTAAATAAATAAAATAGTTTGATTACAAAATATTCAATATCATTTTTTTTTGTCTCACACCCTTCATTTGAATCCATCATGTGGGACTACAGCACTCCCAATTCAGCTGAGCTACCAACATGGCCAACCTACACAGTTCCGGAACTGCAGTACATGGTCCTGGACCCGGACCTGACCCCGAGTCGAGCTCTACGTGCTGATGACGTCGCATTTTGGAACGAGTTTGTCCCAGAGTTGCTTGAGTCTTCAGGTAAAATGTCACCTACAACTTTCATTATTGAATATTACTTATAAACTGTATGTTATTATTCTCAAATCACCGTATACTTTATATTATATATACTGCATATAAAATGTATTGATCTTTGATTGGCAGAGAGCTCTTCACGTGACCAAAAATATTTTAAACTATCTTAAGGTTGCTCTTAAAAGGTATTATTTGGGAGTACTGTTTGGGAGAAATATTAGGGAGATCGATTTTGTTTTAATTTTTGAACTAAAAAAATATATAAATTGTAAAATTTTAAAATGTTGTGATACAATAATTTTTGAAATGTTTAAACTTCAACGAAAGAATATCGTGGATGAATAAAGGAACCTCATAGAGTATTCATAGGCCATTATAAATGCATTTAATTGTAATGATGTTTTAGTTCATCATTTTCTTCCTTTATCAATTTTCTAGTAAATATCTGTTGTAGATAAGAAATAACAAGATCAAGAAGTGATCCCCACATTACCTAAACCTGAGATGATAATTGCCCAAACAGTCGACATTTCAAAAGGATTCACCTCTCCGCCCCCCCCCCCCCATGGCCCGAATTCACAAAGGAGGCTTGTCGACAAACCTAGGTATATGTGCGTCATATGTCGCGTTTTAAACCTAGGTTTGAAACGCGTCGAAACGCGTCATATGAGGCACATAAACCTAGGTTTTGTCGACAAACCTTCTTTGTGAATTCGGGACATAGAGTTCGACGTGACACTAAAATGTTGTGTACAGATCATCAATGCACGGTGCTAGTGAAGATGGTCGATGAATTGACATTGAATTACTGATGTTGCAAGAAATCCCATATGGTCTAGTGGTTAGGATCCGGCGCTCTCACCGCCGTGGCCCGGGTTCGATTCCCGGTGTGGGAAGTACAGACTTTTGTTTTAACGCCCAATCCACCAGGGAAACCCAACCGGTCCAGATTCACTCTGCCTGATATGGACATCTAGAAGCTCGAACCCTGGTTCCCTTCTGACCTAGCCCTTAGATTAAAGCATACACCTGTAATTTCATGCATGCATGCATAAATAAATACATCAACTATTTGTTCATAAGCTTAATAACAAAATTCCAAATTTTAGTTCTTTGAAGAAGAAAATTATTCAATATTATGAAGACGAGAGATATATCCATTCTATATCTGGTATGTATAACAAATTTTGTACCAAATGGCAGGCACTTCAACATTTGTTTGTATGAACAACAAGGAGAGAAATGTGAAAGTATTCTGTTTTGTTTGAATTAAGGAAAGACTTAATTTCATTGAATTGTAAAAATGTTTGTTTGACTCAATAAAATAGCCTATGGAGGGCTAAAACGTTTAAAAGAAATAAAAATAAATACTGCTAAATCCACTCAGAACCGACCGATAATTGATAAAATTTTAGAAATTCCATTTTTGTTTTGTTTTTGTTTTTGTTCGATCTTGTTGTTTCCACGTTGTTGTTGAACACATTGGCCATATCGGTATGGCCAAAGCACCACATAATTATATATTATACTATATTCGTCATTTCTTTCCCTCTCTTTCCACTACTCAGGTACGAGCAAAGTGAGGAACAGATGGTCTGCACCATGGTAGAGCTTCTAATCAGAAGAAATGAAGAGATGCACAGAGTATCTAGGGATATGGGGATTCAGAAGCTATAATTATATTCAGGAGAATATCAGCATTTATCAAAATAGAATAAAGAAGCTAATCTGCATACACATAAATGTGTTGTTTTATTTCGTTTGTTTGATTTCTATGTTTGTTTTACTTGGCTGCTATGAAAGCATGTGTTTGCTTGTAAGAAAGCAACCAGGGACTGAAGGCTTGAAGTCCCATCCGACTAGGGTCATGTTAATGATGTTGAATGCCTTACCAAAGGGCTTCGAACCCTGGACCTCCTGATTACGAGACCAATGCTTTACCACTGATCTATCTTGGGACTACGATAAATGAAGACGTCAATTCTGAAATCCTTTTATTGCGATCAGTTCGGCTCGTAAACCAATTCAAGATTGGTGAGCATCAGAATAATCGGCGAAGTATTATCCTTATAATAATGATGATGAAATCAACCGGCCCTAACCCATTAAGGATCTTAATTGTTCCTGTCTACTGTTTATTATGCAAAATCCATTTCCTAATAGCGGGATTCTGACCGGGATTTAGCTTTCGCCGGCGAACCATTCCGAGTCTTATTTTTCCTTTGAGGGGAAATGCTATGCACACACTCATCAATCCTTCAACAGCGAATCACGCCAGATCTCCCCTTCCTACTATTCCTCGTGAAAGAACCCAGCAAAAGAATAATACTGTCGAAACCTTTCATTTTGCATTTTGACGTATGAAGTCCATTAACTTATGCCTTGCTAATAATCGACTTAATCGTCACCGGCTCATTTAGCGTAAAACCCCCATACATTGTACGGCTTTGCAGCAATATAAACCAGCAGCATCTTCTCAGCATCATTTGGTAGATGATGAATAAATTCAAAGAAATTATCTTAGTAGATCGAGCCATAATTGATAATCTTCTCTTAGCCGATTCCTGTGATTTGATGCTTTGAAATACACGTGAGATCATGAGATCAGGGTAGCTTTGAAGATTATTTCCATATTATGTGCGTGTGTGAGAGTGTGTGTGCGCGTGTGTGATCATGACTTTTTTGTGTGTGTGTTTTTGTGTGGGTAAACATTGTTGAGCCATTATATACTTGATCTCACATTGTCTTGACGGAAAGATAACTAACAACAAACAATCAAACAAACAAACAGATGGGAACATTATTTTTGCAGTCATTTTTACACATTAAATCTGTTCGTCTTACCTACTAACAAAGTTACCTTTTGACTCATTAAAGGAAAACATTTTTTTGAAACACGTCAATTAAATCATGTATACAAAAGATTTATCCGAAATATTGAACAAAAGACAGGCGGTTGGGTGCCAAGCAGAAAGGCACATCTGTTGCAAAAAGAAACCCCTAAAACAGACAAAAACTGCAGCAACAACCACAACAACAAAAACAAAGACCAAATTGGTCCGTACGGCGTCACAAATATTTTCCTAATTGTTAACTCAGTAATTTTAGCAATCAAATTATGTGGAGCTGACGACAAATCCATATTCAGTAACTCTTATCATATTTTAACTTTGACTTATAAAATGCTGGACTTCGACCACGGCGACGTACTATGGAGGAAAGAGTTCCTTTATCTATTATAGCTTATTTTTTGTAATGACCTTTAACGTTTTTAGGCTACAGAAGTATTGTTTCCGCTGATGCAAAGCAACCAATAGAAAAAATAGTAATAAAATAAAATATCAAACTAGGGGAAAACTATGGTCTTAAATCTAGAATTGTTCTTAAATTCAATAAAAACCGAAATATTCACGATAATCTGATTAGCGAAGATTTAACATAGTGCTAACAAATAAGGGGAAGACTGTGTTTGTAATGACTCGTCGTGCACTTTCAATAATTACATATTTACAGAAGTAAATAATAAATGACAAATATAATTCGCAATAAATATTGACTCATGATATAATGTTTCCTCGTTGCTGTGAAGCCTCATAAGTGTCTGAATATAAATCTGTCCTTTAAATGGTATGAAAGTGAAGAACTCTAGAAAAAAAAAAGCTGTGCGAGATGCCACAAGCAATAAACCGGCTCTCTCGAGCACCGATGATAGGCGAAAATTTCATTTACCATAAACATATATTCACGGTACCGCTATCACTGTCAAATATTGGGTCTCAAGCAATAAGTTATCTTAATCGGCTGCACGTGGATTGGGCTGAAGAAAACGATCGGAAACAAAACAAATGCAACACGGTGGCGGATTTACGGTAGCGTGTAAACGGCCTCTTCGGTGGAAATTTAAGACGCCACAAAAAGTGTGGTGTACGTGTATATGAGATTGGGTTAAAAACAAAAGAGCAGCAACACTGCGGCATGATGAAGTCATCTTTTGACGATAGAGGGAGTGGAGGAAAAGGCGCTGCCGGTTAGATAGAAGTGGAGCCATTCCTTAATAGATTGGATTTAACATCTTCGCGATATCAATCCTCGCCATTTCATCTCCTCTTTATGATATCGCCTCTTGGTTCAATCTCATATCTCTTTTATTTTTATGTCATATCACTTCTTTTTTTTTTGTCTGCACGGAGAGTGGGGTTTGTGGTTTTTATTGACGTCCGAGTCAAATGAGAAATTTTCTTCTCAGCAAAGTGGTCAAGATTTAAATGGAATTGAAAGGCCTAAATCTTCTTCTGCACTCTAACAAATCTTTGCTGCGAACATGAAACACATCGGAGGTCATTTCTGCTTGACAACTCTGACGAATCTATAAGAAAGCTGGGTATAGATATGACATCATAACAAGTGGCGAGGGTGAAAAAAATAAAATAGAAATGCATTTGTATAGACAAAAAGTAATGACAATGAATGATAGGTATACAAAAATGGAAGAAAACACAAATATAGAAATTGCAAATTTACTTTGCTATGTAGTGCCCTAAAAACGACGGAGAAAGTCAAAGATCCCTATACTAAACGAAATAAAAACTACCCCCTGTGATTGTTTACAATATCGAAAAACAAATCCACAGAGCAACGACCGGAATTAACTTTTTAAAACAACACGTGTCAATACGAAGTCTACTTCCTGATGAGATTTCGATTACGTAATGATGTGGTTTCTCATGTTAAAAGACGATTGTAAAACATTTATGATTATATTGATTTGTAGACAATAGAAGAGATGTTACTTTACTCCTTACCTAACAAAATAAATCATAAACAACTAGGAAAACTATCCCGACACTCTTAAAAATGCAATCTTAAATATGTTTATTATCTTCTATTATGCCATCTGCGTTTCCTCTCACAACGGTGTTAATCTTCGGGCTCACAATGATACGAATATTCAATGGAAATGGGTTTACACATTCGTAATATAGAATGTTAGATGTGAGAAAGAGTCTAACATGTGAGTACAGGCAACATACAGAAACAAACAGACGAAAGGGAGATATATCTAGAGAAAAATATAAATACATGCATTGTACTTTGTAAAGGTAGAATATGTGATGTGATATCGCGAGAAAATTAATGTTCTATTATTTTCAAACGTCTTTGTGATTGAATCTCAATTATTTTTAAAATACAGAATATGAGACAAACAATGCTAACACTTTAAAAGCGAATGTCGTTTGATAATTAAATGGTTTATCGATCTTGGTTGAACTCGACTTTAGTATCGCCGACAGAAGTAAGAGAACATCGAATATTTTCCCGTTTCATTCGGTAGAGGTTTTGACTGATTTTATAAAGTTCAAAACTTTCTAAATGTAATTCAAAACATTTAGATAGATAAACAGAGGATATATCGCTTAACGAATGGACAGACAGTTAGTAACAAAAAGGAATATGAGAGCATATAAATGAAACGTAGAAGCAAGACACACACACCCACAATACACGCACGAAATGTGGAGGAAAGAGAGGGTTGTTATTGAAGCCTCTGTATTTGAGTGGGTAGAATATATATTTTTGGATATAATCAAGCTGTTTGACAGTCTAAGTATGCTACGAAAGGAGTTCTATTTATGAACCATAACAGTTTTAATGACATCATCGTCATTCTATCATTAACGTCTAAGGAAAGATGGTTGAAATAGAATACACACTAAACGCGTGAATGGCATTTTTGACCGAAAGTAAACGTTTACAGATTCCATAATGAAAACAATACAACTCATTTTATTCATATCCAACACTCCTTTCTTACCGTGACGACGATGTCATTTCCCTACTCACGAATTTACATAGATTTATTTAGTTCTGGTAGAAAAGTACTGATTTGATAAAAACTCAATATGAAGCATTTTAAGAGAATATATCACTACAATCAAGACAATGCAGTGAAAGGATCCAGCGCACGAGACCACCGCGGTTCACGATACCAACAAACTGTCCTTGTATATTTCTTTGTTTATTTCTTGAGGATCTTTATTTTTCTTTCTAACTTCCTGTATATTTTTAATGGTTTAACATTTCATTTATTAATTGGGAGTTCCCCCCTCTCTCTCTCTCTCTCTCTCTCTCTCTTTCTCTCTCTCTCTCTTTCTCTTTATCCTCTTCTCTTTTTATTATTCGTGATGTATTCTCCGCGTTCATGTCTTTTCTTCATTTCTTTTCTATTTTTCATTATGAGTTTCTATGTTGTGTTTCGTTGTCCTTTTGGAACGTTTGGTTGCGTGGGCTTTCGGTCTACAGGGATGGCCCACTAAGAAATGGAAGAAGTATGTTTAACATGTCACATGTCAGATAACTTTAGAGTAACCTTTTTTTTGCTTGTTTCTTTTCATCTTCAATCAACTTCTCCCCATCCAAGCATATTTGGTCTAAGACGAGAAGGCGTAATATAAACCCGCACGACCCCAAACACCGGAAACCATTTCTCATCAAGACTCGCGACCTCACACCATAACAAAAAACGTGTCGCCCATTTTCACTGCTACTCTTCTAGTCATTCAATCCATGTTCTCTCCCATTCTCTGATCGATGGGCTGACAGATTAGTTCCGTTTTTAAAAAATCCCTTTAAAGCTCTCTCGCCATCTTTATTTATTCTAGCTGAATTATTACTCGTTGTATCAGTGATTCGGTAAAGACCAGTGGAAAACGTGTGGTTGCTTGCGGCATCTCCTTCAACTCAATCTTACTTCCATGAGATACATCAGACCACGAGAAAAAAAGGCTTATTAAAATTGATGTTCTGGTTAAACAATATATCTCATGTTTGTTTAAACCCAATAGACAGAATTAAAATATCATGTAGGCTGTACTTGATATATTTTTCTCAGAATAAAAACACTGTTTAAAGTTTCCTTAGATAATTACACTTGATTTCATTTCATATTTCTTACCAGGGGCGCACCACTCATTGATATTAGGGATTTGTCAACAAATCCGTAAATCGGCAATTCATAATTTCTGTCTGAATGATAAAGTCTGATAATATTGTTTTCTCAAACTTCAGCCTGTTCTGTGTTCTGTGACGGATAGCTTTAGCAAAATCATAATTTACTATTAAAGGTGCACATACTGAATATCACGTCAAACTCATGACTTTTGTACTAGATAACCTCTTCATGCAAACAAACGGGTTAGTATTAGTAAATTATATCATACAATAATACCAGGTTTAGTGTACATGTCTAAATGAATCTGAAAACGAAAAAGAAAAAGGAAGGGTGGTAAATGAAAGAAAAAAGTAACAAGAACAACAAAAAGAATGATGATGTTAATAACAATTATAATTATAATAATACTAGGCCTTATACTACTAACGAAGATAGTAATAATGATAAGAAGAAGCAGAAGAAAAAAGAAGTAAGAGAAAAATACCAACATAATAGAATTTTAAAAGTCCTCATATTTAAATCGCCCCTCATCGCCCCCTCCTCATAGCGCCGCTTCTGTCACAATAACAGTATT